GATGGAGGAGTGAAGGCCGGTATCTATGTTAAACGGGAAAACCCTACAATAAATATGGGACGAGATAGATTGCACTTTTCCAGCACCTGTAATGCAGCTCTAAACCATATTCCTGTTTCAGTCTAGGTCACACCCTCCTGCCCCAAATCAACATGACTCCCTCAACAATAGAGGCTAATGACTCATCGGGGTAGAGAGGAGGGGTTTTCAGAGTGAGTTTCTGCTCGTTAAGCTACAACAAACAGCTACAGCTTATAAGATTGACCCTCCAGTTTTCCAGTCAGAATTGACAAAGCTCCTCAGATAAGAAGCAAAACCTTAAGACAACAAAGAAGTCCAGTCGCCTTCATTTTAACCTTTTTGGATGAGTCCAGACCCTAATCCAGAGTAATGGGCACATCATGATAAGGAGAGATGCAGATGACACTAAGGGTGGTCTAATGAAACATTTGTGTGTCAGACCTTTTTATTTTTGGCTAGACAGTGCACACACACACACACACACACACACACACACACACACACACACACACACACACACACACAGAGCCAGTTTAAGGTGCAATAAAGTAAAGGCTTGGGCCAGCTCTTCCGGGGAAATCCCAAGGCGTTCCCTGGCCAGGCGAAAGACACAGTCCCTCTAGTGTGTCCTGGGTCTGCCCTTGGGTCTCCTCCCAGTTGGACGTGCCCAGAAAACCTCACCAGGAGACATCCTGACCAGATGACCAAGCCACCTCAACCGGCTCCTCTCGACGTGGAGGAGCAGCGGGTCTACTCCGAGCCCCACCCGGATGACCGAGCTTCTCACCCTTTCTCTAAGGGAGAGCCTAGCCATCCTGCGGAGAAAACTCATTTTGGGCGCTTGTATCCGTGATCTGGTTCTATTGGTCACTACCCAAAGCCCGTGACCATAGGTGAGGGTAGGAATGTAGATCGACCGGTAAATTGAGAGCTTTACCTTGCGGCTCAACTCTCTCTTCACCATGACAGATCGGTACAACTTCCGCATCACTGCAGATGTGGGAGCTGTAAAACCACACCAGCAGTTTTTGTGGCAGGTTGGTCTTCCTGAGAGCCCTCAGGAAGTATAGCCATTGTTGTACCTTCTTTATCAGACATTTGGTGTTGTGTGTCCATGTGAGATCCTCTGATTCGTGTGCATTGCAGAGCTGTAGTCCACAAATGGCAGACTTGCATATGCACCTGCATTTTACTTAGTGTGAGCAGATTTTTATTTGATGATTTAAAACAATCTGTTTTTATTGATTTAAATATTATTCTTTATTTTAGAGCAAAAAAGGAACAATGCAAAATATAAAAGGTAAAAGACTGAACAAGATATACAAGTTTAAAAGCTTGAATATGAAATGATTAAAATGTAATTTTCTGTTCATTTAAAAAAGACAATTTAAGGGGCTGATTATAATGTAAGTACAGTTTCTTTTCACTACTACATTTGTAGCTACATTTCTGTTTTTTCACATGTGGCGTTGGAGGATATCAGTACAATTCCCTTTCCTGTTTCCCATTTCCCGTTTGTTTTCCTGCTTATCTTAAGCCTCCTTTGTGTCTGAGCTGAAAAGAAGAACAAATTTGTAAAACTGAGAGGCTCCAATTTAAAATTTTGTCTTAGCCACTATTTACCCATTTAAGGAGCACTTCCATTTTAAAGAACGATAAATCCATTTAAAATATGTAAATAACACTTTGTCAATTCTCCAGACATGTTTGATTCAGTTGAAAAGAGGCTGAAATACAACATGCATCCACAAGTTTACACGCAAACGAAAACATGAAAAGCTCAGTGTGGCTTGGGATGTTTACCCTGAACAGTCTGAGACTTCCTGTTTTATCAGTTACATATTAGGCTGTACTGTAGTGTAGATGGGAGCGGAGCCTATTCCTGCTCTCACCTGAGGAGATACAAAGTACCCTCTCTAACAATAACAAAACACACTTAATCGTAAAAGATCAATTTAGAGCCACTAACAAACCAAACCTCAGAGAATACACCTGATTCACATGAGCTAACAGCCATAGCTCTGCATCAACTCAACATAAATGTAAAATTTAAACAAGGCTTTCAAGCTTTTGGACTCAAAGTTTTAGGGTACATTTGTGACTGCTTTACAAAAGCCTTTTCTCTTTTCTTTGCCTTGCCAAACTGGAATGATGAAATATTTGAGAAAGTAAAAATTTAGTGTCAGTTTTAATTTTAAGTTACCTCCTGACCTCAGATGTGCCCCAACTCTAGTGACTTTTAAATCAAAATTAAGAACTTTCATGTTTTCATCAGCCTTTATTCTTATGTTGCACCTTCTGCACTGTAACTACTCACTCTTTAACTTTGTATCTTTCTTTTATTCTTAAATCTCAAACTCATTTTTGTGAAATGTAATTGTGTTGTCACATTGATTTTAATGTTTGTGCTATTCTTGTTAATGGAAGGCACATTGAATTGTCTGTGCATGAAATGTGTTATATAAATAAAGCTGCCTTGCCTTACAAATGTTTAAATATTGACAGTTTTCCATATTTTGGCATTATTTATGTTTTACTTATAATGTCACCACTTTTTGTCTTTAAAAACCCTGAAGTTAGTGAATCAGTATAGCTTCTTCAATATAACGTTACTAAATCTTGACATCAATAAACAAAAATTCAGAAATATTAAGTTTAGCAGTGTGTAAAAATGAAATGTTATTAAATTGGAAAAATCACAGTTTCTTTAAAACTTAGTTTTATTTGCTTACTTTAAAATTTATTATTATTATTATAGTTATGAGAAAGCTTAGTGAAAAATTATGAGATACGTTTTAAAAATGTTTTTTCTGTGTGGTGGAAATGGGCTTCCATATTAAACCCAAACTTTTCTTGTAATGTTTTTCTAAGACTTTAAATTGACTACAAAATCAGCTTAAACCAGTATTGTTTAGTTTAAACAAACAATGATAATTTTCTCCTCTTTCTCTTTTTAAATTTTAAATGACAGTTAGATACTTTTTAAATGTTAAATGTAGACAAAAACATTTTGTAATAAAAATGTGCTGAAAAAATACATTTATTAATTGATTTTAATGTTTTATTTGATAACAGTTTGGCAATAATGACCAAAAAATTATTGGATCTTCTTAAATTATTAAAAAAAATAGTCTATCCGTAATTCTTTTAGATTAATTAGTGAGAAAAATGACATGAAATATTAATGTAAAGCAGAAATACATTTTAGTGTCTACTTCTGTAAGTAAACTCCTTTAATTGGGATTTGGATTTAGGACATCATTGGGTTAATTTTCTCAGCCTTGCCACCCGGATGCAGTCATTCACATGAGTCTGACAGCATCTGGTGTGCAGAGCCATTAAATCCCATTCTCATCCCTGCAAAGCCAAACGGGCAGTGAAAGCAGCCAACCACATTTATCATCTTGAAGCCATTAGACCAATTGCAGAGTGAGGGGGGAGGGAGCTTGCAGCACTGATTTCTGTTTGCAGCATCCCAAAAGCAGCTTCTGTTGTGTGAAATACAAGAAAGGCCAAGACAGCGGGAGAGGATCCAAGCAGGCAGTCAAAGAACTGGAGGGGGAATATCTTGGGGGCCACTGGGGTAGGGTTACTTTTGGTTTGTGGAGTTCATTCTCAGAGAAAGTGACTGTTGTCTCAATGTAAACAGCCTCTGCATTTGCTGAAGGGGGAAGCAAGAAGAGGAGGAGCAGGGACACATGCACTGGAGCAAATGTTGCCTCTTCCAATTATTTTCTTCCTGCCTGTAACTAGCCCGAGCCTGCTGCTCTTAACATGCATGTTGTAAGTTAAGGTACGTATGTGCATCTCTAATCTGGGAGGACACGCGGGCGAGACCTGGATCATGTCGGCAGGATTAGTGGCCCCCAGCTGTGTGTGTGTGAGACAGCTTAGGTTAACCGAAAGGAACATCTACATGTAAACTCAACAAGGCACCCATAACAGAGACGTCCAAAGCTGCCAGCTTTGTCGTCTTTGTGTACACCGAGGTGCAGTAGGGACTGAAACCAGCCTTTGTTTTTCATTGGTTGGCTTCAGTTGCACATGTTCCTCATTAAGAGCAGACAGGATGAGGAGGGAGGAATAGATCATATGTCTGTGCCTTCCTGTGTTACCATATAACACAAATAGAAATCATGCTCCTCTTCAACAACAAAAAAAAAATCTCTACATTCATGTAAAAGCAGCTTTTCACTCTGAAGGGATGTGTGTAGTATATGTGTGGGAGACGCTCTATTTATGGAGCGTGTGTGTGTGTGTGTTTGTATGTGTGTGTGTTGATTTTGATGTCTGAAAGTGCTGCCAGCACATTTCCTCAGAGTGAACGTTACAGTATTCCTCTGTACTTGTGTGAACTTACCTAATTCCTACTGTACGTTTGCTAACCCACATCCTGCTCAACGAACACCCGCCACGATCGCACTGCCACTATCAGCCAGGGCTTGGATGAAGTTAAGCATGCATGAATTGTATTTTGCAAGAATTTTGGTGTCTTATTAATGTTCTTTTTTGTGTTTTGTTTGATTCTGCAGGTCTTAAGGGTCAAACTGCTAATGACGCCTCAGCAGAGGAACCCCGTGTCGAACATGAGGCGCGCAAAAATCTAAGCAACATATCAGCATCCGCGAAAAGATTAAACAAGACACAGTTCACCTGAGGCAATCACAAAAAAACCATGGCTGTGAACGCAGCTAAAATGGCCGCCGGTTTACTTTCCACAACTGCCACAAAAGCCTCCAACACGGACTCTTTCCTTTCAACGGTCCCAGGAGCCACAGACAATATCACCTCAAGAACATTTATGACAGTTACTATAGCAACAAATGAGACCAGCTTCAATGCCACCGCATTTCCAGAGGAGGTGATTGGAGGTTCGAGGGCTGGAATGCTGCTGGTGCCCTTTGGCATAATCATGGTCATTGGCTTAGCTGTGGCAATGGTAAGGGAGTTGTCCGCCTTCCTTCATTATCGTTTATTTTGGATGAGTTTAATACATTTATAACTTTTCTTTTGTTTTTGCTGTTTTAAAACACTCTAGATGCTGTATATTCGAAAACGAAAGCGGTAAGGTCCAATGAGGCTTGGAAATTGAGGAAGACGTTAAAGTTTTTCTTTCTCGTGACAGTGTTTTCTTTTTTTTCAGGTTGGAGAAGTTGAGACACCAACTCATGCCAATGTATAACTTCGACCCGGCTGAAGAACAAGACGACCTGCTGGAACAGGAACTACTGGATCACGGACGAGAAGGCACCCTGGCGGGCCCCAATGCCAAGGTAGGACAGGAAGAAGGTGTTTTTTTTCCTTGAACTTTCATCATATTTCTTTTTGCCTCTGATGCTAATGATCACTACGGACACCTGGAGGGGACATCATTAGAAATGTCCTTCCATGACGTTTTTTATGTCCAGTTTTCACATTGCTTGTTTAATTTTATTTTAAAAAATGCTATCTTATAATTCAGGTAATTGTGTTTTATTTTAAACATTTGTCCACCAGTGTTAATTCTTTATTTTCATTTCTTTTTTGAAGTTTTGACAATGGTTATAAGCCAAACATGGTAAAGTATCACCTTTGTGTGTCGTTTGTTCCATTTTTCCAAGACTCTTTCTCCATGCTTCCCTTATTCTTTCATGCCATCTGCTTCATTATCCAGAATAGCAGTTAGATGGGACATTTAGAAATTAAAATTTATAAATTGAACTAACCTGCATTTAAGCATCAACAACTGGGAAACAGATTTATACCTGAAGTTTTACCCTCTGGACCTATGCATCTGTTTGATGTTTCACATGTTCTTCACTGTTGATTAATTAAAAAGTATACCAGGGGCCACATGTTGTAGAGTAAATTAGGAAAAATTACATTTTCTCCCACTAAAAGTGGCAATATTAAAGACCAAGTTCACTGAAAAACTGTTTTTTATTTATTTTGAAGTATGATCAGTTACTCTGTGTTTCACGTGTAGGCTACACATAATTGTCTACCCCTATTTCCTGCATCAGCCCCCTAATAGAAAATAGATGGGGAAATGCTCGGATTAGAAAAGCTAGTCAATTTTACGTCACACTGCAAATTGGCAATTGGCATGGACTCACCCATCTTGGACCATGACGGGGAAGGCTGTTGTGGATTTAGCGTCCAGGAGAGAGCAGAGCACATCTCAGCTAGTAGAAGCTAACTGTTTGCATGATCAACTTCACCACACGGCAGAACTCCTCCAGGCTTGTGTTATTTGTGGACATTAAACATCAACGTTGCAGAGCAAACGAAGTCAGTGGTAGAGTCATGTTGCTGTTTCCCAATCAGAGGTGAGATGTCTGAATATCAGAAAATAAGACTCCAAATCCTGCCGTGCACTGCTCACCCCTCCTCAGGCTCACTTCTAGTTCCTGAAACAGGAGCGCAAGATCTTCTTTTTCTCCACAGAGACTGACTCACAAGGCATTTATTTATACTAGAGACCACTAGAAACGAGTGAACTTGGTCGTTGATTATGCAACAGCAGAGGCAACTACTGGTACAGAAAAATTATTGCATTGATTGTTGAAGACACTTTCATTATGACATAATCCTGTTTTGCTGGGGACTCTTCATGAAGGTTTCAAAAGTCTCCTTGCACCTGAGGTGATTCCAAAAGCAGCTTTCACTCTCTGTGGCCTGTGGCCTCTGGTTCTCATCATCTCCAGCTTGAATGAATTAATCAGTCTACAACCTAAAAAAAACAAGCTGATTTAGTTCACATGACCACACTAGTAAAACAAATACACTAATTTAGATCCCAATCACACAGCATTAAACAAAACCATGCTCTCCTCTACAATTTACAAGAACATGACTTTATAAATGTGGGAAACCTGCTTCAGTGAGATGCTGCTATCATCTTGAGTACTCACCAAATACAAAATTTCAACACTATGATTGACATCTCCTATGCTCTCCTGCACCGGTTTTTATGTCAGAATCAACTTTTGACAATAGGCTTGTTTCCACTATCGAAACTTCTGTTATACTTTACCAGAACTTCGTGGCATGCACATGTCATCATTTCTTGAGGAAGTTCTGAAAGAACCATTGCCTGGGACCAAGTGATTACCTGAACTCAGAAGGCCCGTAGTTGCTGGGCGGGACATGTGGTTAACTCATGGTGATTGGTTGTAACTTGGTAAGAAACAATATCAGCACACGTAGCCAAAAAATGGACATTTGTAAAACTGGAAGAGTTGCTTAGGAAGCAGAATAGAAAGAAAAGAAAATACTGTAAATCCTCTAATATTAGCCTGTATTTAATTAACTGCCGGGTATCATATTTTGGCCGGTGTCGGAGTCAGCGAAGGTGAATAATGGCTGTTTTTTTATTGTGGCCGGGTGGAATGTGGTAACAAGCAAGTACGGGGGGCGGTTGTGTCATCCGTCTCACTTTTGATTTGCCAGTGATAGACCGCGAGGGTAACTTTAACCGTGCGGAGACGAAGAGGAGGCGAAAATTTGATATCAAGTTCAAAGAGAACGTGCTGATTATGCTGCAGAACACTCTGGGGAGCAGTAGCAGGGGTTGTATGAACTAGTCACTAGTCGACTTCACCGCTCTATAGTGACTTTTTATGCCTGTCATCGACTAGTCGCTGTCACGTGATAATGACCGGCAAGATGCAGTCCTCGGAAAAGACAGCAGCCTGCTGTCAGCAGGTAACAAGCTCCTGCGCGTCGGGAGGCAACGCGCTGTGCCAGAGCGTCGGTACTGACACCTGCCGTAAAACGGACATTTAACCAAATTGTGACGTTTACCCTCTTGCAATTTAACATTCCCCTCACCCCCATCCTAACCTTAACCAGCTTGCACATGCAACGCTCTGATTGTTGACGCGCTCCAGACATCTGCGTCCTGAGCACGGCCACAGTAACATTATCAAATCAGGTGTCGCCACCTCAAAAACTAATTTAACACGTGATCGTTCATGTCGGCTCATTTCCTTTTATGTTTTAACTCTTTTATTTGTGCCTGATGCTTTTCGCTACTGTGGATCAGGGCGCATCACCTGTTTTGTCCTCGGTGACACACCTAACTGATACGGCCGGCAAGCACTCCGCTGTTTTTGTGGTCGGTAGATCTTTTAGAACTGCAGTTCAAAGGTAACTCATAAGGTGAATATATATGAACCCAGGTAGCAGTTTTTCTTTAGGACTGAGAGGATATGCAGGAAGATAATAAACAGGCAGGACAGAAAAATAGTCAAATAAAAACAAGTTAGTTTTTGTACCTGGTGGTTGCAACAAACAGACACCACTGAAGGTAATCAGAAGTGAGGAACAGAAAATGAAATAATTATTTTAATGTTTAGAGCAGCAGGAACTCCGAGAGGCTGCAGGCGCATCAGTGAGTTTGCGGCCGCTGCGCGGGGGGAGAGGGCTGAAGTAGAAACTACCGTTGTTAAAAGAAATGTGTTTAACTTTGAAAATGTGGGTGCAATTTTAATTGTCAAAAACTCCAGCGAACCATTAGTTCATTTTGCTCAAATAGAAATTGAGGTCTGCCTCTAATTCTGGTCCTCCTTCCAATAAAGACCTGGAGCTTGATGAGCTTGAGTAAAATACAGACCGGGCCTGTATTAGAGGATTTACGGTAGGCAGCATTTGCTCTACTTTAGTTTCTAAACTCCCAACATCGAAAAATCCCCCGACAACGCCATTATTTAAGCTGTTTTGTGGCTTTCACAGCACGCCGTAAAAAAATGGTGTTTCTACTAGTCACTGAATGCTACTTTTACATCAAACAACCCCTCTCCTGGTTCCCTGAATGGATTATCGCTTTGACAGAATAACACGTTTACTGTTATTTTGGCACTGATCCGTGACACCACTCACGGCCGCTATATACGGACGTCTTCGCAAAGTCCTGAACAAGGCTCATTTGGATGGAGACAGCGGCTCAGAGGACCGAGTCGTCATATTTTATCTGTACCCCCCCCCCCCCCCCCCCCCCCCCCCCCAAAAAAAAGAATTTCCCTAAACACCTATAGTGGAAATGCGACAATAAATCCTACAATGTCCACTGCTGGTATCTGTCACATTCTTGTGATGCCCTCTTACATCCAATTTGTAAGTGCTCTCTGTCCTCTCTTGCCACGATGGACTAGAAGATCAGTAGATGATGGTGTGATAGGGTTGTGGTCTAGGCATTAGGTCAGTGACCAGTATTGCTTTTAATTCTTGACCGCCATGACCCTGCTACATAAGTGTTGTTCAAAACCATCTGTATTACAACAAAGTATTCATCCTGTGTGACGAGGCCTTATTAAGTTAATTTAAGAACTGAAGTTGCTGAGTAACAATAATGTCCCTGCTCTTTTCTTTGCAGACTCTCACGACCTCCCAAGGGATGACGCAGCGACCCAGTCGTCTGGTCTTTACCGATGTAGCCAAAGCTCTCAATGCTTAACGACTTCTGGCCATATCTAGACAAACTGTTGCTCAGGAAGGGGAAAGAAAGGGAAACAAGGACTGTTAAGTGAAGCTCAGATAAATACTTTCATCCAAGCAGTTACAATAAAATAAGTATGGAAAAAGCAACAGGACGTATCACAAATAATCTTGCACTGCAATCACTAAGGGCACAAATAAAGTGTGCGCTTAAAAAAATTATATAATTGTTGGTAAGTTGTTCATTAGCTGGTCTGTGACGTCCCTCTGAGTTTCTACATCTACTTTTATAAAACAGTCTATGTAATAGTGATTTTGTAGTCCTACATCATGCAAGAGACGTGTCACCAATCTCAAATTGTGTTTTCCGTTAGTTTTTTTTTAAACCTTTGTAACGTTTCCATCCGTGTGCATTAAAAATGTCAAAGATGAAACACGTCTTGTTTAAAAGAAATCTAACACAGGGGTTGGTTGGTGATATTTTTATTGATAAGCGATACAGAAGCAAAAGTAACACAATCACCACATAAAGAATCATGACAAAATATAAATCACAGGTTTGTGAGTTGTATTAAGGAAGTGGATGAGGACACATCAATAACATAACTATAAAATTGTGTTAAAAGCAAGGCATAAACGATGATTTCTCAAGTTACAATTCAACTTTTTAATGGTTGAATATAGATCAAGTACTGTATGTAACTATACCACTAGCAGTAAGGTCACAGAACAACATTGTCCCCATACAGAGAGTAAATACCCAAACACAGCTTGTGTGAAATAACACATCAACTCAGCTAGAGCCTAGTTAAGAATAATCTTTCAGGCTGACTCCCATAAGTTGAGATCTGTGGACTACTGCAGAGCTAGTGTGACAGTTATATCAAGATTTCATGTTCCACAATGCCCGTGGGCCCCTGATGGAAACTTAATCTTGGCCAAAAGTGACCAAAAGTTGGCTGCTTTCAGAGGTAGTCCAGAGGGCAATTAAATCAAATCAATACAACATTGAATAAATCTGAAATCTGGTAGCAGTTTAGTCAACAGTGCTGAAATACATGAAATAACTGAAATACGACAACATCTATCAAATTAGGTAAGACGTATTTAAATACAGAGCGAGCAACGGGCGGTTTTCAGGTAAAGAGCCACATGAAAGTGAGCGCCAACGGAAAAATGTTTGAACAAGAAACCAAAATGTTCCTCATCCAGTGTATCAGTGGGCTACGACTGTGGAGATGTAAATTTGCATGACATTTGTAAATTTTCATTTGAACTGATTGGAACTTATGCCAATTTTGAACAAATAAAGACATTTATGTAAATGTAGTGCAACATTGTTTATGCAGTTTAGTCACAGAGCATCTTAATAATATCTGACTGTCTGGACAATCTGGTGATTGACATATCTTATAATTTCTGAGTTACACAAACTAAAGAGGAGTTCGAGACACGCTCCCAGAATGACTCAGTAATTTTTTTGGTTTAAAATTTGTTGCAGTTTTTCCAAAATGTTCCAAAAAAACATCCACCAACAAGACATAAAGGTCCTGTGGGTCTTGTGAGGAACTTGAGAACTCTCGCAAACATTTCAAGACAAATCTGAAACTCCATCGTAATTACCGTTAGCAGCCCAGTGAGAAACTGGCTTTAGGAAGCTGGTATTGCATTAAAGAGCAAGTCACCCCCAAATCAACTTTTTTTGGCTGATAAACTATAAAAATGAGTGTATAAATCGTGCTGCTGACATGTGTAGACAATAATTTTGCACTTTAGTGCATCTTAGTTAAAATTTACATTTTCTGCCTAAAACTGTCAGTCAGTGCGTTTACATGCAGCCAGTAACCCTTTTAAAACCCGAATATTCACAATAACCCGGTTCCGCAGGTCCATGTAAACACAGCCAGAAACCCGGATATGCTCATAACCGGGTTTTTAAAAAGCCGGTTACTACACCTGGGGTAACCCTTTTCTAACCTGAATGTTTGGTCGTGTAAACGCATACCGGGATATCACCATCAAAGCGTGTGTTCTACGCATGCTCTGTTTGCAAAGAATCTTGGTCTTTTGAGTAGCAAGACATCTTGTACGCGCCAGAACACCGGAAATAAATAACAAGTTGGGGGCAAAATGGCGAGTCGCGGCACAGCACCACACTTTGAGTGACGAGGAAACTAAAGCGCAAACAAACACGGTCGCTATCTCTTCGAACTGGGAAACATGTTGTTGTTTTCATGGATACCGGAACAAGAAGAACCGGAAATGACGCCTATTGCGTCTGGACGTAGTCCATACGTCCTGACGCTACCCCAACGTCCGCATTTAAATCGGGTTATGCAAGTTAGAGGTAACTCTTTTTATTATGCTTGTAAACGGGTTATTCTGATCAACTCAGAAACCCGAATCCCAACCTTAACCCGATCATAACCCGGATATTGGCTGCATGTAAACGCACTGACTGTTGTGTCGTCGTCAGGTAAAAACTCTGCACTGCATTTAAATGTAAATCTGCCATCGCTGTAGGCTCAGAGGTACACTATGACGTTAGCTGGTACATTATGATGTCACGATGTTGTTGTGAACCTGTGTGTGTATTTGTTAGCGGCTCTGCCCTCTCAGTCTGCAAGGCAACAGCATTTGTTGCATTTTTCAAACAGGAAGTGGGAGTGGAGTAAGACTGTGGTAGGGGTTCACTTGCTAAGTTTTTCAAGTTTTCATTTATGATTCCAGTCTAATTAAATGTTAAAACTTTATTTTGTAAAAAGAATGTATAAATGTTAAACTTGTGGAGAATTTGACTATCATTTTAGATGTTTTTAATATAAATTCTTAGTTTCATTATGTATTACAATGGCCTGCCATACAGATTCAGTCAGCAGTGGCAGAATCATATCAATCAGCTGCTTACGTCTGGTATTAGCTTGCATTTTGGGAGATTTGATCCCTTGTGGATCCCTCTGCAGCAGTTTATATGGAAGTAACATGAGCATCAACCTGCTTCTCAAGTGACCACTTGTGATTCCCACTTTGTATGCAAGTACGCAAGCAGCCAGAGCCACATACAGTCAGCTGTAGTGAACAACAAACAGGATTCAGTGATTGGATCTGAACATGTCCTCAGACCTGGACTTAGAGACGCTGACCTCTTGGAAGCATGTTAACAGCGAGTGTAAATGTGGAAAAACCCTGAAACTGAAACCCTGAGGTCTGAAAAATAACATTTGAGAGCTGTTTTGCTGATTCATTACCACTATCAGATTGACTTTAAACTCTGTGAAATCAAGAAGAAACAAACAAAACAAAGTTAAATTCATAATATATCAGCTCATGGAATATTCTGATAGTTCCTGCTTATTTTATTGGAAACTAAGGTTTACTGTGTGTGCTTTTAGTTAAAACTGGTTTTAACATGAGATGAAAACATGTGAGATGAAAACTTTTAAAGAGATATTAGGACATTCTAAAGTAGAGTTTGGTGGAACGGCTAATGATCTCCTAATTGTTGTAGATAGCTCCACAAATGGCCTCAGTTTGGAGAAAACGAGATCACATTTAACAAGGACTGATTAGATTACAACAAATTCAACTGCTGCCACCTTAAAGCAGCTCTGATAAAAATTATAAATAAAAATTAAGAGTAGTTCATGTCAGCACTGTATGCCCTACAGCTGCTGGTGTGGATTCACACAGTTATTTACATACAGTCCTATGGTTATTTGTGAGCACCAATAGCTAGCTAGTAGTAGCACTTCAAATGGAGCTTTGGAGAATTTCTCAAAGAAACATTAGACCCCTTTCCAGTATTGAAACTTCTGGGAAATAGCCCAATAGAGTCGCTGGGCGGGACTTGTGGTAAACTTACTCACTCGCTCAGCGGGAAATGATATCACAGATGTCACCATACTACAGACATTTGTAAAATTGGAAGAATTGTTGGCACAGCTGAATGGAAGATGAAGTAATCAAGCAGCATGGACGGCTGCTTTAAAATAGCACAAGAATGCGTCAGAAATCCCTCAGCAATGCCGTAATTTATGCTGCTTTGTGGTCACCTACAGAGTGCTGCAAAAACGGTGCTTTAATTTTTATTAATGTATGGCTATGGGCAACTTTTGGTGCTGATCACTGAACACCCACTGCCAAAACGGTTGATATGCTGACGTCTTTGCAAAGTGTTATGTGACACCAACAGAACTTTAGAGGGTTTACAGATTAATAATGTCATAAAACATTTAAGTCTGTTTTGGTAGAGGGCTTGCTAAGATTGGTTAATGTTAGCCGACTTCCACTGCAGATCTGTCTATACTCATTTTTCCAACTTAACTTGGGGGTAGGGACAAATAAGTAAATACTTCTGCCTACTCATTTTCAAACAAATAATGGAATTATATTTTGTAATGATACATGTGTGAAATGTTTGAAATAAAAATGAACTGAACTGAACTTCAAAGTGCCCAAACTATCCATTTAAAAGCAATGTTTTGTGACTGAGCATTGGTCACTAATCATATTAGGACATAGCTCTAAAACACTTAACCTGACAATCAGTTTGTTCCTTTTCTGATTTGAGGTTGTTATTTTAAGATCTCTAAACTCTCCTAAATACAACTAGACTGAGTGATGTTTTACTTATGAGTTTACTTTCTACGAGACAGAATCAACAACAAGAAACAAGTATTTTTCATGCAATCATTTTTTTTAAATGGCTCAAATGGAAACTGATGACTTAAAAACAAACAAACAAACAACAAAAATCAAATTTAAAAGTAATAAAACACACAAACGGTTAAGTACAACTGTCTTTTGTTTTTGTAGCATGTTGGTCAACGTTAGCCATTAATCTCATGTATTTCAGCACTTTGTGGCCGTTTGCTGCCATAAATTTAAGAGTGTCACACATACATTTTACAGTGTAAGAATCAGAAAATACATACATGATATAGTAAAAATAAGAAAAAGAATAACAAATCCCAAAAAATATATGTTTTCATGAAGATCTAGACCCTAAAAGATAATCGTATCATCAAGTTGTTGTAACCTATTGGCTTCCCAGGAGAACAGTCTCGCTTCAGTTGTTAAAAAAATCAGATACAGTTATTTGAAATAGATGCTTTATTTTTACACCTCTACTGGTGTGTAACATCTCCTCATGTGTGTTTTTGTAGGCATGAAGCCCTGAAACCCCTTTAACAATCTCATATGGTTTGTCTGCTAATGATCCTGTGCTTGTGTACGTGTGTTTTTTTATAGTATCACGTCAGAGAGTGAAAGGGTAACTTCTGAGGGAGATTTTCTGTGTTTGCGTGTCACTGAGGTAGAATGAGAGATCAAGAAATTGAGGCTGACTGAGGTTTAAATGAGGTCTTTGAGTCAAGGCATACTGGTAATGTCAAATACAGATCAGAGTCACACAACAAACACAGCACCACAATTATTACTGAGTAGATATCATGTTCCTGAATCGTTTTGTACCTGAGGTTTCAAAATGGTGTAAAAGCACGGTTAAAAAGTGAAATCCTGAGTGTGGTAAAATGACATGTCAACATAGACGATGACTCAAGTATGTATGAAGGTTTTTTTTTCTTCTTTGTCAAAATGAAATATCCACTTTTTTATTCAGTCACTTTCTGGTTGGAAGGCACAAAGAGAAAAACACAAATAAATGTATTAAAAATAATCACTCCAATTTAGTAGCTCATGTAGTATACTGTGAATATTTTTCACACTAAAACTGGATTCATTTTTAAATGAACCTTTCATAAGTTTTTGCTTATGTCGTTACATTGGTTAAAATGTTTGAAAACATTTGAAACATGTTAAAAAGAATCAGTTTGGTTCCTTTGTTGTTGCTGTTTTTGTGTCTTTAACCCCTCTCATTTTAGCCTACAAATCCACCACTCCACCTCGCTTTGAAAAACACACTCACACACGCACGTGTACGCACGCACACACACACACACACACACACACACACAAACATTCACACAAACACACACACACATACACCAAATTTCACGAGAGGTTTAGAACACAAGTTCAGGAACAGTTCCATATTTAGGGGAAACCTTTATTTTTTACTTAAATAATAAATTAAAAAAAACTGTAAAAATTTCTATTTTATAATATTTCAAAATTCAAGAGTCTAACTTTTACGGATGAGCGATGGCAAGGCAGCCTGTTTAAAAGATAGGTGATAAATTCAAGGATCTGGTGTATTTTTACTTCTGATTCTTTTTTAAAGTGGGGTTCTATGAATTGTTTATGAGCAGTTAGTATCTTACCTGACTGAGGTAAAGATAAACTGCTTTAAGTGTAACGGTCCTAAGTGCAGGTACACACATACAGAACTGATAGACGGACTGATTTTGAATGATAGATGGCCTCAAAAGGTGCCGGCACTTCCGATACACTCAAAAGCAGTACTAGTGCGCTAAGAATTAAAATGTTAAGTGTACTCACTTAAAGCACTTCTACAAAAGGTTTGGGAATAATCATCACGCCAGAGATTGTGTAGATTATAATTCACGCCAAGAGAAAAAGTGTTATTTTTCCTGAACAGCAAAAAGCATCCCAGCCAGCATGTATAAGTGGGCCCCATAAGGATATATATAGGGAGTCTAAGTCTCCTCCCTTTCCGGTCAGCTCATGGGTCGCCGAAAGAACGAAAAAATGAACGCAAGTCAACGGGGCTAAAAAAGCTACTTTCTAATCCACTTTGCCTTACGCCCTGGATCGCACATGTTACAATAGATGTCATTATAGTTAATGAGAGTGGGCACACGGGGAGCGCCTCACCGTGCCAAAGCACTGATGATAGGTGCCAGTTCTATCTCACGCGGATGCGGAACGGCTTTACGGCACAAACCCAGATGCAGTTTTGATAACTTTAAAGTACTATTGATCTTAAAACATTCTAATAAATAGTGTACATTTTTAATGAATTAAGAGTCTCACAAAACACAACGGCAAGTCTGGTAAAAGTATAAACAATAAAGTCACTTCCTGGTTCCTGTTCTCAAGTCCTGCATGATGCTGTGACTAGTGCTCAGCAGCACGGCGCGTCCTGTGTGATCACTTGACTTCTCAAAATCGCAGGCGTGATGCTTCCGCCTCCGGTGTGCCCCAGGCTTTTGGCTCCCTACGTGGGAAAACCATTTGGTGCCATTAGGGTTTCTCCACGGTTTTCATGGTGGTCCTACATACGTTTTCCCCACATAGTTTTTAACTGGCCCTACATGGGTTTTCAGAGGGACCCTGAGGGTTTGAGTCATAAATGGGCATGTTAAAATCTACATGGGCAAAACCCTGTGGGGCCACTATGAAAACTGTGGACAAACCCTGTTAGCACTCATACCGTTTGCCCGTATATATATATATATATATATATATATATATATATATATATGTATATATATATATATACACATCTATGGTCCACCTATGCATGCTAGCTAGAATTTTCGTGGAAAAGTGAGTACAAATCAATAAAAACAATCTGAACATATATAAAATAGTGTTTACTTTATTTGATAAAAAATGCATGATATTTTAGGTCTTTTTAGATCGAGGTGACACACCAACCCATTCAGATAGATTTTTTGTATGAATTTCATGTGTTTCTTCAATCTGACGCTATTCAGAGCGCTATCTGTAATAGGTAAGATACTGACTGCTGATAACTCCAGAGAACCTCACATCAATAAATTCAAATACCCTTAAGGTCTGGTTAAAGCACACCATCGGGTTTGCTCTGAGTGATCGTGTTTACTGTATGATGGGGAGATTTCCTCCAAGAGAAAAATCATCCCATTTTTAAGGCTCAAGGATCTCTTGAAGGCTTATTAGAAAACGAAAAATAAACTAATCTTTTAAAAAGTTTTACATGAATGAACACTAAACTTATCACCTGTCTGCATATAAAATCCGACAAACACCAGGACTGTGAATGCCATTCCCCAAATGTGGAACCATACCTTAAAAATGTCATATGATCAAATGCTCAACATCAACATTTAAAGAGAGTTAAAAAAATACTCTTTAGGCAGCAACACATCTAGGGTGCTGTTCATATCAGGAGAAGAAACTACAATCTGCAATGATTTTTGAGGCTGTAGGTGTGTGTGTGAGTTACTGATTTCCCATCACAGATAGGAGTCAGATTGTACCCCTTGTTTGCTTGAAGCCAAACACTGAGGTAGAGGTATCCCATCTACTCCCCTTCCTCCTCTTCAGGCACCTGAGATGACGAGGGACCCTCCTCAGCCTCCTCCGAGGGGCCCTGAAACATTCAAAAGAGAACAAAAACAACCGTCAGCTATCTTTATTTCTGTCCTGACTCATTTAGCTTAAGGTAATGAATCAATACTTGAAAGAGGCAGCAAATATTAAAATTTCATCACGCAATTGCGTGCGAGCAGGTTCCAGCAGTCAGACCTAGAAATGTGAGGAAGACGACGGTTACACCAGGAAACCAAGAAGACAGGGGAAGAGAGCAGTTAGATCATGTTTCCCCTCTCTGCACTGACTCATTCTTCCCCTTCATGTGCATGCCTCTGAGAATGGAGTCTGTCTCAATGGTTTCAGTTCTTTAAGCATCGCAACCTGTTTGACAAACTGTTAGGCAGAGAGGATGTGATAAGACAGTCAAGGGGCATCGAGCGGAGTGGCCCCTCATTGGTTAGCGCTGTTGTGCAATGCTGGAGATGGCTGAAGTAAACCAAGCATTTCTGAGAAACTTTAAGCAGATGTTCTCCAAAAGTGGAGGAGATGAAAGGATCTCTGCCAGCCTATGTGGGGAATTCAGCACCAATGTCTTGTGAATTTCCAAGAAATCGCTGTATCAACATGAAGTCATTTCATAAAATTCACACAAAGCTTGTGCAGGGCAGGCATGGCTTTCCTTCAGAATTGCTCAAGTTTAAAAAAAAGAAAGCATTGCAGCACTTGTGACCTTATATTTGTTTCTTTAACGTTGTGTTATGATTAAAATATTGTACATAAAGAGTCCTAAAAAACATTTTGAATTAAAGCTGCAAGCAGCGTTGTTCGGCCCTCGCAGCTCCGTGCCGCTCCAGCCTGGCCGGCAGCCCGGGGCACCCGGGCACGTCCGCGGAACAGAAACGTCGACCACCCCGACACCAGAAACCGTGAACAGCCTCCTCATCCGCACCTCACCCTGACTCAGCATGTCCTCTGAGCCTACCATTAAATCACACGTCACCACTAGGGGATACTCTATCTTTACCACATTGGTGGTGTGATGACACAGACCAAGTTTAATGCTATTCTGCCCTAGTTTTTTGAAGTTATTGAAGGTTAAAGTTATCTAGGGGGCGCTGTGACCAATTACATAAAAATCCCATTGGGGTCCTAGGGAGTCAAAGATGGCTTTGTGGTAGTTTACCATCAATCAGACTTTGCTTGTGCTTTCTAGAGCCAGAGAGCTGAAAGGGGGAGTAGCTAAAGGGATTTGAACCAACAACCACATCAATGTGTTTGGTGCAGTCACGTGATGACACAAGCCAAGTAAAATGCCATTTGGACCTTGTCTTTAGAAGTTAATAAAGTTTGAACCTATCTAGGTGGCACTGTTACCATTTACAACTAATTCCCATAGAGGTCATCTTTGGTCATCAAAGATGGTTTTCTGTTAATTTGGCATCAATCAAACATTGCATGGGTCATCTACAGCCAAAAGGCTGTAAGTGGGCAGAGTTAAAGTGATTTGAACGAGTAAGCACATACGTGTTGATTGCAGTTGCGTGATGACTCCCACCATGTTTGATACAGTTTGAGCTTTTTTGTAGAAGTTACAAAGGTTTTATTGTATCTAGGGGGCGCTGTTCCAAATTTGGAAAATATCCCATGAAGCAGTTTGTAGGTTGACAACAATCATTTGCGTGTAGTTTGGTGTGAATTGAATTATGCATATGTTATTCAGGGCCTAATATCTGTCAGGGGGTGGAGCTAAAGCAATATCAACCAATGACCACAGGATTGTTTTGAGTGCCATTGTGTGATGACACATAGCAAGTTTGGTGCAGTTGCGACCTCGTTTGTAGGAGTTATTACAGTTTTAAAGGAATGTAGGGGCGCTGTGGTGATATTATACAACGTTCACCAACCGTTTGGCCTCATTGGCTAAAGGGCATGATTGTTGATTGCCATGTTCAGTCTCGTGAAGATCTGAGGCTGTTTGTGGAAGTTACAGTCAAACGTAAGGTCACGGCGTCATGCCAGAATTCGCCATGGCATCAAAGCCCCTCCCTTTCTGGAAAGCTATCAGAAATGAATGGTCATTACAGCATCATGAAGACAGTGCATGACCTTAGTGTCATGTTGACTAAATTAGAGGGGACAAATATGGACATTTCACCATAAAACAATAGACTTTCTGTTGTCAGGGGGCGGGGCTTAGGTAATGTCAGCTGTCCACATTGTCATTGTCTTGAGATGTGGTCAGTGATCACGCATACAAAGTTTGATATAGATCTGATCATGCATATGGGAGTTATTACGTCAATGAATGTAATGGCGAAAGGTCAATGTCTGAGGCTTAGCCACGCCCACACCTTTCAACTTTTGAAAAAGCCAACGATTGAATTTTTCCCCCTATGTCTTAAGAGTATATAGCAAAAGTTTGAAGGCGATCGGTGAAAAGGGCGACGGGGCATCATTCTCCAAACAACGTGTGCGAAAACCACTAAATTGAGTACTTGGACCAAAATGGCCGACCTCCTGTGCGACTTTGCGCTTTTCTCCAAGAGACTTTTTTGTAGGTCCTGAAACACCATTAGTGTACCAGATTTCATAATCCTCAGTCAAAGCATGGCTTGAGGCTGACAGTTTAAATGGGGCGCTATTTAAGATAATAGGCCATGCCCACTGGATTTTCACATCAGATTTTTTTGGGGGCGGGACTAGGATCACTCACCAGAAGTTTCGTGGCGATATCTTTAGAAATGACGAAATAGGAGGCAAACGTATTTGCATGGTGTGATGGCGAATTTCACCATGCTCCCAAAGCCCCGCCTTTTGTCGAAACCTGCCAGTACTGGACACCAAGTGACCTCAACTTATTTACTGCTATTTGCCAGAGATTGCTGGTGATTGGGTGAAAAGAGTCCAATAGGGAGCTGTGAAAAAAAGAGTGGAGTGACGACAGGCCAAAGTTTGAGGTTTAGCCACGCCCATACCTTTCAACTTTTGAAAAACCCGACAGTTGAATTTTTTCCCCTACGTCTTAAGAGTATATAGCAGAAGTTTGAAGGTGATCGGTGAAAAGGGCGACGGGGCATCATTCTCCAAACAACGTGTGTGAAAACCACTACATCGAGCACTTGGACCAAAATGGCCGACCTCCTGTGCGACTTTACGCTTGTCTCCAAGAGACTTTTTTGTAGGCCCTAAGACACTACATTAGTGTACCAAATTTTGTAATCCTCATTCAAAGCATGGCTTGGGGCTGACAGTTTTAATGGTCCTAGGGGCGCTATTTAAAGAGACTTTTCGGACTTTAGAATATTTGTGCTCGCGATTGCCCCCTCAGGCCAAAAGCGTAATGGCAGCTACAATAGTAGGCTCGTGCACGAGGCGCACATGCTGTACGTGCACACCGTCAATCCAAAGAACGGTTCGGAGAGAAAATGGCAATTTTGTTGCTAATTTGCAGGGAATATCTAGAAGAAAGTTCTACAGAAAGTAGCTAAGGGTCCTCTGAAATGTAGCTAAGTTTGTCACTAGGTGTTAGGAACAGCGACAAAGTCGCTGAGTTGGCACTGCCTCTCTCTCTGCTGCTAAAGCTACGGATAGCAAATGCTACAGGCCATGCCTGAGCGTGAAGCAGCCTGCTCAACCCGAGCATCTCTCTTTTTCTGTGATTTTACAGAAAAACAGGCAATCACAGTAAAAATGCCAGGGCTCATACTACACGACCAGGGCATTGCAGGAGAATGTATGAAGACGAAATTTATTATTTCTATACATGTTTTGACTGTCAAACTTCCTTATAGTCCCTTAAGAAAATAGGCCACATACACTGGATTTTCACATCAGATTTTTTTGGGGGGCCAGACTAGGATCACTCACCAGAAGTTGAAACGGCCAAAACGGGGTCAAACTTACTACTTCAAACCAAAATGGCCAACTTCCTCTTTGATGTTGACCATGGTTGCAAGAGGCTTTCCTGTGCGGACTGTTGAGTACTACAAATGCACAAAATTTCATAACTGTATGACAAACTAAGGTTTATGGAGGGCGGTATTTTTCACATTCTACGGGGTGCTGTGGAGCTAGTTTTATTGCAATTTTTTTGGGACATTTAAAATACAAAATTTTACACCACGCCTGACATGTGTGCAAAAATTCCTGAGTTTTCGGGTATGTTAAGGCCTCCAAAAAGCCAGTTTACTTGGCGGAAGAAATATAAACAGAGCAGATACAATAGGCCTTCGCAGTGCTTTCGCTGCTCGGGCCTAATAAATACTTTTTATTAGTGGCTCAGTTTTGGATTCCTAGTTTAGGGACACTTAAGAGATTTTAAAAAATATTTTTGTGTATAAAAATATAAACAATGACCTTCTTACCAGTTGTCGTGAATATCCACTGAGATGTACCACCGAACGCGGGAGCGGCACGTAATGTAATAAGACGCGTTTTCCCTGCGAGCTCAGCGGCTTCACTCCAATGTCTCAGACTTGAATTGGCAGCGAATGCTTTCCACGTAGCTGGTCCAGCAAGGTCACAAAATCACAGGAGAATTACAAGATCAAGAGTGATTTCGGAAGTTTGCACAATAACAAGCAAAGAGTAAGAGGAAACTCACTCATCGACTATAATAATGGATAATAGCTGATTATAGCTAGCCTAAGTCATCTCCCTTTCCAGTCGGCTCATGAGTACCCGTAAGAACGAAAAAATGAATGCAAGTCAACGGGGCTAAAAGAGCCATTTTCTGATCCACCCCGGATCACACATATGTTGTACTGCAAATCAAATGAAAAGTAATGATGTGTGTTTCGACCTTTTGTACTTTGAGATTTATCAGATTATAAAAGTTCTGAATTCCATCCATCCATCCATTTTCAGCCACTTATCCGGGGTCGGGTCGCGGTGGCAGCAGCCTATGCCGAGACACCCAGATTTCCCTCTCCCCAGCTACTGGGCCAGCTCTTCCAGGGGAATCCCAAGGTGTTCCAGCTGAGATACACAGTCCCTCCAGCGTGTCCTGGGTCTTCCCTTGGGTCTCTTCCCAGTTGGACATGCCTGGAAAACCTCACCAGGGAGAGCTTTCCGGCTCAGCTCTCTCTTTACCACGACAGATCGGTACAGCTCCTGCATCACTGCAGATGCAGAACCAATCCCCTTATCAACCTCGTTCCATCTTTCCCTCACTCACGAACAAGACCCTGAGATACTTAAACTCCTCCACTAGAGGCAGGACTTCATTCCTGACCTGGAGAAGGCATTCTACCCTTTTCCGATTTATCATCGCTCTGAATTCCTATGACTACAAATCAGACGTCAGCACATTGCATATGTGACGTCAACACAGAATCTCCTCTACCCTAGCATAGCTGCTTCTTACCACATGGCGAGATTCATGGTGGTTCTTTTCTTCTGAAAGAAGGATTCAAAGTTTGCTAAACTTAGCCATTTTCCTCTGCTTTTCTGCATGTCTGATTTGATGATGTCAATTTGGTGATGGGCATTTGTAGTCCTGTACTTATTTTCTCACAATATCTAAAATAACATTTGAAAAGAAGCACTTTCTTGCCATCAGAATGTGTCTTTAAAATCACAGACAACATATGTGATGTGTTGACATCCATGGCACATAACAAATGGGATTAGAAAACAGCTTTTATAGCTCAGTTGACTTGCATTCATTTTTTCGTTCTTCCAAGGACCCATGGTCCAGAATAGATGGGCGCGACTTAGTCTCCCTATTGCGTTTGCCTGATGTTCCCACTTTGCAATGGGTGGAATGCCATGGTTAAGAGTTTCCACAGGGCAAATTAGCTAATGACTAGTAATTAGCAAGTGTATCCAAGGGTTGAGACATGCAGGAATTTCTTCTGGTAAAATAGCCATGTAATGGGAAATTTACTATGACGTAAAGGTTTATAAGATGCGTTTTCTATAACATTTTGGAGATTGAAATATTTTTGGACAGCTGCAACAAACTTTGGTCTTTGCTGCTCTCAAACTAGCCATTAGCTCATCAGTCCTAGAGCATAAATGTGATTACTCAAAATAGAATAGAATTAATTCAACAATCTGCTATATCTGCCGGTAAAGATATGGTATGATAGTTTTTATTTATAACTTTTACCAAAATAAAAAAAAAAACACTTCTTAACCCTCTCAGGCTCAAAATAAGTTTTGATAAAAGGATGAACAACTAAGTCCTTCAGGGGTACTTCTGAGTTCAAAAATGTTAAAGGAATACGTATGTGGAGTAACCAGGTAGGTAGGTTTTAACGTTGCAAATCTGCAACGCCTGCCTCCAGAGGGTTAATGGCCCGATAAGTTATTTTTATGAATCTTAATGGAAAACGCACAGAAGTAAAATATTTTTCTGTTATTTTTAACATTCAAAACAATCAGTGAGATATTTTCCCTCTAGGGCTGCAGAATAAACTAGACGTTGATTTGCAATGAATCTCAGTGTTTTGTCAATCAGATGCAAGACACATTTCCAAGGTTCCTGGAAGCTTAAGACACGTGTTTCCTGTTTCAAGTCTTCAACAGTGTCTCGCTTTACCTATATTGTGTAATACTAAACAGGAATTCTTATATTTCATGTCAGCTTTCTTTGTTTTAAGTGAGTTTTAAATATTACTTTCTAAACGTTTGAGGTTCTTATTGCAAAAATATACATGCAGATGTATCTTTATAATATACTGGAGGTAAAGGATCTGAAAAAGAGTTTACCCGCGGTGTCAGGTCACTGTTGATACAGAGACTAATTGTGTTTTACACTAGCTGTCAGAGGTGTGACCAAGTCACTGCTTTGCAAGTCATAAGTAAGTCACAATTCTTTCCAGTCAAGTCTCGAGTCAAGTCCAAGTCAAAGACAACCAAGTCAAAGTTGAGTCCAAAGTCAATGATGTGGAAGTCCAAGTCAAGTCCAAGTCCTTAACTTTGAATTTTCAAGTCACAATCAAGTCATCTGTCCAACTTCAATTTAATGAGAATGATAATAAATACATTCCAGAAATAAAGCTTCTTAAAGCTTCATTTATTTGCTCAAACAAGCAGAAAGTGCAACTGAAGTTGATTATGAACAAAGTGCTACTACAGTTAGCAGAACAAGATCAAACCCAGAACAAAGAATGATTTATGATTTTTGTCCATGTCGTGTCACTTTTGTGCTAAAGCACAAAATATGACATCAAGTCAACAGATGCAAGTCGATTCAAGTCGCAAGTCATTGGCGTTCAAATCCGAGTCAAGTCATTAGTCTTTATAGATTGTATCAAGTCAAGTCAGAAGTTATTAAAATAATGACTCGAGTCCAAGTCATGTGACTCGAGTCCACACCTCTGCTAGCTGTTTGGTTATATACTCTAATGGTTTTTTCTCTTTTAAATGGAACATTTACTTGAACAGAGAGAAGTTGTGGTTTTACGGAATACTAACCTGCAGTTGAATTTATGATTGAATGAGATCAAAGCTAGAAATCGACACTAAAGCATTACTTGTAACTGGCACTGTAGTCAAAAGGCAAACAGGTGACAGAATAAGATTTTCTGATGCAGAGCTTGCAGACTTAACAATTCTCCAGCTTCAGTTTGAACTGAAACTTGATCTGCATCTCGTTTTTTAGATGTAAAAGAATAAATGGAGGGAGATTTTACAGTTTTGCAAAGAAGAGGGCAATAATTCATAAATCTTGAGCACAGACCTAATTTGCATCAACGTTTTGCTCCTTAAACAATTGAAGTTTAAGAGTGCTGCATTAAAACAAAACTGGAACACTCCACCTTAGTATCATTTTTATCAAGTTTTCCTTTTCCCCACCTGCTGCTCTTCGGGAACAACTTTTCGTGGCTGTGAAAGAAAGAGGTATCAGAATCAAATTTAAAGCATGATAGAAAAGGGCTCTGAACATACAATACATTTAACCAGTGAGTTATCCGTACCCATTTCCTTGGTCGCCCTCGTGGTCGTCTCCCCCCCACAGGTTCTACCTTCTGGGAAGAAATGCACGAATGTGTCAACAATCACACAACTTTGTAAAGACATAGAAGAGTAAAGCAAACCCACAACAGGTCAGTATATGAAGACCTACCGTAAATCCTCTAATATTGGCCTGTATTCAATTAATGGTCGGGTATCATATTTTGGCCGGTGTCGGAGTCGGCGGAGGTGAATAATGGCCGGTATTTTATTGTGGCCAGGTGAAATGTGGTAACAAACAAGTATGGGGGGCGGTTCTCTCATCCGTCTCACTTTTGATTTGCCAGTGATAGACCGCAAGGGTAACTTTAACCGTGCGGAGACGAAGAGGAGGCAAAAATTTGATATCAAGTTCAAAGAGAACGTGCTGATTATGCTGCAGAACACACTGGGGAGCAGTAGGGGTTGTATGAACTAGTCGACTTCACTATTGTGATTTTTTATGCCTGTCATCGACTAGTCGCTGTCACGTGATAATGACCGGCAAGATGCAGCCCTCGGAAAAGACAGCAGCCTGCTGTCAGCAAGCGACAAGCTCCTGTGCACCGGGGGGTGGGGGTGGGGGGGTGGGGGTGGGGGTGGGGTGGGGGCAACGCGCTGTGCCAGAGCGTCGGTACTGACACGCGATCGTTCATGTCGGCTCATTTCCTTTAATGTTTTCTGTCTTTTATTTGCGCCTGATGCGTTTCGCTGCTGTGGAGCGGGGCGCATCACCTTGTCCTCCGGTGACGCACCGATCACTGATGCGGCCGCCAAGCAGCGAGCACTCCGCTGTTTTTGCGGTCGGTAGATCTGCGTCCTGAGCACGGCCACAGTAACATTATCAAATTAGGTGTTGCCACCTCATAAACAAATTTAACACGCGATCGTTCATGTCGGCTCATTTCCTTTAATGTTTTCTGTCTTTTATTTGCGCCTGATGCGTTTCGCTGCTGTGGAGCGAGGCGCATCACCTTGTCCTCCGGTGACGCATTGATCACTGATGCGGTCGCCAAGCAGCGCGCACTCCGCTGTTTTTGCGGTCGGTAGATCTTTTAGAACTGCAGTTCAAAGATAACTCATAAGGTGAATATATATGAACCCAGGTAGCAGTTTTTTTTAGGACTGAGAGGAGATGCAGGAAGATAATAAACAGGCAGGACAGAAAAATAGTCAAATAAAAACAAGTTAGTTTTTGTACCTGGCGGTTGCAACAAACAGACACCATTGAAGGTAATCAGAAGGGAGGAACAGAAAATGAAATAATTATTTTAATGTTTAGAGCAGCAGGAACTCCGAGAGGCTGCAGGCGCATCAGTGAGTTTGCGGCCACTGTGCAGGGGAAGGGGGGAGAGGGCTGAAGCAGAAACTACCGTTGTTAAAAGAAATGTCTTTAACTTTGAAAATGTGGGCGCAATTTTAATTGTCAAAAACTCCAGCGAACCATTAGTTCATTTTGCTCAAATAGAAATAGAGGCCTGCCTCTAATTCTGGTCCTCCTTCCAATAAAGGCCTGGAGCTTGATGAGCTTGAGTCAAATACAGGCCCGGGCCTGTATTAGAGGATTTACGGTAAATGATAGATTTGTGCAATTTGCGTCTTTAATTATAGCCTCATACATCAAATACCTAACTCAGCCATGTTGAAACAAGTTAAAAAAATGCAGCTGCAGTGATGTGGAGAAATAACACTTTGAAACCACCTATTTCATAGTCTCACCTTTAACTTTTACCCTGCATGCAATTCTTTATAGGCATGCTCTGTGTCTTTTCTGGTTTTTGGTGTATTTGTGTTGCAACGGTATGGCGCCACAAACAGGCCTGGCATCGCTGCTCCAGTGTTTTCACTGGTTTATAGTGTATTTCAAGGAAGGAGAAGTCACTTCTAGAAAGAATGTAAAATGTATAAAAATTAGAGGCTGACCAATATGTTTTTTTAAGGCCGATACAGATTTTGAAAGAATTTTGTTGACGATGGCCAGTATCTAAAGTCGATTATTAAGGCTGATGTATATACGTTTTAGCAGCACATCGATTGTGAAAGACAACTTAATACTCCCTGTGTGTAATATAAATTAAACAAGTCAACAAATCTCTTAATACTTATTGAACTTCAAATATAAAACAAACTCAAACATAAAAAAAACGGGTGTGTTGGGGTCCTTCGGTCGGCCTCTAATAAAAATGTTACAAGGTCTTCGAGAGGTTTCGAAATGTTCCATATTTTAAAGGTGCATAGTAGGGATGTGTATTGGTGAAATTCTGGCAATACAATATGCATCACGATACGGGGGAGACGATACAATATATCATAATATATTGCGATACATTCAGCCAGACAATAGTAGCGATTTTTTTGACTGAATCTATTGTAGGAAATTTCAATAAACTGTCCAAACTGATACATAACATGTTTATCGTGATGTATCTGAACCATAATAAAGAGATTTACATTTCAATAGTGGAAACAAAACCCACTGCACACTGCTGCTAACTAGAAGTCGGCGTTTGAATTGCACCAAAGGAAATGACAAAACACAAATGTTTGCATGTGAATTCTTCCCAAAAGTCGATACACGGCTTTTGAATATCAATATAATATTGCAGGAAACAATATCACGATATATTGCCATATCGATACTTTCTTACATCCCTAGGGCATAGTGTAAAAATAAAATACGAATGACATCCTGTGATCAGATTTGGTCACTGCAGACCATTTTCAAATCAAACGAGTGACCTTCTCACTCCCGTTTTGTGAGTTTCAAGGCTGTTGCCAGTTATGGCTCAGCACCAGAAGATTCAAGAGGATGAGCGAAGGAGAGTCATACACAGTAAGTTGATAAGTAGATAAAAACATTTAACTGTAACATTGAGTTGTTGGTAATTGAAAAAGTAGCTCGAGATATTTTTAGCAACGACAATTTGTGTCTAATTCACAGTGAGCATTGTTAGCTCAATTTTAGCCGCTAGCCTTCTTTACCCGATAGAGTAAAACAAAAGGATGCATTGGCTTCTTAGGGGTACAAGAAATAACTTCCGGGTCGCTCCTGTTTACTAGCAAAATGTTGCTGTGTTTTGCCAGCTAGTGAATTCCAAATGGAACACCTAATTGGCAACCCCAGAGGTTCACATAATAAAAACAATGACTATGTCTATTTTGGGCCATTTTGCAAGAAGAAAAACTGACAACCCCCCAAACGACTGAGGAGGAGATCTGTTTTAATGTAACCTTCCTTCCAATATGATTGAGACATTAGACTGTTTTGTGATTATTTTGCTGTAAAATGCCTACATATTGTACCTTTAAATTGTAAATTAGATCCAACTAACAATCCTGTCTCTAAATTGTTATGCGGATAAAGGATGAGACAGAATTTTTTGCACCAGTTACAGGCAGGTTACTGTTTCAGTTGGACAGGATGAGGTGGAGTCCGTTTCAGTTTCATAACACAGCTATATCTCAGATTTTTACACTGATACAGTTGGCATGGAGTGGCAGCTGCTACTGGAATAAGATCTTAAACACTATTTGAAGGCGCGTTAATATATTTGTGAAGATTTTGCACTATGTTTAAAGTTAGCAACATCTTCAATGAGCTTGAATTTCTTTCCCAGTCTCAAACTTATTTTTGTTACTTGAACATCAAAATAGTTACACGCGCCAACTTGGCCAGAAATTCCTCCAGCCCATTGCAACAAAACGTCAAGAGGTCGGCCATAACGGGCAGGGAAAAAGCCACTGTGAGGAAAGCACTTGAGTACATTCTTGAGTCTCAATTTTACAGCACTAAAAGAGGTTAAAGATTAGCATTTTATGAATAAAATGTTTTGAATTAAAGTGTTTTTCTCTGTCTGTCAACATCTTCTGTGATGTAGAAGCTCATCGGTTAAATATTAAAAATAAATGCTCAAAAAAGAAGTGTTTTTCAGCGCTGTTCTCAGAAATTACATAAATAATAGAAATATATAAATGTAGTCCAGAACACTAAAAAGTTACATTATTAAAGATAATGTTGAATTTGCTGAGTGAAATAAATATTGAACGTAAATATCTAAGCTTTCGTTATACATTATGCTTTATTTTCTTTTTTCTTAACCTCACTGAAGATTAAAATTTGGTAAGACGAAGGCAAGTATTGTTACTGTGGAAAGAAAAACATAGAAACACGTAAATCAAGTGTTACTGATGAGTGTAAAAAAATAATAAGCTGCTGACAAACTAGAATGTGATGAAGACATGTTTTTATAATATTTATACGACCTAAATGCAGATAGAAGTAATATGAATGTGTGTCAGAAAGTAGACACTCAGCACCCCTGATGGAGACTCATGAATTCATAGATTATAAACACACAACCATGCTCGTCTTCTGTACTCGACACAACGTCACGTTATCGGCCATGTTACCATTACCTGCCATTTTTTATCGCTGAAAGTTTTATTCTAGTATCTTTATTATATTTTATTCTATTTTTAATCTTATTATTCATGTTATATGTAGCACATTAGTACCGAAGCAAGTTCCTAGTTTGTGAATTGTTTGTTCACTGACAATGGCAATAAACCTATTCTGATTCTGAAACATTTTTACCATCCTAAGATAAAAGTCTCTAGATCTGCCCCTGCCAACAGAAAACAAAAACTCTTGGAAAGCATGAATCTGGGTTAAAAAGGCTTCTCGGTGAGTTCAGAAAAACAGATAAATATATTGTTATTGTGAAAAAGGTTCAAGCATTTGGAAACAATGTTATAAACAAATAGGTGTGTTATGATGGTGTGAGACTATGCATGTATATGAAAGTGTGACTGAAACCTTCAGTGCGGTTCGGGGGGCTTTGTTCTTGCTGCCTTTCGGTCGTCCTCTCGGTCGCTTTGGAGTTGGTGGTCCAACAGGTTCCTGCAAGATCAAATCTGGAATCAGAACTGATCAATCAAAACTGCTTTCCTACTGTAAGCTACCAAAACACGCAGCAAGCAACCTCACAATTTGTGTTTTTCTTTGCTAATGTGTGTCAACTAAACACCTGATCACATGAGCTTGGGTTCAGAGTGGCTTCCTGATGTCGTACCTGCTGCTGTTTCCGTGGGCGACCTCTTCCCCTGCGCTGCGGCTCCTCGGGTGACTGGGCAGCACTTGACTGAGGAGATGGCTCTTTGGTCCCACTGTTACTCATGCCTGCGTCTGTCCACCTGTGTGTGGGCATCAAAGCCTGGAGCAGCGGCCTCAAGGGCTTAAAGAGGAGAAAGAGATGAACATCATGAGCTGAAGCGGGAATGACAGTAACAACAAAACTAGAAACATAAATACTTCTCAATGCAATCACACTCAAGTATTTAGGATAATCAGCTCTGCTGCACCACCTCCAATCAGCTCCCTTTCTTTTTCTGCACAGAAAGCATTACCAATCAGTGCTCAACGTATCATCGAAATTCAGAATCCCACTGAAACATTTTCCAAGTGAAACCGTGGGAACATACATAAGCCTTGGCACCGGGTTCATCGGAACATAGACGGGGATCTGGCAAATACGGAGAAGCATGAGCATGGTGTGCAGGGACTAAAAGTAGTGCAGATATTCACAACTCAATCTGCCGTGCAAAATCTGCTTCTACTGTATTCAATTCAGCATCTCTATCTGCACTCCGTGAAGTATTTCCCAACGGGAGCTGGGAATGTTGCTGGTGGGACGATGCTGAATCAGCATTTGAAGTGAAACTGTGACAATAGCATGCCAACACACACACACACACACACACACACACACACACACACACACACACACACACACACACACACACACACACACACACACAAAACTGCATGCAAAATATTTCTGCAGAGCTCCACAAACAAAGGACCAGGCTGAATGCAACCATTAGACAACAACACTTGTGCATACCCTGTAAAAGCTCTCACTGCTACAATAAAATAAAGATACAAATAGTTAGGCTATAAATGACCAATTAACAGTTAATAATAGTTACTAACCTGGAAGCACTTTGTAAACTATTAATTGGCAATAAAAAACATAAAATAAAAAAGGACAATAGAAATCTGTGGCTTGTCAAATAGTGAGTTTATAAACACTTATCAATGCTTTACAATGTGTTCTCAAACTGATTAATGAATTATTGTAAAATATTATAAATCCTAATATTTACAACCTGGTAAGAAGATCTTTCATGATGAGCTTTATTGATTATTTTTTTTTACCTTTTGTTTATGTTTAAAAGAAGCATAGGGGCCTGGTGCCCAACTCCAGCAGTATATGGGCAAACAGGTGGGGCAAATCCTGGACAGGCTGCCAGTCCGATTGATCTAATACCTAAATAACTTGTACATATAAAAATATATGAAAATATTGAATGTATATCACCCTTTACAGCCTGATACATGACTGATGTTAAACATTTATTATATTTGATCATGTAAAAATAAAATAAAAACAAAACTGACACTTGCCACCTGCAGTTAGTGATGATATTCAACAGGAAGGTACTAATCATGCTACAGAGATAATACTCTAACCAATATACTAAATTTATATAAAAACAGTAAGCTTTTTTTCAGTGCTCTTAGAAATTAGAAAACAAACGTGTCTGTTCTCTCTTAATTATGTGCTCCCACCATAAAAAATAAGCATTTAAAATGACAAATCTCAACTGAATAACCTGTATTTAGACGAAGGAAGCCAAATAAGCAATAAACAACAAAATATCAAGTATTAATTGAAGTAAATAAGCATTAGCATGATAAATAAATAATACATCACATTCACATGATGTATAAAAGCGTTATTAGACGTGTTTTTGCAGAGTTTAGTAACTCTTCAGCAGCCAAACACATCTGATGTTTATATCCAGTGGAGACTGACCGCTGGGAATGTCCAAAGGTGCTCGTTTCCGTCAGGAATGCGCCAAACACCAATTGCCAACGCAGCCTATCAAAACCGCCTCCCCGAAGCAGGAAGTCAAAGTAATTTTGAGAGAAAATTTCTAAAGAGTTTAAAAACCAAAGGAAGACGCGCGACGTCGTTGGAGGCTCGTCGCCTGTGTGTGAAGTCAGTTCGGAACAACAAGGAGGTCAGAGGCGCGACGCAACCGCGCACACGCAACAGGTCTGCCGCTCGCCTCCTCGCTACGCTGCGGGACTGAATGTACTTTTGGCGAATGGGCGGCAAGAGGGACCGTAAATGCGCCTTATTGCGCCTCGTTATAAGAGAAGGTGCGCAAAAATAAAAGAGCGTGAGTTTCTACGGACCGTCACATGCTGGCACATGTTGACGGCAAAACACCAGTCGAGGTCGTTCGGCGATTTTTTAAAAGCGGAAAGTCTCTCGAGCCAGACAACATCCCCCTCCTGTTCCCATCACTTGCGCAACCCATCTTTAAAAAAAAAGTGTTTCAGGACGATAACAACGCAACAGCCAGGTCCGGAGGTAGTAGGTAGAGGAGGGAGAGAGGGAGGGAGGGAACATAAAGCTGGGGAAAAAAACTTTCCCAAGGACAAAAGACATGAAACACAGGTGCAAAAGCTCTGTTTTCTGCGCAGAGTGTGAACTATACATTCAGCCTACAGCAGGCTCCGTGTTCTGTACAGCCCTGTTCTTGCAGCCAGCACGCGCCTGCACGCACACAGCAGAGGAAGTTGGACCTACCTTAAGTCGGTTTGCAGCTCTACCTGGAAGTTCACACACACTCCGCTCACTTTGTGCTCCTGCCCAACTATGAAAATCTTAGTGCATCGACTGTCTCATTGGCTGAAATGAAAGTGTAACCTCTCTCTCTCTCTCTCTCTCTCTCTCTCTCTCTCTCTCTCTCCCTCCCTTTCACTCACTCACTCACTCACTCACTCACTCACTCACTCACTCACTCACTCACTCCTAATCGGAAATGTGTGTGATCACCCCCAGACATCCAGTCACGAATACCCCAGATGCAGTATAGTGGGGGGTTGCAGCAGAGCAGTATGCATTGCATACTTTCTCTATTAAAGCATGTTTCAAGACAGAGCGAGGGTAGGAGGGTTGAAACAGAGGACCCCGCCCCGAGCAGCTCACTGGACCACCCACTTGAGAGGGAAAAAAAGGGGGGAGAGAGAAATACGGGCAAACTGGAGGGTCTGGTTCCGGGGTTCACAGAGTGGGGGTCTGGAGGAGGAAGGGGAGGAGGAGGAGGAGGAGGAGGAAGAGAGGGGGCTGGGAAGTTCCCCAAAGAAGGGAGGAAAAAGGTTGCTTCTGTAGAAATCATAGTGAGAGCAGACAGTCTGCACAGCTTCAAGCAGAGGTTTCACTCATTTTCCCTGCTGTTATCTCCCCACCTACGACAGACAAACACAAGATCATTAACTCTGCAAGTCATAAAGGACTGTTGTATCAAAGAAAGGCAAAATCTCCAGAGCAACAACCTGTTGCGTGTTTGTGAATCTGGACTCAAGTTGGCCCAGTCAGTCATGTTCCTCAAAAGCATGAAGGCAAAATAAAATGTTCACAGCTATTCATCAAAAGCCACACTATGTGTCTCATTAATATGCATTTTTAATTGTTAATTATCTTGAAAATATGAATGCCTCACATGTAAAAATTAAATAAATAAAGCCTGCGCTTGTTTTCATTAAACATTTCTGTTTTAGCTCATGCTTACTATCTTTTCCCCCTTTCTTTGTTCTTCTGAAATCCTTTACGTTTACACAGACTGATAAATTGAGATGAAAAGGTTCAGACCATGGTGAGCACACATTCCAGGGACGGCTAAAGCTGAACCTCTCATGGAGTCATGTCAGGTGAGCGTTCTGGCATGAGACCAGAATATAAAGCTTTAGGTTGCAAAGATGAAGCACAAACATCAGTTTGAACCGTTTCTGCAGCTTAAGTTTCATAATGAAATTCAGAAATATCTCAATATTACACAACAGCCATAGAAAGCATGACTCAAATGGCTTTTATCGTAATGGAGCTACATGTTGTCTCAGGTTGTTATGAGGTTGCACGAAATATACAAAGAAAACATTTTCATGTTGTTGTGAGAACATTAACTTAAAAAAAATTCAAAAAGTTTCCCAGAAGTTTAGGGAAACATTGCTGAGAACCCCGTAGTCATATTTAAATAAAATTTGTCATCTTTTATAAGTATTACTAATTGAACGTAATGAGAAAAACCATCAGTTCTTCACATTCAAACCATCCGTTTCAGTTTACAGACTATATTTGTTTCTGTTCCTGCACAAAACCGACACGAGTGAAGCATTGGTGCAGAAATCAACAAGAAAAAGACATGGAAGAGGGAGAAAAGGTGGGGAGATGGGGGAGGGTATTTATGAGAGACATTCTGAGTGTATGTGTGTGAGAGAGAGTTCAGTGGCCCTCTGCAGTCTGAGATTCGGTCGGACTCTGATCTTGAGGTTTATTTAAGCTGAATTCCGTGGGCTCATCAGGAGCGGGTTACAAAAATCCTACTATAGAACAAGAAAGAATGTGCAGCGCATACAGTTCTGCATAAGGCACAAAGGCATGTCTTTAGAGGTGGGGGCAGGCATCAAAAGACAGGCAGAGGAGGGATTTCTTTTTAGAGGGCTGGGGGTAAAGAATGTATTTTGGAGCTCCATTCAATGCCAAGGTGAAGCAGGGGACCTGTACAGTTTTGTGGTAATGGGTGCATTTATGTGGGACGTTCGGACCTTTAAACCGCTTTAAACTTCAGCTTCTCAGCTGCTGGGGGTTAATTGGCTCCTCTGAACCAGAGGTGCTGCAATTCGTTTGATATTTCCATTTAAATCTTTTCTTAAAAAGGTGTTTCATCACTGATTTTGCAAGTGTGTCAAAGCAACTTACAAAGCAGTTACCAATAGGCAGTTAGGCTAAAGTCTGATGTGCACCATCTGCGTGGGTACGGAGACACGCAACTCTATGATGCATCGACACAAGGGCTCTGCGGCAGGCCCACAGAGGCTGACATAGACATGCCAAATTTTTTTCTGTCCATTGAAAGTGATGGAGACCGCAAGGCTGCGATTGGTTAGGACACCACTTCTTTTTAAATTTGTCAACAGCAGCGCCATTTCCCTTTTAAAAAGATAAAACGAGTACCAATGGTATCTAGTGGCAGACACTGAGCAGATCGGACAACGTCTCGCAGAAAAAGTCAGACAATACGAATGTTTATATACCCGTGACTGATGGAGTACAAAGATCCACATTAAACTTTTTGTTTGTGGAGGGAAATGATGAGAAACCTAGGGTTAGAGGTTGCTGACTACATGAAGAAGTGGAGAAAATGTGGGACAAATTTGCCAGTATTAAAAAGTGACTGAAATACTTAAGTACAGTAAAAACATCCAATAGTAGATAGACTATCCTGGGCCAGAGACATGACTGCAATGGTGGCATGATACCCTCCAAAAAGTGCTATCCCCTCTGTTGGCAGGGCATTGCTGTGCAACAAATCCCCCCAGGCAAAGGAGAATGCCTCCGTGCAGTATAAAAAAGGGACTTATCAATAAACTAAAGATCTAAAGATGTTTGTGAAGAGATAGGATTTCAAGAGTTTCTTGGAGATGGACAGGATTTCAAGAGTTTCTTGGAGATGGACAGAGATGCCCCTGATCTGGTAGTTCCTAGCAGGTCATTCAAAAATTTTTGAACTATACACGAACAACATCTGGATTGTCTTGATTTGTGATGTCAGCACTGCTAGGTGACAACTCTTTGATGACCCAAATGATCGAATTCAATTGTAAGTCTTTGCAGGAGGAATTAGATGGAAGCCATTCCAGTCAGGACACAGTACAAACTGAGAGTCCAGTTAGGACATTGTTGTAGTCAAGACTGGAGATGACTGAGGTGGGCAATCACTTGAGGGCCACTCTCCAGCATCTTTTGTTTCCCTGCTTCAACATGTCTGGTTTTAATGAGCAAATAACAGACGTTTCCGGAGGGACCACAACTAAAAAAGGGAGCAGGGAAACAAATGAAACATCCTGGATAGTGGTCCTCGAGGACCAGAGTTGTCCACCCCTGCCATAGACTGCAGGACTAGATGGCATATTGTGTTCAGTACATTGTACGTTACACAATGTATGAATGAGCAACAGACACAACATGGTCTTAAAAGGTCAGCTGGTCATCAATCCCAAAATTTAAGCTATATTTGATGGAGCAAGATATTTAGATGAATTTTGCATTGAAACCTTGTGCTGTAGGGTTGGTTTGGCTGGGAAGAGAAGCAGTTCCATCCAGAGAGGTTTAGTTGGAGGTGGTGGGCCTTTCTGCATCTCGATGTCAGCGAGACATTGAGGGTTCATGTTGAGACTGTGTAGTTGTCAGAAGTTAATATCAGATAAAGCTGAGCATCGTCAGCATAGCAGTGGTTGAATTCAGTGTGAGGAATTATGAATTTAGAAGATTCCCAATGGTTTGGTTCACAAGTGAGGGGAGGAGGAAGTGGGAGATCAACAAATAGATCAGAGCAGTGATGCAGATGATAAACCGGTTGGTTTTGATGTAGAGCCAGAAGCCAGAAAAAAAAGCTTTAAATTTACCAGGTGATCTTTGTCCCAATCCTCAACAATGGTCATGAGCTGTGGGAAATGACAAAATAAATAAATAAATAAATAAAGATCGCAAATAAATACGGCCAAATTTAGTCTTCTCCATCTGGTGGCCGGACTCAACTTTAGAGATAGGGTGAAGAGGTCCGACATTCAGGAGAGACTCAGAGTGGTCGCTGCTCCTATATGTCGAGAGGAGCCAGAGGAGGTTGTTTGGGTATTTGGTGAGAACGCCCCCCGGACGCCACCCAGGGCAGGTGTTTCAGGCATGTCCTGGAGGGATCCCTGTCGGAGGGATTACATCTCCACTTTGGCCAGGGAATGCCTGGGGACGGAGCTTGTGGAGTTTGGGAAAGGGAGGTTTGGGCACCTCTGCCGGAGCTGCTACCCTGCGACCCAGAGCCAGAATATATGAGTGAAAACAGACAGTAGGAGGACAATAGTTAAGTTAGAGGCAGATGAAAAATGTTTATTTGACCACAACTCAGTCAAGAACGAAAGCAGCAGTGGTGATATACAATAAAAGCTCATGGGTAAGTTACAACAGTAATAAACAGAACACATCTTGAAACATAAAAATAGAATTCCCTAACGATTATGTGCAAAAAACAAAAGAAAAAAAAGTGACACATACGTCTCTTCAGTCTTATTAATCAACCATCATCATCCGACTGTACATTTTGATATTAAATTCTTGCAACATCTGAGATAAAAAAAAGGTTGTATTGTTTCTGATGGCTTTGATCAGTTCTGAGTTCTTTAAGCCATTTCCATGACCTTCTTGATCCAGTCCACGTACACAGAGACCCGGATGAAGATGTTGGGCTGCCCCGGGTGTCCACAGCGCCTCATGGGGATGATCACACCCTCGAGTACCCAGCAGTCAGCGTTCTGACACGCCAGCGGGCCGCCATAGTCTCTCTGCAGACACACAGCAACAACAGTCCGGAGTCATTATTTGTCTTTGTTATGACTGCCTGTCACGGCTCACGTTGGAAACCAGTTCACTTACACTGTCCATATGGTGAAAGTGCTTGATTTACAGGCGCTTATAAATAACTGTGTTCTTTTCTCAAGAGATTTAAATCACAAGAGGAGTTTCTTTATGCATTTGAGGCATTAATTTATAACACTTCACATGCATTGATTTGTGTCACTCAAGGAAAAGTTTTGTTTTGAAAAACGCATTTGTTCACATTTTTCTGAGTTATTTTTTTAACTTTAAGTTCAACATGAAGCCACAGCTCTCCTCTAGTTTGTTTAGCTCTGCTTAAAGTGAATTGATGGGCTATTTTTGGGTGTGTATTTTTTTTTGTAAAAATCATAAATAACCTTACTTTTTGATATGCATGACCTGTGAAATGGAAAACGTGAGCTGTTTCACAACAGCATCAGTGCTCCATTGATTTGGGACCATTTGGGCAAGACATTGTTGCCAGTGAACCAAATCTTGCAGCAAAATTAAAGCATTGCTCCTCCAGCTGCTTTTTAAAAATACACAATGACAATTATTCACTATTTCTAAAAATAATCTGTAAATGGGGGCTTCATGGTGGCACAGTTGATAGCACTGTTGACTTGCACCAGAAAGATCACAGGCTCAAATTCGGGTTGCAGTTTCCTCCTAGCCTAGTCAACTGGGCTAAATTCCTGCCTTGCAAAGTTATTCAGTTAGTCTGGCTTGCCAGGCTAGTTTCCTTCCAGACAAGATGGGATAAATCCCATAATTTTGTAGGAAACAACGGACGATGATGTAAAGCAGGCATGTTCAAAGTGCGGTGCAGGGGCCATTGGTGGCCCTCAGAGTGATTTTCTCCATCCCCCAACTGAATTTCTAGAATTTTCTGGAATTGTGTCCCCATGTAGACAGTTTTTGAAATTTTTATGTTCAGATTTTTACTAATATGAGGCTTATTGATGAGCTGCAAAAAATGCTTTCACTATACAGGTGTTTTTGCTTTAAAAAAGATCAAATTTTTGTGGCACATTTAACCCTCCCACTGTCCTAATGGGTGTGACCCCGCGAGGAAAGTTGACCATTGAGCAGGGTTGATGGTTTATCCCTTGGGTCCACGTGGCAGGAGTGAGGAGTGAGCACCACCTCACCCCTACGTGGACCTCAAGGGATAAACCATCAATCCTGCTCAGTGGTCAACTTTCCTCGCGGGGTCACCCATAAAGACAGTGGGAGGGTTAAAAGGATGAAAAGGCTTATGAAATAATGTTACTTGAATCATTATGGATACTGGGACATTGGAACAGTTTTACACTGACGCTTTTAGCTGCAGCCACAGGGAAACTTGAAAGACTAGAATTTGGTGCATAAGTCTATTTGTGTCCTTAACTCAACTTAGACTGAGAGACCATCTAAAGGCCCAGGAACCCTTTGCAGTTGTCTTGGATTAGCTGATTAAAGTGTGACACTTCTAGAATATTAAACCTCTTCACAATATTCTAACGGTCTAATGGTCAATATTCTAATAGATTTTGAATTTTTGGTTTTCATTAGCTGTAAGCCATAATCCTCACAATTACAACAAATAAAGGCTTGAAATGTCTCACTTTGCATGTAATGAGTCTATCATATTACTTTCTCTTAAGATGAATCACTGAAATAAATGAACATCTGCACAAAACTGAAATATTTCATGTTTCATCCATATCCTATTCGTCATTTTTACGCAGAAACAAACTTCTGTAAAATATGTTTTAGGGAAAAAAGGCAGAAAAATGTTCCCCAATCCTGAGATTGGCTTTGTTTGAAAGGTTTGCTGGCCTATTGGTTTATGTAAAGCAAAATCAGCAAAACTCTGATTTCTCAAGTTTAGTAAACATTTAAGAAAAAAGTCAGTGTTGGTGAAGTTTGAAGTGTATTTTTGAACTAAATGTGCTGAAATCTCTTAGAAAACTGTAAAACGGATCAGTTTTTTTGTCCTACAGTTGCTTACCTCACAGGCACCTACTCCACCATGGAAAGAGTTTGTGCACATCTCGTTTTCACGAACCCGACCCCTGAAGTATTTGTTGCACTCCTTGTTACTAATAACGGGTATCTGCGCCACGTTCAGGACAGTCTCATCTCCTGTCCCTGAATGAAAGCAGCGACAAAAAGAGGCAAATGCAAGTAAAGTTCTAAGAAACCTGGAGGCAAAAGGTGCCAATTTTTTGATTGACTGATTGTGGAAATAGAGACGCAATCTGTTGCTGAACTCAGGACCCCTCGTTTTTTGAAGGGAAGAAACAAAATGCTCATCTGGATTAAGTCATCTTTTTCTCTTCATGTAACTTGTAGCTGAAATGAGTGCAGATCATCCTCTCCAAAGAGGTTACCTTTCGTTTCACCCCATCCTGCAATTTCACAGACTGTCGACTCTGGGACTATGTAGCGCTCAGGAGGGAGGCAGATCTGAGAGACGCGCTCATTGATCTGGGCAGGACTGTAGACAAAAATAAGACATAGTCAGGGGCAATAAAACAAGTGTGTGTGTGTGTGTGTATGTGTGTAAAACTCACGATTCCAGCTGTAGCATGACCAGCTGAGACTCAGATGGTCCACACACAATCTTGGTGAGAGGGATGGTTTGCACATCCGGCTCTCCTTCTTGTGGGTCACGGTAAAGAGTTCCCATCCTGGCAGAGTACCCGGGCAGGTCCACGTAGCTGTGCAAGCAGATAATCTTAAAGATCTGACAAAAACACATCTGTAACATGCTTTTGAGAACTTTGGTCCTTTTTTATGTTATCAAGCTTAAATAAAGTCCTCCAAAGCTGAATTTAGAGACTTTTAGTTTTTTGTTGACTTTTAAACATAAACTGATTTCATTCTTCAAGCTACGGGAAGCTCGTTTAATCAATGCATTAGCAGTTCCTCTGGTAGGAATGAATGCAAGCTGTACTCAGGGCAAAAGGAAAAAGGCCCAGAATAGCTTGTTTGAGCACAGACAAGTCTGCTACAGAGAGTGACACCAGACAGCAGGTTTTTGAGTCCTGCTTTGCTGTGTCTGGCATTACCGTGTGTGTGTGTGTGTGTGTGTGTGTGTGTGTGTGTGTGTGTGTGTGTGTGTGCTCCTCACAGCAGTGAGAAAAACTACTTCAGGCCAAGACTCATTAACTCTACATCATCCAGAATAATAATGAATCGTGCATGCACGAAACCCCCTGCTGGCTGAATATATCCACCAATCGGAGGTTCCCCCTAACGGGAGGTGTGAATTTGAGCCGGCCAATCAGTCAGCAGTGGGCATGTTGGACCTGTTCAGCTCTGGCAGATTGCATTGGGAAGAGGGCTGAAAAGATGTCTGGTTGGGCATGGAAAATTACCGGACTCCCCATATGTGGACACTCGCTATGCTATCCAGAGCCAATGCTGCTGTTTAGGTGCCACTGGACATCTTGCCTCGCATTGGATAAGAGCAATGTGACTCTACCACCAATCTCCAACATGGATGTTTTATCTTCACCAATAACAAGCCTGGAGGTGTTTTTCTGCGTGGTGGAAATGCTAACAGCTTAGCCTCTTCTAGCCGAGACATTCTCTGCTGATTCCTGGACCATGGAACAACAGCCTTCCCTGTCACGAGTCAAGCTCTTTGAATCCCATCAATGTTATTTGACATAGATCTATCAGGATTTTCAAATCCGAGAGTTTCACCATCTATTTTCTATCAGAAGCTAATGCAGGAGATTGGTATAGGAGACTATTTTCATGTTCAGCCTGCATGAAAAACTCACGGTGACTGGTTATAATCAAATATAATCAGTGAAAATGTTTTTTCAGTGAGCCACACCTTTGTAACGCAGAAAGAAACACTGAATTTTCTCTAAAGCAGAAATAAAAAGTTACAGAGGTGGAATCATGCCCTTTAGTTGTGAGTGACCAAGAGTACTACCATAAAACATAAATAAAAAATCCTCATGTGAAGACATGCTGCTCTTTAGTTATATTTTCAGTTCAATGTAGACTTATCTAGGAGAGTTGCTTTTGACATGTCACTTTTAATTTTTCAGTTATATTTCAAACTATTTATGGCTTCAAAATAGTGTTTTTATGATTATGTAGTCTTGCAAATCCAAAGTGCCTATAGGTTGAACTGAATGTGGTAAAAGATCTCAAATAGTCCTTTTTCACTTTCATTCAATCATTTTTCTTAAAGAAGACAAATTACGCAAAATTCACCTTTTGCATATTTGTGTGCTGCCATGTCTACGAACACTCTAAAAGTGAAAAAACCCATCCATCCGTTGTCGGTCAGTGTTTGGTTTTATGAGTATAAAATAAGCAGTTTCCAAAGGTCTCCATTTGTGATGTCACAAACTAGCAAAGAACCACCTCCCTTTTGAAGGACTGGCTCTACTCTGAGTCACTCTTGAAAATCGGAGCTTCTTAGCTTATAGCAGCCTGAGCAGGGGAAGTGTAGGTGTAGCCAGCTCCAGCTTGTTTGCATAAAAGGGACAGAACGGCTTATCCTGGAAGGTACTGAAACTGTTAAAACTACTTAAATTGCTTCATGCAAGGGGGATTTTGGGCAAAGAACTTTATGAACGTGTTTTGGATTGACCACAGAACTATTTTAACTTAAGTCATAAAATGTTCCCTTTAAATATTTATGATTTCAGAATGTATAAAGCCATCAGATAATTGGAACACTGGAGTGTGTTGTTTCAGTCCCATCCCTGCCATTGTTTGCATTAAGTGTGTTCATGCATGATTTTCCTAGCTGAAACTTTAACGAGAGGTGGTTTTATCAGAGCTACCAGGAGGAGAAACACTGCTTGGTGCTGATCACCCATCTGGGATTCACCAGTGATCCTCCGCAGAAGTGGTTTCCTTTCCTGCACACAAATAGGTCAGAGGTCACTCACCGTGCAACAGAGTGTTTTGATAGTCCATCAGCAAATGCCATCAGCTGTCAGCCTGACTGACCTGTCTCTGAGGCTCACGGTCCACGGCGAGTTCCCAGGAACCCCACTCACAATGCGCATCCTCGTAGGCAGGAAGCGAGCGTCTCTCTTTCCACACTCGCTGAACTCCACGTTCTCTGCATTCACAAAAACACGGAAGATCACTGCTACAGTCTGGACTCGGGAAGAGATTCTGCTCCATGTTGTCTACAGACTCACCTACTGGTTCTGTCAGGGATACTTTCTCTCCAGCTGTTTGAAGACAACACATCTGTTTATCTGCATGTCAGGAACCAGGGGCTCTGGATCCATTTGCTTAAGTATTTACCACACTGTTTTATGGCGCAGTAGTCAAACTCAGTTTTAGGGTCGGAGGTGTAGCACCAGGGTCCGTGCTGGTCCCCATCTGGGTTTCGACAGTAATTCTCTGTTAGATTGGCCTCTGGGTGAGTTTGTGGGTTTATCCTGTAAAATCACACAAATCTCTGCTTAGAATTTGATCAGTATTTATAAACTGAATTTTAATGCAAAACTAGAGATGATAAATGCATTAAATGATTATTTATTTAGCTAAAATGAAAAAAAAAAGTTTATAAGGTGTAAAAGATTACAGTACTTGGTTTGGTGAGGCGTGTTAATGTTCCAGTTCTGGCAGGTGACCCCTTTACGAGTTTTACGGACAACTCCTCTATAGTTTTTTCCATTTTCCTGGTAGCAGTCTGCAAGTACAGAAAGTCTAGTCTATTAGTATTCAAATGATCAGATAAGCGGGCTAAAATAACGTTTCAATAGTCAGGCTTACAGGACTTCATTTCTACAGCTTTGGACACTCTATCACTTACATTCACATCTTTATCGAAATGATTTATGCTGGATTCAAATCTGGGCTCAAAACTGAATAATTAACTTCTACCTTCTGCTTCTATGTCGTCTGCACAGCGTTTGATCTGCAGGCAGAGAGCCGTTCTCATCTCTGGCACGGAGGTGAAGCACCACGGAGCCTCTGAACCATCTGGGTTCCTGCAGTAGTTCTCCTCTAAACCTCTGGATGATATTCAAAACAAAATATTGAGATCAATCTAACATATGACACAGAAATAATCTGCCTGTGCTGATTAGACGTGCAAAGCAGGGGAGGTTCTAGGCTAACATTAGAGGGGGCCAGGCTGGGGCCAGCCGCTGTCTTAGAAAGGCATGTTTGTAAGAAAACATTAAAAACATGCTTTAAGTATTTTATTTTTCAGTAATAAATTGTAACAATATAGTCACAGTAATTCAGTTACAGTTACTTTAGATTAAAAAGATTTTCAATTAGTTCTAGAATGCTACTATGTTGCAAGACATGCATAAACCAGAGTTATTTATCTCAGTGACACCATGAAATATTTGTCTAAATATCTCATTTGAATTCCAGATAAATGTATTCACATGCTTTGGGTCTACATCTTGTTAAATTTTCACAAAAAATTATGCCTTCATGGCTCCACCCTCAGCAGAGAGGCGGGGGTGGGGGAGCAATTTTGCTGTCAAGGTGGCACTGGACCCCCTGGATCTACCCTAGAACCACCCCTGGTGCAGAGATTGCCCTGAAATTGTGGCTGGTTTTAATATAGCAGGTAATCAGTGCCAACATGATGAAAAAACACCAAAACTTAATATTCACTGTGGGTGATTTTAAAGCAGGTGGAAAGGTCTGGCGGGGCAAATGTGGCCTGCATGCCACCAGTTGAGGTTCACTGCTTTAGAGTCTCTAATCTAGCAAGAGGAAACTGGAGAAGACCCACACAAAGAGAACGTGCAAACTCCATGCAGGTGGGGTTTGAACCTACAACTTTACTTTACTGTCAAGAAAAAGTGCAACTGCACCACAATGCAGTCCTCAAAACCCAACATTTTGATCTAAATACTAAATAGCCAGCAGAGCCTTTTTGGACCTTGAAAAACAAAAGGACTAACTTGCACTCGTATGTGTTTGGGTAGAAGGGGTGCTGATGAGGAGCCTGGGCGTCCCAGCGCTGACAGGGGATTCCTGATGTCGTCTCGTTAACTTTCCCACGGTAATCCTCCCCGCGACCACGGAAACAGTTGGTGGTGAAGCTGGATCGTTGCCTCTTCTCCACCTGAACTTCAGCTGAGCACATAACAAATGGGATCAGAACTTTCACACCATCATAAACAAATTTGTTTTACATTTTTTATTTTGGAAAAAAAATGAAGACAATGCAACATGTGGCTGCTATACTGAAAAGTAACCGCAAGGTTTTACGTAAAAAATCATGGAAGATTTAAAAAATACGATATGCATAAATATGCTACTATAGGGTCTTGGCTCTACTCAGATTAGCCATTAGTTTATCAGTCCTGTCAGATAAACAGTTTAGAGGAACAGAGCAAAGTAATTATTTATAACTTTTTCACAGAAAAAACTTTCAAAATGATCAGAAAATAATTTTAAAGCTTTTATGTTTGAGATGAGAAACTTTTGTTTCAGTTTTATTGTTGTAAAAATGACTATAGAACAACAAAATGTATCACGTTGTTGAAATAGCCAGTATTGATCAAAGCGTCTCTCACAGACCCAGAGTGAATGAGGTTATTAAATGTCACCACTAGATGACAGCCTTTTACAGTCTACTCTGCCTCAATAATTATTATTTTTTTATTTACTAGAAAAGCCCAAGGTTGCACAATCATGATGAAAGCTATCCATCCAATCAAGTCAGGCTACAGTTTGGATTGATTTTATTTTATTTTATTTTTTAACCGTGTCCTGTCTGGCTGTGAAGCAAACAGAATTGATGTCTGAATGCTGGTAACAAGCCTTACAGATCTACTCTCAGGTGGAGCATCAAAGCGTCTGCTTTTAATGTCACACCTGATACTTAAAACTTTACTGTTATTGAATGCTTTGTGATTCCGACCAGACACGAAGTCAGAGGTGAAAGAGAAAGGAAAAGACAAAAGGTGGAGAGAGAGAGAGAGAGAGAGGGGGGGGGGGGGGGGGGGCACAAAAATAAACAATAATGAACAAGAGTCTGCTTCTAGACCTGCAGAAAGAGATAGAATAGAAAAAAATGGGACACACAACAATACATCAGGAGCAAGCTATCACCGCGTCAACCTGATGATGAAATATAAAATCAACATTGTTTAAATGAACAATCACACGATAATTAATCATAGTGCATTTAGTGGCAACGACAGCCTTAAGACATGTGTTGAACGTGCCCAAGCCCATACTTTGAGAGCACCATGTGAGCACCTGTGTGTGTACATGCGCTTGTTTATTTAAGGTTTCTCTATAAAAGTGTCTAATAGAGAGTGTGAGGGACCACAGATCTGCCCCCCAAAGATGTGTAGGAGACGGGGGGAGCTCCAAGTCCCAGAGATCTAGGCGCTGCCCCAGAACACAGGAACCCCAAGGAGACTGCAACCAGAAAGGCCCCCGCCCCCCTCGAGAGGCACAGAGGATCGCCCCGGGGGGCCACAACCATCAGCCAGCAGAGTCCCGGGAGATATCAGCGGCAAGCCCACAGGCCCGCCCGCAGCCTCCCACCCCCTAGTCGGCCGAGCCCGGGACCCAGCGACCCGGGACCCAGGGGCGACCACCCCCGCTGGGGACCCAGCAGAGCCCAGGGACCCAGACCCCACCAGGCAGCCACTGGGATTGATCAGGTAGACGCCAAACATCTTAAACCCCCTGACCCAGGAGCCACGAACACTCAGGCAGACCAAGGCACCACACTCCACACCAGGTGTGGCAGGGGGAGGGGAGACAAAGATCTATATAATAAAAAGAAGTCCCAGGAGAAGAGAGGAGTCAAAGGCCCCACCTGACATATACAGTCATACACAAACACAGTCACACACTCCCTCCCTCATGCTCACACATACACACACAACCAAAGACTTACAAAAATGCACGCCGGACACCCACTCATGCTCCCCATACACACCCTATTCACTCTGGTCCCGGTACTGCTGCACATGGGGTACAACCATCACCGGTTCCCAGAGTTTGATCCTTTCTGCTGGGGTGCTGATGAGCAGGCTCCCCCGCCCAACCCTGAGCACAGCAACCCACCACCCCAGACCCCAACCAGACGGCCAGATTTCCCTCCTTGCCTCCAGCCCCAGGAAGCCAAGCAACAACAGAGGTGTGCTAAGACCCCTAGTCTCCCTCCACCTGCTCCAATATAGTGTTGTGTGTTGATGAGGTGTATTCCATGGCTGTGGTGAGCGGGCAGTGCGGGCATTGTCTGGCCTATGCCAGCTGATGCCACCGCACCTCCCCACTTGCACCCACAGCCCTTGGTGTCTAAGTGCAGTTTAAAATTGGAAGTGGGCACCGACACTTGGGAGGAGGCTGAGAAATCCCCCTGCCAAGTGTCGTTGAGTGTGTTCACTCCCAAGCCCCTAAGCGTGTGTTTGCGTGGAGTGTCGTCGGTGGAAAGGTATAAGGTGGAAATAAAATTGGGGGGCAAGTTGCCACAGGAATGCAGAAATGGGGTCCATACCCGCACTCCCTGACTTGTCCACCCCCCAAGGTCCTATGTGCATGTTTGTTTGATGATATGAGGGAGCAGGAGGAGAAAAATATGCGGGGATGAGGAGGAATGACTGGTTGGGCTTAGCCCTCCAGGGAGCCAGCTCCCCCACTGGCCCCAATAGGCACCTCTGTTGTCAAAATGCCACCCAGGGCATGGAGACCCCAGCCCATCCTGCCAGGGCCCAAAGCAGCAGCATTACAGAGCCTCACGGAGTCTGAGGGCACCAACCCAGCCCCACCCCAGCAGAATATCTATGCCCATCCCTGCATTTGCACAACTTCCAGAATATATAAGACATAGAACATCCAGGTAAGGTTTGGTCCTCCCCCTCCTGGACCTCCCCCTCCCCTGTGATGGGACAGCAGAGGAGCCAAGGTCTACCTGAGGCCCCTGAACCCGGGCCAGGCACTGCTGCGTGTTCCTGCCTTCTTCCCGGCAGCATACATGTCAGGACCCGACCCCAAGGCCCCGCCCAGATCCCCACACGGGGCCGGCCACCCCCACACCCCGAGCCCCCAGGCCCCCACCCAGACCCGCCCAGGGGCAATGCAGCTGCCAGGCAGTGACCCATGGCCACCGCCAAGACCTCCAAGGGGCCCCACTCACAACCGCCAGCAGTCCACCCCCCGAGGCAACCCAAGCACCTCCAGAGGGGGCGACAGCCCCCCAGTCCCAGACACCCCCCAGTGAACCCACCTCCAGGGAACATCCGGATACTCCAAACTCAGACCCTCCACCCCCCAACCCACATCATCCCGCAGGACAATATCAATGGTCCCCATCATCGCTATGTGATGGAACCGATCAAAGGAGCCCAGAGAGATTGATTTGAAGTGGAAGCAGAGGCTAAATCAAGTGTAATATGATCTAACAAAAGATTTCTATACTGGTTAATGCAGAGAGTATCTCTATTTTCCAATTCAAGAGGATAGTTTTCTTAGCGATGCATATGGCAGTCAGAACCACGTGAACCAAAGATGTTTCAATCGGGACATCGTCCAGGTTTCCCAGTAATCAAAGAGAGGGGTAAGTTGGGAAATGACATTTCAGACATTTTGACAGATCCTCACATACTCTACCCCAAAATTCCTGGACAGGTGGGCAGGACCACAATGCGTGAATGTAATTGTCAGGAATGTTGTTTGTGCAGTGTGTACAGGTGTCAGATGACACAAACCCTATCTTGAACATCCGATGACCTGTATAGTGTACTCTGTGTAGAATTTTGTACTGAATTAATTGTAAATTGGAGTGTCTGATCATTTTAAAAGTTTTGAAACAAGTTTGGGACCAGAAGTTCTGGTCAAAGCTGACTGATGGATCCACCTCCCATTTTTCAATAGGGATTGCAATTTTATCGTCTATTTTGGACAGTGTCTTATAAACTTTAGACAGTAGTTTGGGGGGTTTGAGATTATAGAAGTCTAATACCATTGGTGGTGTTTGCAATTCTATTTTATTGAGCTTAAATTTTTGTTTGACTACAGATTTAATTTGGTGGTATTCTAAAAAGCTATTCTTATCCATTCCAAATTGGGAGACCATTCGATTAAATGGGATGAAGTCCAATCCTACATATATGTGTTCCAGGTATAGGATCCCTTTATTTTTCCAGTCCAGAAGGTTCATCATTTGTTTTTTTTGCAAAATGTCAGGATTATTCCAGATAGGTGTGCGTCTGCATGGTACTAGTGAAGACTCTGTCATTTTAAGATACTCCCACCATGCTGTCAGAGAGGTGCTGATACTAACACTTTTGAAGCTTTCATGTTTTCTTATGCTTGAGCTAATAAACGGTAAGTCTGAAAGCTCCATCGTATTGCAAAGTGTCTGTTCTATATCTAACCAGGACTCATCTAGTGGGTTATCTTGCAACCATCTTGGTATATACAGTATTGCAGCCTGTTGGCTAAGAAATAATAATAAAAGTTGGGTAAATCCAGTCCTCCTCTGTCTTTGGTACAGTTTGGATTGATAAAATAATAAAAGCTTGATTTACCGTGAGAATGTGCAGAAACTGAGTTTAAACATCATCAGGCCATGTGAACGAAAGGGGTTTGCTTAATTAACCTCCACTGAACCAAAATCCCACAGAGAATTTTAATATTCTAATAAAAACCTATAAGATATCAGTGTTCTTCAGCTGGATTTGTTTTTAAGTAAAACAGAATCACTGGTATCACAAGTGTCACTTTTTCCCTCATTTTTTTGGAGAAACACTGAAATGATGACATTTCTGGGTGTAATTAGCAACATGATGAGTTGTGGTAAATCTGTTGTGTCTGAATCAAACAGCTTAGTATAACTTGTTTTTTTGGTGCAAACAGTGAAAGCAAATGACAAAATCAAAACAAGCTACAAGTTTAAGACTCACATTTTGATGCAGAAGACAAAAGTGCAAAGTCATTGTAATTCTGATTCAGTAGTTTCTCTGTTTGTTTTTTGTTGCAAAAAAAAAAGTCAGAATATTTTCCATTTTAGATGCAAACTGAAAACATGAACAATTGTCTTAGAAAAATAAAACAAAACAGAGTTGTTCTTACTGCATTTGCTGATGTCACAGTTCTCCCTCTCTGCTTCAGGATCTGTTGTGTAACACCACGGCACCGGAGAGGCGTCAGGGTTACGGCAGTAGTTATCATCTAAACTCTTATCAGGATACCTGAAAAGTGCAACTTCTGTAATTATTTGAAGCACAGTGATGCAAAAAAGTATGAAGTCAGAATCCTATTGTGCAAGTTCTCCCACTTAAAAATATGAAAGAAGCCTGTAATTTTCATCTATGAGAGAAAAAACGAGAAAAACAAATTCAGAAAATCACATTGACTGATTTAAAAAAAAAACAACACATATTTGCAAATTATGGTGGGAAATATGTTTTTGGTAAATAATGAAAGTCCATCTCAGTACTTTGTTATAAACCCTTTGTTGCCAATGACAGAGGTCAGACATTTTCTTTAAGTCTTCACAAGGTTTTCCCACATTGTTGCAGGTATTTTGGCCCATTCCTCCATGCAGATCTCCTTTAGAGAAGTGATGTTTTGTGGCTGTTGCTGGGCAACACAGACTTTCGACTCTTCCAAAGATTTTCTATGGGGCTGAGATTTGGAGACTGGCTAGGCCCCTCCTTCATTACCCGGGTAGTGCGTTTGGGATCATAGTCATGCTGAAAGACCCAACCATGTTTCATCTTCAATGCCCTCGCTGATTGAAGGCGGTTTATACTAAAAATCTGAGGATACATGGTCCCATTCATTCTTTGCTTTACGCGGATCAGTCATCCTGGTCCACTTGCAGAAAAACAGTCCCAAAGCATGATGCTTCCATCTCCATGCTTTACAGTAGGTATGGTGTTCTTTAGATGTCACTCAGCATTCTTTCTCCTCCAAACACGACGAGCAGAGTTATAACCAAAAGGTTCTATTTTGCTTTCATCTGACCATATGACATTCTCCCAAACCTCTTCTGAATCATCCAAATGCTGTCTAGCAAACTTCAGGCCTGCACATGTAATGGCTTAAGCAGGGGGACATGTCTGCAGGATTTGAGTCCCTGGTGGCGTAGTGTGTTACTGATGGTAGCCTTTGTAACTTTGGTCCCAGCTATCTGCAGGTTATTCACTAAGTCCCCCCATGTAGGTCAGGGATTATTGCTCACCGTTCTTGTGATCATTTTGACCCCACGGGGTGAGATATTTGCATGGAGCCCCAGATCGAGGGAGATCATCAGAGGTCTTGTATGTCTTCCATTTTCTAATAATTGCTCCCACCATTGATTTCTTCACACCAAGCTGCTTACCTACTGCAGATTCAGTCTTCCCAGCCTGGTGCAGCCCTACAATTTTGTTTCTGGTGTCCTTTGGCAGCTCTTTGGTCTTGGCAATAGTGGAGTTTGGAGTGTGACCGTTTGAGGTTGTGGACAGGTGTCTTTTACACTGATAACGAGTTACAACAGGTGCCATTAGGTAATGAGTGGAGGACAGAGGAGCTTGTCACAGAAGAAGTCACAGGTCTGTTAGATATATTACTCGTTTGTAGGAGACCAAATACTTGTTTTCCACCATAATTAGCAAATAAATTCTTTAAAAATCAGACAATGTGATTTTCTGGATTATTTTACTCATTTTATCTCATAGCTAAGGTATACCTATGATGAAAAATACAGGCCTCTCTCTGACTAAAAACTTTTTTGCCCCACTGTAGGTACAGCCCGGATCATTAGACAGAAACATCTGAGGCTTAGTGACGTACTTCTCTGGTTGGTAGATGTGCTGGTGAGGGTACTGCTGGTCCCATCGCTGACACTCTTTGCCGGTAACTGTGTGATCTACCTGCCCTCTGTAGTCCTCTCCATTACATGTGATACACACCTCTGCACACATACCATAAAACATGAATATTTTAAGGTGGGTTCATGTGGAAAGGTTATGAACAACTAATATCTGACCTGTTGTGGACTGTTTTTTGAATCAACTTAGCTTTGATCAAACAGACAAGCTAAAGGCTAATACTTTGGTTTTCTGATGCACATGCAAATGCACTACAGTTGTGGCTGTGTATGTGATTATGGGATGGTATTTGCATGAGTGCAATTTTGGAGTTGTTCAAAGATGGCAAGGTGGAATTGGCCCTGATGATGTGACTAGTCACTAGCTTATCAATCCAGTCAGAGCTAATCTGTTTATTTCAAAAGAGATAGTTTTTGTCATGAGTTTTTTTGTTTTTATAAAACACACATTATCTGTTCCTTTAACATAAATTCTAACATTTCCAACAACGATTCCTCAAAAGAATCTATGAAAGTGAAGTGCTTTGTTTTCCTACCATCTTTACACTGGGGGGTGTTGCAGCTCTCATAGCGTCGTTCCGGGTCGGTCGTGTAGCACCACGGACCGATCCGATCCCCATCTGGGTTCCTGCAGTAGTTCAGCTCCAGACCGTTGGTGCCTGTGGGGGTCCACCTGAGATGAACCAGGTGCTTTCAGGTGTGTTGGACTCTCAAAGTGAACAGTTGTTATAATTTACATTAGAGAAGGTCAAACCCTTAGCTGTTGTTGAACACATTAACCTCAAATATTTAATCGCTCTTGATTTCTTATGTTTTGCTTCCAGGAAGCTTTCAAGAGTGTTTGCAGTTTTTTTAAATTTAAACTTAACTGATTTTTTCACTCAATTTCAGTTCTTACCCAGCAAAAACTGTGGAATATTTTGACACACTGTGCATTTTAAACTTTAAAGAAACTAGATCAAGAGAAGACAACCTCAAAGGGCATGGCAACTGTTTTTGGACATCTGTATCTTTATGAGTTCAGAGTCACCTGTGATCATGAGGAAACTTAGACCACCACTGTTGGCAGGTGAGTCCACTTTTTGTGGTGAAGACTTTCCCTCTGTAGTCTTCCCCTCTACCCACAATGCACTTTCTCACATAGACTTCACAAACAAAAAGAAAAGAAGAAAGAAAGGAGAAAAAAACTCAGATTCTGCTCAGCAGATATGAAACTCATCTCTGTACTGTGAGACTCACCTTTCTTCTCGTAAAGGTCACAGTTGACGTTTCTCTTCACCTCTGCATTGTTTCCGTCTGCCACCCAGGGCAGGTGTTTACAGGTGGCAGTCGGACGGGTCTCATAGTTAAACGCTCTGGAGACAATGAAAACTTAGAAGATGTGCTTGTTTTGTAAGTTTAAGAGCTTACAAATGGTCAGCTGTGATTTTTGTTTTTATAATTATGCTGCAGGCTACATCTTCACGTTGAATCATCCCGTTTAGCAGACAAGGCTGTGCGTGGTTGTGATTTCAGCTCACAGGGCAGTAATTAAAATGTTTAAGCTGACAGAAAGAGCTAAAACCAGCCTGGAAGAGGATGTGAGTGTGTGTGTGTGTGTGTGTGTGTGTGTGTGTGTGTGTGTGTGTGTGTGTGTGTGTGTGTGTGTGTGTGTGTGTGTGTGTAGCTTTTAGGATGGGCGGTTTGCCTCTCAACACGTCCTGCATGAGTGACAGAGTGATGAAGGCTAAACATTTTATTTTCCTCTGATGGGTGAGCACTCAGTTAAAACCAGACTAAAAAGATGCAACAAAAGGAATTTATTGAAAACGAGGAGGTGGATGTGACTGGTAAGGTCACAGCTGGGGTAAGTTGAGCACCAGTTTCATAACAACTTGTTCTAGGGGTGTATGGTTAATGAACTACATATCTAGGAATTAAGGCTGTTGCTATCAGCTTATGTTTTCTTTCCTAAGAAGATCAAACAAATTAACAAATGAAATTCATACACACATATATATATATATATATATATATATATATATATATATATATATATATATTTATATATATATATATATATATATATATATATATATATATACACTGTGTATATGTATATGTATATATATATATATATATATATATATTTATATTTATTTATATATATATAAATTCATACACCAACTTGCTTGGCCTATGTTAATCAAAAGATTATAATATTTATTTTTAAAGATTGAATTTAATAGCAAAAGTTCTTTGTTAATTCAGAAGATCTAAAGATCTTTGCTTGTTCAGTGATCAATATACACCCACTCTGTTTATTTCAAGAAAGAGTCAAGTTTAAAAAGGTTAAGACATTTATTACTAAACAATTTAGACATGACAATTTAAAAGACAATAAATAAAAGACAATTTATAAAAGCTTTGGTATTACAAACAACCCTGTGTTTGGATGAATCTAAGGTGAAGTGTGTTTTGGTTGTGAGTGAAGCAATGTCTCAGAACGTGTATCTTGGAGAGAGGACGCGTTCTGGGTGAAAAAGCATTCGGTTTTGTCAATAAGCTAAGTTGTTCTTATTAAAGAGCATTCAGACGCAATCTGTGTTCTACCTCACCGTCAGGCGACCCTTGTCGTGGATCCGGACGTCAGAGGAGGACGTTGAACAGCCTCAGGGTACTGGGTCCGGTAGGGAATACCAATGGTACCGACTCGTTCCGGTCCTAGAGATGCCGCAGGCACACAGGTGGAATTGGTTTGCGTCTGCAGATTCTTAAGGAATCTCGTGGCATCAGCTTTGTTCTGTAGGTTTTGTTGTGTCGGAGCAATTTTGCCAGCGTGACAGAAATCGCTTTGTTGGTTAAAGAGTGTGGGCGGCCGTCCCAACTTCTCTAGAACTCACTCGCAACTGACGAGAGTTCTGTTTAAAAGATGGCTATTATCATTTCTAACGAATCAGGTTTTGACATGTAGAAAGAAGATTTAACAAACCCTCAGAAACACGCCTCCCTGAAGATAGAACGTTCTGGTGTTATGGGAAAAATCATGTGAGTGCAGTTACCTTTAACTTAGTTGCTGTGACGTGTGAGCTGACTAAGTGCACGATTCTTGTCATAGTTATACATGACTGATTATCATAAATAATTATTAACCAAAGAATAATAATTCATTTCAGTAATTAAACACAGTTATAATGAACCTTGATGATTGGCAGTAAAAAGAGTTTATTTAAACGATTCTTTTAAATCTTGAAATGTCCTCTTCTTGCTGTGGATGGAATAGCAGTTAGATAAGCAGACAGCTGCATAGATTAAAGGAGTAGTAGCAGACTTTAAGTCTTCTGTGAAGGACTATATTGCAGATTGGAGTTGTAGCCAGGGCAAGGTGACCCAGGCTGTGTATCTGACCTGTGAGTCTTAAAACCAGGCCATTACGTGACGTTACATCTCTGTTGCCAAATTAAACAAGTTTCCTAATCTTTAGGACTCAAACATGGAGATGTGCTTGGCTTTAAAGATCAAAATAAATCATTTTGGCAGCGCGGTTGATAGAATAATTATATATGTTTTCTTTATCATGCTTTATGCTTTTATTACATTTAAAGATTGTTTTCATTTATCATGTTTTATGCTTAAAGATTTTACCATTTGATGCTTAAACAGTTGCTGTATTGTTTTAAGCCCCCTCATGAGACTTTAAGAATACTGAATCTTGGTGACCCAAGGATGACCCAAGGAGATCTGGTGACCTGACAACTGCTGACTCGTGCAACTGTTTGCTACTCATCGTGTGATTAGACACTGAAAGTTCCTTGTGTAATAATGAATGCTCTTTGTTTGAAACTTGTAACAATTAAAAACTGAGAGTTGTGTTTTCCCCTCTCCCTTCAGATCAGCTCATCAGGCATGTAATAGGGAGCTCCCAGCTTGTAATAAATAGAGACGCTCGGATTCCAAAAGGCCAGAGTGGTGAGGGATTTCACACAGTGAGGTGGAGATCACACTGTGTTGACTGTCATTCTCAAGCTTAAAACAGAATTCTGACTTTAGTGTCTCTTTCCTTGTGTTGTGTTTTTTTTGGTGTCTTACGTGTTTAAACCTGACAGCGGTTTTGCAAACAGATCATTTGACCGCTCACATCGTGATTCCTCAGACAGTCCAAATGAAGGCCTACGACCCACGATTTATGAAAACACACTTCCATGAGTGCAGAAGAAAAATGCCCTCAACCTAAACCCTTGAAATAAATCTGTTTGGTGACATAAACTCAATGCTAAAAGCCATCAGAGGAAAAGGAAGCTGTTCAGATCCTACTGACGTTTTGAGACCAACTTATCTTGATCCAGCTTTTAATGGTTGTGTGTACCTGCAGTCCAGTGACTGTGAGCAGCGGGTGGCACAGTCCTCCAGGCTCAGACCCGGCAGCATCTGGACTCGAGCTACATTCCAGGGGCTCGGGACCAGCTCTCTGCCCTCAGAGCGCTGGAAGTCATTCAGCGGACTCCGGTGCCCTGTTCATGCACATCATCAGAACCGTGATGCACGTGTGGGTTAGAGTTAGACTGAGACCAGATCATTTCTGTGTGTAGGACATTGGTGGTACCAGCTGGAACATATTTGGGCATGAGCCTGCACACATAACCTTTGGACCAGGACTCTGGTGCTGCTGCTGTTTGTGTGATAGCAGAGGGCTTCAAATAAACAAACCCCAATGTTCGCTGATAAAATGTCCTTTTTTTACTCACATATAGAAAAGATCTCATTTTAAATCAAACTATCACAAAGAATACAGCCAGTTTCTATATATGTAAACTAACGTATCTATTTGAAAACAGTAAACTTAATAAAAAACAATTCAAATCAATGTAAATAATTGAAACAGAACGAGGCTTACCACAGACCAGTCCAGCAGCCAGAAGAAAACAGTGCAGAATCAGTTTCATTGCTGATTAACAGTTGATTTGGGTCTCTGTTTTGGTCAGATTAGATGGAAAACTTCTAGAATAAAGATTCGAACTAAAATAAATGCATCAAAATTACCAGGTGAGAAAAAGTAAATCTCCTGAAAGCTTCAGCAGGTTGTTGGGAATCTTCAGAGGAAAGTCAGAGAAGCAGAAATGGTGAATGAACCGTGAACACCTGAACACTCAGCTCTTTCCCAAACAGAGGATACATCCCCCAAACGCAGCCGGTCAATGCGCTTATTAATCATTAGTAAATACAATCACCGGTCTGGGATCAGCCGCAGTTCTCCAGACGGACACCAGACGTCAGCAGAAGCTGCCTTTTTCCAGTTTCCTTCCCTTTTTCCGGAAGTTGAAGTGAAACTGCTGCCGCTTGACTGACTTCTCCTTAATCTCACCGTACGAAACAAGGTAAGAAACTCATCATCATCGCCCTGTTTGGACTGAAAAGTGCAAAAATACCAGCTCGATTCCACAAATAAAAGCTGATCCGATCTGGGCTTTGATGAAACTCCTCCTGTCCCAGTTGGACCTGCCGGGACAGGTCCAAAGGCAAATAGACGCGAAATGTATTAATAAACGTTTTAAACGCGATATCTGCGCGAACTGTGTGCGCACATGAGACCAAGGGCTTTTATAATAACGTCCTAAAGCGGTTCTAATACCCTTTAATGTGTCATAGTCCTCAGCTGTTCTCTGGTGATTGTTTACTTGCACATAAGCCACTACATCGGACCCAGAGCTGTAAAAAGAGAGAGTTGCGAACTTGCGACCAAGCCCCCACAATGCGGCTCAAAAATTGAAGCAATCCCGGAAGTACCATAAATTGCAGTTCCACCCTCATCCGCTGGGGGCTGGTGTCAGAAGCGAGCAAATCCTCATTGACTCCCATGTTAAAAATACCAATTTCACAGCAGAAATAAACATGTTTACAGCCTGGTACCAAAAACATGTTTTTTGTTTAAATTATCTAGTTTACACTCATGACAACTCTGAGGGGGGTGATGTTTTTCTCACTCTTCTGTTTAAGTGTATTAAAAGCTAGGGCTGTCGCGGTTGAGGAATTCCCCCTGCGGTGATTCAGGGTGGCTTAATATTGCGGTGTGCGATATTATTGCAGCACTTTTTTTTATTGCAGTATTATCTAAACATAATGTTTACACATTTAAAAAAGGTTAAAAATTGCCATGCCTTCTTTTATAACACTTTACTGAATGCAGATCAAAGGGCAGTAACAGCACAGATCGCAGTAACGTTTGTTTCTCCGACAGTCGGAGTCCGACTGAACTTAAAAACAACAAAATTCAGGAGAAGGTTAAACTTTTAAATGCAAATTTGGCTGCAGCATCTATCAAATAAGAAACAAGTCCCGATTTTGTTTAGTTGTTTAAAATCAAGCATAAAAAATTACATGTACCGGGCGCGGGGCACTATCATTTCACTTTCACTTTCACACACACGAATGACGGTGATTTATAGCTCGGTCACGTCCTTGTTACCCACAAGGAAAACCAGCATGTTAACCATATACGGTTTGAGAGAGGATCTGAGAGGGGCGGCAACATTTCCAGCAACACTGAAAACCCTCTCGGATGGTGCGCTCGTTGCACTAACACACACATACTTGCGTGCGACTGGCGAGCAAAGGGAATCTCTCCCGGTTGTTGCTCCACCATGTCAGGGGGGTTTCTTTAGAGTGGATGCATTCCTCCTGCAGGTAGCGAGTGAGCTCCAGCTCGGCTCAAACTCTCTTCTGGACGGTTGCAGAAGCAGTGCTTGTCCGGGACTTCAGCAGGTCTCCGAGCGTTTATTATTTTTTTGCCGCTGGTGGCAGCTCTGTCTCGGCCAAGGACTCTGGCTGCACAGCAGCTGACGTACTGAAAACCAAAGTGCTCCCAAAGGAGCGAAGTAACGTTTCATTTTGATACCAGTGCAGCCATCCTTCTCAACATGCATCATTGAGTTGAATCAGTTCAGTAATCGCGGTGGCCCATGATGCAGCGCGGTGGGTTTCTTCATATTGCGATATTTCATTTTTGCGGTTACCTTGACAGCCCTATTAAAAGCCTAAAATTCTGTATAATTAATGAGCATCCGATCCACGTGACCGCAGAGCTAGCTCCGTGGAAAGGCCTCAGTAGAGCCTCGGTCTGGCCTGGAAACTGTTCCGAGATTTTGAGTCTCTGTGCTTGTGAATTCTGTTTTGGATATTTTTTGTGCAATTGTTGGACAAAATGACTTGCTGTGGCATTAATTGCACTAATAGAGCGTCCAAGGAGTCTCCACTTCATTTTGTTCGGTAAGTAAAATTATATTTATGTATTTTAGGTCACTGCAGAGCTGAGCTTAGATTTTAACATGTACTGTTTAACCATGAAATTTAAATGTAATAGGGTAAAACCCAGTGCATTTAACATAATGCTGCACTTTAGAAAATGGGTTGAAATATAACATGTTGGTGGAGCTGGGTTCTGACTATCGGCTTGTGGAGCTCTCGGGAGACCTCTGTTTTCAGCCCGTTCTCCCCTCCCCGCAGCCCGGCGCATCTCTGTCTGATCGCGGCTTCTGTCTGCTGCGCGGGCTGCTGGCTGGTTCTCCCCTCCCCGCAACTCGGCACATCTCTGTCTGATCGCGGATTCTGTCTGCTGCGCTGGCTGCCGGCTGGTTCTCCCCTCCCCGCAGCTGGGCGCATCCCTGTCTGATCGCGGCTTCTGTTTGCTGCGTGGGCTGACGGCTTGTGGAGCTCTGGGATGGAAACCTTTCCACCCGGTTCTCCCCAGCGGCAGCTCTGCGCATCTCAGATCGCAGCGGCACTTGTCTGCTGCGTGGCTGCCAGCTTGTGGACCTCTCGGGAGACCTCTGTGGAGGTCTTGGAGACCTCTGTTTTCCACCCGGTTTTACCCAGCGGTCAGCCCAGCGTATCTCTGACTCAGAAGCTCTGGTGTTGTGCACAGTTAACTCCGGTTGTAGCTAGGTTGCTACCTCCGTTAGCTTAGCTCCCATCTCCGCGTTAGCTTTGGGTTAGCTTCAGGTTAGCTTGTAGCTATTTCGACCGGGTGTTGTCAGTTGATCCCAGCCTTACAGCCCCACCCTCAGCTCCTCCTCTCTTCCCTTTGTGGAATTGTCTGGGCTTGACGGAGCCTGTGACATGGTCAAAATGGCGGTGGTGGCCACCTCCCATTTGGCCTCAAAAACGTGTTATTGGAGCCTATGGAAACCCATTGTCCAATATTTATATGTCGATGCTTGGGACACGGCGCTTTGAACTCAGCGACTTGCGGTCACGTAGTTGATGGAGCTCTCTATAGGGCTTTCGAACCAACGTTATCGCGCAATGCTTTGTGGTTTTGCTGCGCCATCTTTATTGCCCACAAACCAAAACAAACGAGAGAAGTGGTTGAGAAGAAGGTAACTAATCATGCTTAAAATCAGTTCCAAAGAGAAAGGAATATATCGAGACAAATTGCGTCTGGATGCCAAAGAAAGATACTTAGAGAAAGATACTTACAGAAGATCGAGTGTCTTGGAAATGTGGACCCTTATGAGGTACGGCAATGGAGAAGAGACCCAGACGATCTACTCCCTTTGTCCTTCCCAGATATATTTTCGTATCTGGCCTGTAGAATCAGTACCTATACCGCAAAACTGTTTCGGAATTACAAGTCTTTGGAGGCACACATTCAGTTCACCAATGGCTGGGTGCGCGATTTGGATATTTTTAAGCCTCGTTATTGTGAATATGTGATCATTCATGCAAAGGTAAGTCACTTTTACAACTTTCACTACAACTTCACTAGTAACAATCATTCAAAATTCTGATAACTTTGCGAATCCAACTCACCTTGAAACAAATTGCTACTTTGTAGTTGATTTGTGTTCTGTGATAATAAAAATATAATTCTGAATTTAGTTTCATGCACTTTTTGATGGACTTCAGAAACCCCTAACTACATAATATATTCATAACTCCCTTAAAGCTGAAATTTAAACAGAACTAGATATCTTCTATTGAAAGTTATGACATCCTTACATTATGTTAGTCTAAAATTCCCCCCAGTATAAAAGCCAATTTTCTAAACGGATCAATTGTTACATAAATAAAAGACTAAAACATAGCATACATTTGCTTCTGGCCACGCCCCCATCGTGCAACGTCATGCTCCAAAGCCCAATAGTTCCAAACCATAGATATGTATATAAACGCTAGATGCCTCGTCCCCGCTGTTCGCCAATGGGATGCGACGTAGGAACGTGGTGGCCATCTTACCTCAGACAGCTGCCCCCTTTCTTGACATTGGGGTGTATGGTGCATGTACTATTTAAATAACTCTTACTTGCTCCATTTTCTGTCATGTTCTCAGTCCCTTTGTTCCCCAGCCCCTCCAGTTCCCACTCCAGGTTCTCCTTTTGTGTTTCATAGTGCCCTCATGTGTCCTTTGTCTGCGTCTCATTTATGTGTCTCTTTGTGTTCCTCATTTGTCCCCTGGTCTTCAGCCTTCCAAATATATCTCTCAGGTCCTGTGTTCCTTTAGTCGTCTCCAGTCACTCCTCTGCAGCCAGTCACCCCTCTGCAGTGTTTATAGTTTCAGCTTTTCATTTTATTAGTCTCTTTTATATGTTTTGTCCCACCTGTCTTTGTAGTTCTCCTTCCCTTTAGAATATTAGTTATGTGGTTGCTTTTCTTGTTTTTAGGTTTTTTCTTAGGTCATGTGAGTTCCCTCCCTGATTAAGTATTGCTTTCACCTGGTCCTCTCCCCACACACCTGCAGCTCATCTGCCTCCCATCATGCCCCAGTTTAATTAAGCCCTGTCTTGTCTCAGTGTCTTGTCGGTCCATTGTCATTGTCAGTGTTGTTTTGTCCATCTCGTGTGTTCTCCTGATCTTGCTCATGAAAGAGCTTCTGTTTAGCCTTTTTTTGCCAGCATTTGCCTATGGATTTATGCCCAGCCTCCTAAAATAAAAGAATTTTTACTTCATATCCACTTCTGCCTCGTGTCATCCTGGGTTACTGCATTTTGGGTCCAAACCATCCTCTCAATGTGACATTTTTAACTGATTTTCAAAAGGTTTGATTTGTTATAAACGCCAGAGATGTGCCTATAAATAGGATGGGTTTGGCCCAGAAATTCCTGTTATTTCACTCCACAAAGCATTTAATCTTTCATAAATAGTACATTTAATTGTAAGCTACAGTAGCTTAAAGGGGCATTATGGAAGTTTGACAGCCAAAACATGTATAGAAATAATAAATTTCTTCTTAATACATTCTCCTGCAATGCCCTGGTCCTGTAAAATGAGTCCTGGCATTTTTACTGTGATTGCCTATTTTTCTGTAAAATCACAGTAAAAGAGAGCTGCTCGGGTCGAGCAGGCTGCTTCATGCGCGTTCACGCTCAGGCGTAGCCCTCCGAACCATTCTTTGAATGTTGTTTCAGCTGTCATCAAGGATATAAATGTTACAGATACAGAAGACGTCACCAGCACTTTAGTTCGCCTAGTAAGACTTCAGGCTTTCGTGCAGAAGACCCGGGTTTGATTCTGGATATGAACATAGTTGTTTTAGAGTTTCTTTTTTACATTAATGATATATTTTTTTACAGTAAGTTGCCCAAATTTTTATTTGAGACTCCCTGAACGACATTGAATTCACAGATAAAAAAGATGTGGGTTCAACTTTCATTTTGGAACAATTTTTCAAGCAAGGGAAGGGAATGATCTGAGCATGCAGGAGGACTGACCCATCTTAAACCTTTGTCGGTTGTGCTGAAGAGAAAGGTACAGAACCAAATTATTTAATTAATTAGCTGCGCGTTCCCCTGTCCCCCCCCCCCCCCCCACAACACACACACACACACACACACACACACACACACACACACACACACACACACACACACACACAAGGAACTGTCTCAGCTGTTATTTTCGTTAAGGAGTGTGCACGTACAGCATGCGCGCCTCGCGCACGAGCCTACTATTGAAGCTGCCGTTACACTTTTGACCTGAGGGGGCATTCACGAGCATAAAAATTCAAAACTCCGTAAAGTCCCTTTAAAGTATACATAGCCTAATATTATATATATATATATGTATTTCAAACTGTGGGGAATATTTTTAAAACGGAGAATCAAACAAACTGAAATAAACCCGTCTACAGCTCATCAAGCTTGTCTAAACCCTCCTGCTCACAATCAACAAGCTGCACACAATTAGCTTATTAAAGGTTATCTAGCTAAAACTGGCAAGAGTACCTGGCTGCAGCAAAATGGCGACTGTAGGAAAGCTCTAGTCGCCATTTTCTTACCGGAAGTGCTTGTTTGAACCCGGAAGTCAGGTGAACCCTCTCCCCGAATAATTAAATTTTTTTAACGTATCCTAAAATGGCATATGGCGTATCACCGAAAACTACGTAACCTCCACCGTAAGTTATTGTTTTACCCCAAAATTTGCATTATATTCCTCAATTCTTTATTGAAAATTATGAAAAACGAACGTAAAAAGCTTCAAATACATGAAATGTTTTATTCTTTTACTTTTTAGCTTATAGCAGGCATTGGCGGCCTGATGTAAGCACTGTTGATTTATCCATACCAACCAGTTCCGTACTAAGTAAATGTGTATATTTCATGTAGTTTTTATGGGGGGGGGGGGGGGGGGGGCTTCCTGTATTTTTTTAATTTATTCTATTTGTATTGCAGGTCACACTATCACCTACTGATTTTAAGTAGCATATTTTTCTTACTGTGCATGTGCTGCTCATTATAGTATTTTAATGGAATAGGCAAGTTAATTTAACATACCGGTATTATCCAAACAATTTTATAGGCTGTAGAGCCTAATGGACTATTCACATCCTCTACAAAACAAAGTGAGGTTCACAAAAATGTATTCATAGTCTTTAGGTCTTCAAAGAAATATTGTGGATTATTCCATCATTTCACCATCCCTCATACATGCCACGAACCTTTCCAACAATTTCTAGCTTCCTGAAAAAAATATAATTCATCATGAAGTTAAGAATTTATTACTAACACTTTTAAAAAATGACAATTTAGAAATGACAATTTTTAACAGACAATTTGATATTAAAACTTGGTTAAAGGCAAACCTGTGACTGAATGAAAGCTAAAATGAAAATACGAGTTTTTGGATGTGTGAATGAATATCAGAAGGTTTCTTTCAACGAGAGAAGCGTTTCTGGGTGGAAAATTGTTTTGCAGCTAACTGAGTCGTTTCTTACGAAGAACAGCATCAAACACCATCTGTGTGCTACCTCACACAGCAAGACGACCCTCTATGTGGATCCAGAGGTCAAGGAGGACGTTGTCAGCCTCAGGGGTACTCGGTCCGGTAGAGAAGACTTGAGTAGAACCGATCCTCTGGTCCAGAGATGTCGCGGGTACACGGTGTCGAGCGTCTGGCTTAACTCTGAAGGAGTTTTGCGTCAGCTGGTTACAGTGCGTTTATTCAGAGCAATTTTATCAGCGTGACAGAATGCTTAGTAGAGATTCGGTTGGCCGCCCCTCGTCTCCTGGTATGGTTCAAGAACTGAACTTTTGCTGCTGGAATTCGGTTTTAACAAAACCCTCAGAACACGCCCTCTCAGCATCAGAAAGCTTGGTCATGAGTAAAGACGTGAGATGATTTTACCCTTTACCCTGGATATCCCTTCTGAATGAGGCTGATTACGTGCAAGATGACCTTCTGGTTTGCTGAACACACATTAGGATTATCAACCATAATCATTATTATACCCAAAGTATAATAAGTAATTTCAGTAATTAAAATAAATTTATACTGAACCAAGAGATTATTTTTGATGATTGTAATAACAGTAATAAAGTCAAGAGTTTATTAAAGTTATTATTTAAAATTATTATTGTGAACTTTACGTGTCCTTCATCCTGGGTCGGAACAGCAGCAGATAAAGATGATTTTCAGCAGACATCATGGCTCCTTACATGTTTAATCTGTGGGACAAAGTTACAGTTGACCCAGCTTGACCCAGCTGGGAAAATGTGACCCTTGTCACAACTTAGAGGCCATTCATGACGCTACACCGGTAACACTGGCGCCATCTTGGATTTAGATTAATGAGTCATACCTGAATATTTTTGCCTAGATTTTTGTATAATATAGTCTTTTCCATTTATTTAGAATATAATTTTTGTCTCTGCAGTCTTTAGGATGTCAGCTGTTAAGATGACCGAGGGGAGCGTGCGGGTGGACTCCTGCAACGCTTCTCTTTTCTACAGACAGAGTGAACCTGCCACAGGAGACCCAAAGATGTCAGTTCTTCTTCTTCACGGCATTCGTTTCTCTTCACAAAACTGGCTCAGCATCGGCACTCTGGAGACTCTGGCCAAAGTTGGATGCCGTGCGATCGCCATCGACCTGCCAGGTGTGTCTGCCGTAGGAGAAGTGTTCTACCACAGAGGTCTTCATGAGCAGGAAGAGGAAATGCCACATTTATAACCAACTACAAGTCCAAACTATCTTTTAAACAGGTCTTTAGTGTCATTGTCTAAAGGTAGAAAACTGCCCCCAAAACAGAAAAGCAAATGTGTGCGTCAAATTTATCAACAGATAGCTGTGTTAAAATGCTGAAACACCACTTTCTAACAACAAATAAGTAAAGCAACATTTTTTAGTGTTGCAGATATCATATTTGTGGTTTAATAATAAATCTGTATGGAAACTGGTTGAAAGGAAAACCTAGACCTCAAAAGCCCAGAAGCTTCTTGGTCAGGATCACCTTTCTGGGACTGACCCACTTCACAAAGGGAAGTTCAGGTTAGAGGTTTTTATGTGGGTCTTATCCAAGTGACAGATTCTACATTGATCTGAAAAATGACTGGACAGAGTTGAATGGACAGAGGAGACAAAGTTCAAGAGTTCCAGTTGTTGTGTTTACCGATGTTAGATCTTATGATTCCTCACAGTGGGAATGAAGCAGAAAGTTGGAGGGGTTTTTGAAGGTTGTAACCACAGACAAATACAGCGACGAACATAAGTATTTGAACACCTTGCGATTTTGCAAGTCTTCCCACTTAGAAATCATGAAGGGGTCTGAAATTCACATTGTAGGTGCATTCCCACTGTGAGAGACAGAATGTAAAGAATTTATTTGTTTTGCACTGCTGCACATAAGTATTTGAACACCTGAGAAAATCAGTATTAATATTTGGTACAGAAGCCTTTGTTTGCAATTACAGAGATCAAATGTTTCCTGTAGTTCTTGACCAGGTTTGCACATACTGCAATAGGGATTGTGGCCCACTCCTCCGCACATTTCTCTAGATCTGTGAGGTTCTGGGCCTGGCGCTGAGCAACACGGAGTTTCAGCTCCCTCCAAAGAATTTCGATTGGGTTTAGGTCTGGAGACTGGCTAGGCCACTCCAGAACCTTGATATGCTTCTTACGTAGCCACTCCTTGGTTATCCTGGCTGTGTGCTTCGGGTCATTGTCATGTTGAAGACCCAGCCACGACCCATCCAATGTTCTGACTGAGGGAAGGAGGTTGTTGCTCAAATTGTCACAATACTTGGCCCCATTCATCCTCTCCTTAATACAGTGCAGTCGTCCTGTCCCCTTCGTAGAAAAGCACCCCCAAAGCATGATGTTTCCACCCCCATGCTTCACAGTAGGGAAGGTGTTCTTTGGATGCAACTCATCCTCCTTTTTCCTCCAAACACGGCGAGTGAAGTTTAGACCAAAAAGTTCTACTTTGGTCTCATCTGACCACATGACTTTCTCCCATGCCTCCTCTGGATCATCCAGATGGTCATTGGCAAACTGCAGATGGGCCTGGACATGTGATGACTTGAGCAGGAGAACCTTTCGTGCAATGCGTGATTTGAAACCATGACGGCATAGTGTTCTACCAACAGTGACCTTTGAAACTGTGGTCCCAGCTCTCTTCAAGTCATTGACCAGCTCCTCCCGTGTAGTTCTGGGCTGATTCCTCACCTTTCTTATCATCAGTGATACCCCACGAGATGAGATCTTGCATGGAGCCCCAGTCCGAGGGAGACTGACAATCCTCTTTAGCCTCTACCATTTTCGGACAATTGCTTCAACAGTTGATCTATTTTCACTAAGCTGCTTGGTAATTTCCCCGTAGCCTTTTCCAGTCTTGTGGAGGTCCACAATTTTGTCTTTGGTTTCTTTTGACAGCTCCTTGGTCTTGCCCATGGTAGTAGCTGGAGTCTGACTAACTGTGGGGTGAATAGGTGTCTTTAAAGAGCTCAGATAGGTGCTACTAATTGAATACTAAGTGGAGTAGAGGTAGACTTCTTAAAGGCAGAGTAACAGGTCTTTGAGAGCCAGAATTCTTGCTGATTGCCAGGTGTTCAAATACTTATGTCCAGCAGTGCAAAACAAATAAATTCTTTACAAATCATACAATGTGATTTCCTGATTTTTTTTTACATTCTGTCTCTCACAGTGGGACTACACCTACATTGTGAATTTCAGACCCCTCCATGATTTCTAAGTGGGAGAACTTGCAAAATCGCAAGGTGTTCAAATACTTATGTTCCTCACTGTATACGTAGATGCCCCGTGGACTGGCACAGCCTATTTGAGTGGCCAGCCTCCATCTTAGATGGGTTTCCATTTGCCCCCAGTGCATTCATTTCTACTGAGGAAGGTCTGTACTTAACTAAAAAAAAACGCACGGTTGTTGCAACTGAAGGCTGCACAAAAACGGTCATAGTTGCTCACTCTGCGTTGACTTTGGAGAGTGAGGAGACCCATCCAATATGGTGGTGATGCTGTTATGCCCTCCAGTGCCCAATGGGGTGTAAAATCATGTCTATGGTTGTAATTTTAGACTGAAAACATCTCAGTGCAGGTGTTTACTTTTTGATTAAAATCTATTTTGTTTTCAAACTCTTGTTGGTGAACGTTCTTTGTTCCATGTATAAAGCTGATTGTCTTCACAAAAAGTCCAAACAAGTCCTCCCTGTCTATCCATCTGTCCACAGAACTTGGTCAGTCCAAGTCTGCCAAGGCGCCGGCACCAGTGGGGGAACTGGGCCCTGCCGGTTTTCTGAAGGAGGTGTGTGAACAGCTGAGCCTGACTCCAGTGGTGGTGATCAGCCCGTCACTCAGTGGGATGTACTCCCTCCCCTTCCTGCTGCAGCATCAGTCTCTCATTCGGGCCTACGTCCCCGTCGCTCCCATCTGCACTGAAAAGTTCACAGCAGAACAGTACCAGGGTGTAAAGGTGGGTGTGAGTAGCTACAGCAAACTCTTCTCTTTGTTTAAAAAATATTTTTTTCTTTAGATCTTTTTAATTTTTTTTATTGCCAAATGGAGCCACTGGATATCTAATTGACTTGCTCAGACATGAATGATAAAGTGAAACTCTTGTCAAACTACCAGTACAGTGTGATTATTTTATTTATGACACCTTTATGACTTAAGCCACATTTAAAAATGTTCCTGTCTTTATTTATTAGGAAACGTTTTTTCTCTTCACTTTCGTTTTTAGGTCCCAACGCTGATCGTCTATGGGGACCAGGACACACAGCTTGGGGAGCTATCGCTCCATAACCTGAGCAATCTGCCCAATCACAGAGTGGTGGTGATGAAAGGAGCGGGTCACCCTTGTTACCTGGATGACCCGAACACCTGGCACAAAGCTCTCACGGACTTCCTGAGTACACTGTGATGCTCCAAATGCGAAAAGATATGCTTAACAGAAAAATGACTCAGTGGAACCAATCAAATATGACGTTTAGACCAAAAAATCATCCTGCACACTGTGATCCTCACTGATTATTGAAGCCTGCAAAACGGCAAAAAAGTAGACTTTTTCTTCAAGAACTTGCAAATTGATCATTTTTTTGCTTTCCTGCTCAAAGTTTCCTGATTTTAGCGCTTTTGTTGGGCCACAAATCAAACAAAAGACAAAAATATCTAAAAAAAATGGCGTTAGAATATTTACCATAAGCAACTTTGAATCAGTTTTCAGTTTCTAACTTCTTCTGCTGACAATACTGACACCTTGTGGATGATACTGATCACTGCAAGCAGCTAAACTGCCTTCATACACATCTTGCACATTAGAAAACTGTAAGGATTTTGTCAGTCAGCTTCTGTGAAGATAAATACAATTTAAAAATTACATTCATTTGTAAGAATTACTTAAGTTTCCAGGTAAACATGGAAACGGTTTAACTAGAATTATTTTTTAATAAGCTAAAACATCAGAAATATTTTTTTATTGTTACATTGTGCATTTTGACCAACTATCTAACCTTAATTACCTTAATTGGCAATGCAGCCAAAAAGATTTGGGAGTGTTTGAATGAACGTTAAACATTAATAACTAATTAATTATCAATAATAAAATACCCAAAAATATTTTTCATATATCTCACTGTAAAATAATCCCAAACTGAATAAAAACACCACACACGTGAATGAAGTGAAAAATATGAACATTATTTAATAACTGATTCTCTGTAATAAACAATTTGAAAATATTTTACAAGGAGTCACAGACACAATATTTTACAAATTTTGCCCTCTTCTTTTTTTTTCTTTTAAGCTTCATCTGTACAAAAGAATGGAGCGACATGGACCAGCGCCCAAAAAAAAAAAAAAAAGAAGGAGCTAAATCCTCCACGCAGATGGACATTCACACCCACGCACGCACGAGAAGTAAAGCAAAAAAATAAAAATAAAACAAAAAACACTTCGACATCAGATTCAGATCTCATACTTATCAACAGTGCTGTAATCCTATATATTTTTTGAAACGTCATTTTGAGTTCAACTGGTTTTATGCTTTTTTTCTCTAAACGTTGCAGGTTTTTTTTCCACACACATGGTCACATAGCACCAGACTACAGACTACAGAATCACATACGCACGTCTTTCCCACAGAGACACAGATTAAGCGAGGGTCAGGAGGAAGTCCTCTTCACTTATTTCTAAGTGACTCCTCCCTCTCATTCCCAAGCTGGTCCAATTTTACATATTTTACCATTTTTTTTCTCCTTTCTGTTGTTTTTGGCAAAAGTAAATCTGTCAAACCAGAGAAATCAGCCGTCGCTGTACGGTGCTGCTCTGTGGAGACCCACTCCCTGAGCTTACCTCTAAAATCTCAGAAACCACCAGTGAAGCGACGTTCCGGTCTGGTGTTCCACTTCTCCCTATGAGTGTAAAATAAGTGCCGTAACACGTTTGTTTACGTGTGTGTGTGTGTGTGCATAAAGTCCTACTGCAGGTGCGCAAAGTGTAGCGTTACATATTTTAGTGCTTGACCGTACAGATCCCGGAAAAGAGAGGAAGTTGCAGGGAGTTACATTTCCACAGGCACGTGTAGCGTTCATTTACAGACAGTGGAAAAGGGTAAGTACAGTCTGAAAATGATAACAGTAATGGCACGGGACAGAAACAAACAGATGCCAGAAAAGCACAACTGCATCAAAAGAGCCAAATTAGAAAAAAATAAAATAAAAACATCGTAACAGTCTTTTACTTCATTTTTTTTGTTTTCTCAGGTTTCAACAAGACCTGAGTTGCAGTTACTGTGCCAGCACGATTAGTCACATTGACTGTACAGAGTGTGGTTTAAGGTTGAAGCTGTTTGCGAGCCATTCCCACCTGAGCTGTACAGTGAGCTTTAAGTGAACACCAAAGGTCAGAGGCTTTTAAAAATTGGAAAATTCCCACCTGCTCTCAAGCATTTAATCAAACAGGCATCAATCATGGACTGCCCTCAGAATGGGGTAAAAAAAAATCAGAGTGCACTGTTTTTTGTTTTGTTTTACTGCATAACACCAAGAAAAAGTCAGCAGAGGGAGAATTTTTGAGTGACAAAGGGCATACACGTGTGGGAAAGTATCAGAGCTCTGCGTCCAAGAACACTAAGGCATTTAAAGAGGCTTTGAGAGCTGTTAAAACAGAAAAACACTGACACATTCTTCCACCTTTCCTCCTCTTACAACAACATTTAAGCAGATTCAAAAATAAACGGACCTTTTTCTTTAACTCTCATCCCTTCTTACTCAACCACAAACACTGATTTTTGTCTGTTGTGACACAGAAAACATGAAAATTAAAAAACAGCCAAGCACACGTTCCCTCTGAGGGTTTTTAATCACACACATCCACACGCAATTTACTCACAAACCAGGCAGAACAATAGCAGTCAGGTGGCCCTAAAAAACACTCCACGACCGGTTAAGTTGCTGTATACTGATGGTGTATCATAGCTCTATACATGGTTTTGTAAAGGAACGGTATAGGAACTCTATATAGGAGGGCCTGTTTGGATGCCATAGGGACATACATTAAACTGAGGCAGTTGATATGGTAGCTCTGCATGGAGCCCTTTCACTCTACTATAGCATCATCGACATATAAAGTAACATGTCTGGTATTACGTACCAGTGGTCAAATTTTCACCTACACATTGACCAGAAAGTAGCTTTTAATTAGCAGACACAAAAACACCGTCTGTCTGGCCTCCAAGAAAGAAAAACAAGTGTACGACGTGCAACTGACCAAAGAAGCCATAACATCTTTGCTCAAGGCCTCATGCGAGACTCCTGCATTCCTCACTCTAAATAAAGCGCACGTACCTCAAAGTTCCTACATGACTTTACCACTCATAAGTTGAAATAATCAAATGTGTTGAATAAACAAAATGTTTAAATCAAATGTTTGAATCATTTGTCCTTTAATCATCTTGTCAAATGCATTGCAGGAATTTTGCGGCATTCGTGCCACCATGCTTGGTAGTAATATTGCAGCAACACCGGGCTGGTGAATGCATATTTCGCCTTGGCACAACAGAGGGAGATGTCATGATCATGTGGGGAGTTACTGCCGAGCTTCAGCCGGAAAGTATATTGAAAGTAAATCGCCGTTTATAAGCCAGACAATTACCACAATACTACTAAAGGAGGTAGATCGAATGCCTCAAAATTCACGGAACACCATGCCGACATGGTTGATAAGACACACCGTTGTGGTAATATTACGCTGATTTGCTGGCACTATGCGTCTCGTAAAAAGAGCTTAAAAGAGGTTTGAGTCTCTTTCGAATTCAGACAGCCTTGTTGTGTTTTTGTGACGTAGCTGGCCTTAAACTGCGTACTTTGAATCATGCAGCTCCTGGATTTGGACACACCCATTGGTTAACCCACCTCAAAGGATGCTAGTTGGCTACTACATGCTACATACTATGAAATAATAAACACAATAGTCTACTGTAATTTTAGCATAGGACAAACGACATAAATTGCTAAATAAAGCGTCATAATAGTGAACAAAGTGTGACAACACATTTTCACCGTGGAATAATTATTTTTGCACATGACACATCAGTCCACTAGGTGGTGATGTTCTTCAAAATTGATCAACTTCAGTACATATTTGGGAAGTTAAAGCCTCAAAGTAGTACTATAGTGTTTATTAAATCCTTTTTTCCTTAGCAGACATGGCAGTCGCTGAATTTAAGCATTAACTGACTAATTACAAATAAGATCTTAAAATTGGGATTTAATAATAAGGTAAAAATGATGAAGCGGTGCAGGTTAAAAAATGGAAAAAGTAGTTGTTTTCTTCTTAGGAAAAAGTAATTTAGTTTACATGTGGGGGCGGGACTTAAAACTTATTCTGCAGCCAGCCACTGGGGGGCAATTTTAGTTCTTTTGTTAGTTTATATGTCGATGTGCAGCATCCAAATCCTCAAACATGACTGATTTTCTAAAGATACTATACAGTAGCTCTACTCTTATACAGCCAATGCATTCGAAAACAAAGTGCGTCAAGGCACAATGAAACAGAGTGGCTCCTAAAAACGGGAGTCTAAAAAAACCCTTTTCACATATCGCAAAGGATAAAAGATAGACTGTGACTGATTACAACAAGACATTTACTGAATGTGATCACCATATTGAGTGGCCTCTTTCTGTTTTATAGCTGAAAATGCTGATAAGCCCCAATCCCCCAGCAGCAGATGATTTCGAAATTTAAACAGCATCAGTCAAAATAACAAAAAAAGAAAAAAAAAAAGAAGCAAAACAGGAAAAAACGATTGGCCTGCCCCAAATAAAGCAAAAACCTCCCCTGGAACTGCAGTGAGGCTTTGAGTGACACAAATAAAAGCACAGACACGACAATATGAGATCATAAGCCTTGGTGAAGAAGCCTTGAGAGGATTGGCAGAGGTGAGGCTGTCATCAGAGGGATTGCTTTTTTTAAACATCAGTCTAAACTTTGAGGTCAGAATGGTCGATCGTAAAAGTGAAAACTACATGACATCAACAATGTCCCCGCAGCAACCGAACGCTGATTCAGATTTTACAGCCGGCAGAAAACACCAGCGTCTAATAGTACATATGAAGGGAAAACACTTCAAGAAACATGTGATTACCATTGTGTAATTACAATAATCCCCAGTGGACCTTTTATTATTTTATTTAAAGTGCTAATCTGTGATTAAGAGCTGCAGAAAATGAGTCAGGATTCAGCTGCTGAGTCTCCTCTTCCTCTCATGGTTTATCCTAAATCTAAATCCACTTCCTTTTTGTGTTTTGGCTATAAAACTCACACCACATGAAGGTATATCTCATTTTGGCAAGTAGATATAACACACAAATTCTCCTGTTTTTAGGTTAACACTTAACTTGCTTTTCATATTAAAACCTAAAGATACTGAATGTTTGGAATACTCATCACTTCAGCAGGTAATACTCGACAGTTTTTTTTCTGGTGTTTTCTTCTATGGTGCTGCAACTGGCTGAATGATCCAAAACCTTACAAGAGGCAAATGGTGAGACTCTGATGATGGACGGAGAGGAGAAGAAGTCCCGCTGTATGAGGACACAGAGGCAGACAGGGAACCTCAGATCTCCAGTTTATGCAAAGTGAGAGGTCTGCAAATGAGAACCTGTCCCTTAACCCTCTCCCTCCTGGTCTGGATGGTGAAAGGTGGGCTTGTTTCCTCTTTTTCAGAGTTGCCTCTGATGATCCAGGGGTGAAAGGGGGGTCTGGCACCACCTGCTCTGCCTGCAGATGTAACTGAAGACATGAACGTCCAGTGGTGGTCACAAAAACGGCACACACTGAAGCGAGCCGGGTAGTACGGCACTCAGGGCTTCCACTTGCTGTGGGAAGTCCCACTATTACTTATGACTGAACAAAAGAGAGGGGTTAGGAGCAGGAAGGGTGTGGGGAGTACAAGGGGAGGGGGTTTCAGGGTGGGACATAACCTAAGGAGGGCTAAAAGCAGGATAAACCATGGACTAGCGGAGTTAATGTAATTGTGAGTGAATGTGGGCACTGACAGGCGGATAAAGCAGAAGCAGCTGAATGAACAGTAAAGCATAGAGAGGTGGACGAAAGGAGTGACCTCTCCCACAGTCTGATGTGATCTCCTGCAAAGAGAATGAGAAAGAATGTTAGAATTACACTTTTTTTTACACACACACACAAAAAAGCTTTATAATTACAGCCAGAAGCTTATTTTTCCATTAACAGACTAATTTGTTGTAAATTAGTTGTACTAATCCTCTAAAAGGACAATTTCCTGTCCTTCTACCTCACAGGTGTGTAACTTATCTACACTCACAACAACATACTCTGTTTTAATTGCATTTTCTATAAATAGTTTTGGGGAAAGATTGGTATGAGCTCTTGAATCCACTGAGTGAGACTACATGTGAAGGCAGTCATTTGTCCTCTTGAGTATTTAGGTCCTATGTTACTGATATCTCCACATACTGTCAATAACTAAAGGTCAGGAGCATCATCTACCTCTTTTAGGACCTAAAAATCATTTATTTTAGCTAAGAAAAGTAATCAGTCATGACCAAAGTTTGACAAGTCTCGTAAGATTCCAGCAAAGGAAACAGAAAACTGTTGAAGGGGAAAAATCTGTCCCTAAATTACCGAAAAGTTCACAAGTGATTCTTATTTTCATGCAGTGTTGCTGTCTCCTCAGTAAGAAAAGTTAGTAAAAGTCACTAGGATCAGAGGAATAACATGGCAAATGTGATGAAAAGTGTGAAAATGTCTATAAATGTGTATGGAACTTCAAATTTCTTCTGTCAAATCCTTTTTTCAAAAAATATATTTCTTTCATAATTTCAGCCTTCCTCTTTTATCCAGACTGACTATAAGCCAGGGTGGGTTCAGCCGTCTCTGGGTTTATGCATTTTGGTAGCCGAGAAAATATCCACAGAAGCAAAACATGTTTTAGCTCTGCAGGTCTCCATTGTAGCCTCAGCAGGATCATTGGCTCGAACAGTCTCGTGTCTTGCTAATCACAGCGCTCTACCGGTTTGGTCGGCAGGATGTTACTGCGACTGAGTGAAAAAACAAAGATGGCGTTGGCTCGTTTGCAGTTTAAGATGCTGAGAAGTTAAAATCTCACAAGGACTGGGCTGCCTGTGAGAGCTTTGGGAGGTGGAACAGACCAATGACAGCATCAGCTGCTCGTTGAGAAGAATCACAACACTGTGTGCTTTCACATACATGTACCAGTAAATCTAGAATAAATCACTTGATTTTCTTCTAATTGCTTTGTTGACAGAATTGCTAGGGGTGGTGGCAAAGATGCTAAATTAGCAACGTTGTTCTTGGTCTCAGAATGAAGTCAATAGCTTTCATGTAAATAAATCTGCAAAAGTGTAATAATGTTATTTCATTGTAATTTGATTTAAAATATCTCGACATTTATTTAATATTTGTAACCAATTAGAGATTGTTCATTATCAACATTTTACCAATATACTGATATAGCCTAACTCTAAATTCCCAATACTGATATAAACCAATACCAATATATGTGGTATCCCCCATTAATTAAATAAAAAAGAAAACCTAAATATTTTAGGTAAATAACACATTTCATGCATACTTCAACTTTAAACATTATCTGTGCAAAATATGACAACTATTTCAATGAGTTCCAAACAAACAAAAATATCTCAAAAACCAAACCTCAGATCTGTCATTTTTTGACATTTTGAAAGAAAGAAGATATAGTTGAAGAATTAATTGAATACAATTATTGGTAGGGTTAATATTGCATGAAAGCAATCTTCATCAAAATTATGAAAGAAAATTTTCTGATTTCTGGATGCTAAACCAACAACAGCCTGTCATGAGTTAAGATGGGTGAGTCCATGAATGTGAAGTAACAGTGTGATCTGTCTGTAACAAAAGATCTGTCAGGCTTTTCAAATCCTTGACTATTTTCATGTTCAGCCTGCATAAAAAACTCAGAGTGATATTATAATCAGAAATAATCAATGAAAAATGGTTTCTCAGCAAACACCTTTAAAGGGTTGTGTCTAAGTCGGCTACAGCTCCTAGAACGTTTTATTGCAGCTCTGCTCAGACTAAACTGTTAAGCTGAGACCATTAAAATGACTAATTTACATAGGCAAGCTGGTCAGAGACTGCACAGACTTTTTAGCATGGCCCATTATTAAACACCCCTTGCTGCCAACATTCAACAACAAGGTAAATGCAGTTTTGAGTTATAAAATTCTTTTAATGCTGAACCTGCTTTTGAAAATCAAAGTAACTGCTGACACTGATAATATCTGAAAGTCTCACAGTGTTGTTATTGTCAAAACAGGTGGAGGGTCCTTTTCGATAGCGTGCCATCGCTAGTTCTTCACATGGATTTTCTTCCATGACTAAATTATCACTCCTTTAAGGAAAAAAAATGAAACAAACTAAAAATGTATTTCATTTATTCTTTTGCACATGTAAAAGGATACACTCTTCTTCATCCTGGGAAAGCATCTCTATCTCACAGGAGGTGCATGGCAGCTTTTCTGCTACCACAAACAGCAGGTTGGTGTTGTTTATCCTCTTGGCATGAAACAGCCTACACACACACACACACACACACACACACACACACACACACGCACGCACACACACACACACACACACACACACACACACACGCACAGAGAGAGAGAGAGAGAGAGAGAGAGAGAGAGAGAGAGAGAGAGAGGGGGGGGGGGGGCACGGACACACACACACAGAGATAGACACACACACAGAGCGAAAGAGAGACACAGTGAGAGAGATACACACATGCAAAGAGAGAGAGAGAAAGAGCTAATTTGACAACCTCTGCTTTATTGACTCTTGCACTCATTTGCTAATGGATCAGTAAGATTTCTGAGACAGCCTTACAAGGCTCATTTAGCCAATATTATGACCATTTCATAAAGAAAGAAAGAAACAAAATGATGCAGGTTTATAGCCAGCAGTGCTTCTGCAGCTCTTTGATGTTATTTGTGTGTTTATGCGTGATTGTTTGCATTTTGCAGCAACCTGGAGCAGTTGCCACAGTCTTGAAGAATGTTGTAGGAGCTGCTGAGATTGCTGAAGTAGTACTGGGTTTGGATCATAACACAACTCCTCTCTTTTGGCTCAGCACCCTCTGCGTCCACCTCATCTGCAACATCAGCAGAGCACAGAGATGGCTTAGATGCACCTGATCAGAAACCAGGTTCTGCACATGCAGAACAAAGCTGCTGATAAAATATCCCAAACGGTGAAATGTAGGGAAGCACCGAAATGAAAATCCTTGGCCGAAAAACCGAAAACGGAAAGAAATAATTATGTCAATAATTAGAACCACAGTATTCACGGCTATGATGTGTACTAACCTCACTAAAATCAAGGCACTGCAACAAATCAGTTACAAAACCATGAATATATTTATTTAGCACAGAGATGACCCTAAAACGGGGTTCACCTGCCCGTCTGTTTCAGTCGTGCTGTTTCTGTGATTTAGGTGTTTCGGACGAAAACTGAAAATGCATTTTTGGGTAATTTTCGACCAAAGATTTTCGGTGGCCACATTTTCCAAGAGCACCTGGCTGCAGACCTCCACTGTCAGGCTGCTTCCGGTGGAGGCTCCACTGTCAGGACGACCGCCACAGTCAGGACGGATTTCGGTTGAATCGCTCTCCTCACAAACGCATTTATTTTTTAATATTACGTAAAATCTATCGATTATTTCTCTATAGTTCATATATAGTTGTCATTTATTTAGTAAACCTTAGTTTTGTTTGTCATTTTTGTTGTGTGTTTTCCTTTACTGTTGCACAACGTGGTCATTATGATAAATTCTGTCATAATCTAAGACGTAATATAAAAAAAATGAATGCGTTTCTGAGGAGAGCGATTCAACCGAAACAGCATTTGGGATTTTATTTAGAAATATGACGACCAGAAGTATGTTAGCGTTTTATGTTGAAACCTACCCCGGCCATTCGTTAATTCATTCTGAAAAATTACAACTGTAAGTATGTTAAATGACAACTACAAATGAACTATAGAGAAATAATAGTTAGATTTTACGTAATATTTTATATTGAAACCTATCAGTTACAAGCATAAGTATGTTTGCTGTTTTATTTTGTAATGTGTCCTGTGCATTTCCCGTCCTGACAGTGGCGGTTGTCCTGACAGTGGAGCCTCCACCGGAAGCAGCCTGACAGTGGAGGTCTGCAGCCAGGTGCCTCTCACATTTTCAGTGCATCCCTAGTGAAATGTTTAACCTACCTGTGGCAAACCAGCTGTGATAAGCCAAACCATACAAAAGCTGCTGGAACAAGGACCTACAGAGACAAGAGAAGTACATGAGAAGAGGTACAGGAACAGCATATATTGAGTTTATTTAGTTTTTTATTCATCAACATGGACAAAATAAATGTTTTTAACAATAAAATATTTGTTTTCACTCAAACAAAATGTCTGATTGGAAAATATATATTTAGTTGTTTTTGAAAGAAAACCTTTATGCATCAGAAAATATCCATGTCCAATTCACACCCGCTCCTTCCTCTCCATACATAGACCATATATGCTCAATTAGTCTGACCATGGCACGCCTTTGTTGTTTCCATTTTCCTTTCTTTTATTTAGATTCATTTTCTCCAGCCTTGAAGGTCAACTTTACTCATATGCTTACATTTGCTGGTGTCTCTAGTATGAATGAATTCCTTGTAAGTCTGAGTCTCAGGCAAAAAACTCTGGTGCGCCTGTTTGAGGAAGTAGAAGTTGGCTGTAGGAGAAAGTAGCTTCAGATGGCAGGGTTTGGAGTCTAATTTCCTGATATTTGGACATCTCCCCTCGGATTGGCTAACAGCAACACAACTCTACCACTGACTCTTCTTGCTTTGCAACATTACTGTTTTATCTCCACTAGGAGGCCCTTGTTTAGCATTTCTAATCTTACCATGCAGCAGCTGAAGTCCACCAGGCCAGGTTCACAAAATCTGCTATTGTGGGCTACAGACATACAGAACAACAATACAAGACCGATTAGGTTTTCAACTGATTTAGCACACCTTCATCTAGTCATTATTTCATCACGTTTTTCTTTTAAAACAAAAATGTTCTGTGGGAATTTTATTGCACTACAACTTTTCAGGTAACCAACAATCTGGTAAGGAGAAGCAGCCACAGTCATTTACTTAAAGGAGCAATATGTAAGAATTCTACAGTGAAACTATCACAAAAAAGTATAATGTCTCAATCATGGTTATAGTTTTGCCGGGGGGGGGGGGGGGGGGGGGGGATATATGACCGAGGAGAGGAAATCTGCTTTGTCGGCGGGAATTCTCTCTCAGAAGTCTAGCAGATACTGTCTTTTAATTTATCTAATTTATCTCGTTAGCTGATGACTTGCAGCGGAGACACAGAAAACAGGCAGAGGTGGAGAGGCCAGCCTGGCTGAGGACCTGTCAGAGGCCCTGAAATCCACAAAAGGGAGCGGCGCTGGGCTTGTACACGGAGCGGGAGTCCAGCAAAACTACAGCCTATAGGCTCTTCTATGCAATATCAGGAATGCAGAACTGTCAAGTACACAGGTGGCAGGAACGGCCAATCAAATGTTAGTAAGTACAAGCAGAGCCATTAGATGACCTTATGGATGGTTCTAATAGGAAACAGGCTTCAACACAAGTGGTTGTTTTTGCTTGGTCCTAGTGCTCAACCAGTGTTTATTTAATATAACGTAATATTAGTTTTGGAGGGTAAAAAGCGGGGGAGACATATGCCCCCCCCCCCCCCAAATACTCCATCCATGAGCAAGCTAGAATCTTCTGGCGCAGATCCATAACTGTCAACAGCCATGAAACGCCCAGAACAGCAGTGAGAGTAATTGTTTGCTTTAAAAAATGACCTGAAGTAACCAGGTTTGACCACAAGATGTTGTCCCTACTTCCTTCTTACATATTACTCCTTTAAAACACAGAAACACTTATTTCCAAGAGCCGGACACTAAATGTTCCTGCTGAGTGTTTCAGTTTAGCGTTATAAATAATCCTGGATTTTTTTAGGATAAGCCAACAGCTACTTTCTAAAAAGTGACAAGGACTCTTGATCATTAGAGTTGTCTTCTTACCACAAACACTCCTCTAGGTGCAGCTCCAGCTTCGCTGTTCTGCATCTGTTCGCACACTGACTGATAATCAAACGACTGCTTGCGTTTATAGAAGGAGTTGTTGTAAAGAGCGTACATCAAGTTGGGGTCGACGACACCAAAGAACTTTCCCACCTATGGAAACAAGGAACAACGCTCAGACTGGGGTTGGTTTAAAAAAAAGGAAAACAGTAAATTTGTAAAAAATAACAAGTTCATTGCATTTTATTAAACCTCGTTCCAGTGTTCCTTCTGATTGGACATGATCAGGAATCCACCATCATCTACTAAATAGCACAAGAGGTCCTGCACACAGACACGGATGTGAATTATTAACTGGAGGTTAAGTGAATGGGCGAACAGAGCTTTGATGCAGATGTTCCAGTTGTGCACAGGTTTATAAAAGTCTGTTAATGCTTACTTCACTGTTGGCCTCACAGTCCATCTCACAGACCCTGTTTGGTCCACACTGTCACAGAAAAGAGTGAGTTAGTAAATTAGACTTGTAGAGAGCAGCACACACGTTGCCCCATAAATACATAACATACAGGGCTGTGGAAAAGTATCTGCCCCCTTACAGATTTCTTGGTTTATCTTTTTGTCACTTTATCAAATTAGAGAACAAAGCTGTCCAAACTAGCCCAGCCCAATGCAAAAAGGTGGATCCACCTGCCCCTCCAGCAGAAGCTTTCTCTTGCATGTGAGAAGTGGTTCTGTTCTAATTTCCTCATTTGTGACATCACAAATGGGGACTTTTCTAAACGGCTTGTTTTAGGCACATTACTCCTAAAATCAAATACTGACAAAAAACATATGGATGGATTTTTTTCCAGCACTTGGAGTGTTTCTAGAGGCAGTAGAGACCCACATGGCAACAGAAAGGATGTTTTAATAATTGGTCCCCTTTAAAGTTGCAAGAGCAAATTTGGAAAACCTTTTTTTTCATGCCTCTTAACAACATTTTAACATATTACAATTGTAAATCTATTGTGGAAATTAAAAAATGAAAAAATTAAAATAAAAGAATAAAGTGGTTCTATTGCATTTGTCTAAAAATCTCTGCCAATAACACGGCTCGGACAGAAAATAACTATTGGACTGTCGGTCTTGCTGCTCTTCTGCCCTTCCCTAGGTCCTCCATTCATTACGCACTCACGTGTTTAGCAACAAAACACTACTGGTGTGAGAGGTTCTCCACTCAATAATATCAGAGAAGGAGAACCAGCCGGCTGAATACCACTTCAACTTTAGGGGAAAAAAAAGTCACAAAAGTAAAATGCCATTTGAGGCCACTGACAACAGAAGATGTTTGGACCTAGAAAATGGTGACTGGTGTTAAGCACTATCTCGTTTGCAATGTGGGTTTGCAGTTACGGCAGAAGCTTCTCGGGTAGGGAAGATAACCGAGGGGAGGGGTGAGTGTTATGTGACCATGTTTGTGTTTAAAACCTAGCTTGTTCTGTAGATTTGCTATAGACCACTTGGCACATGATGTTACACGCTCAAGATCCCGCCCCCAGCTTCTGGCTGGAGGGCAAGAAGACGGCGCATCCCCATTGACCATCGTTGTTTTTATGTGTTAGTTGTCAATAAATAGAACTAAACTGCTGCAAAATAAAATCTATCTGCATAGTTTACACATGTAGCGCTGCACAAGCACATGACAGACGGATGGTAACATAAAGTTTTACAGGTTTCCAGGTGATAAAATATGCAGAAGGCGTCCAGGCGCGTTATTTAAATAATTGTATATATCATAGATTGAAGATGGCCCTGTACTAGCCGCTAGTTCTGAGCTTGTTAGCCATTTTAAACGAATCTGGACGTTTTGCGCTAAACGTTGCTGGCTTTGAGATATTTCTTTGTGATCATCTGCACAAAGATGTGCTATATGATCAAAATAGTAATCTCTAAATCTCTAGGTTTTATCTTCTTAGCTTAAATCACACAGATACAGGTCTGGATAGCAGCTGCAGAGGGTCCTTTTGCTTTCCAGCATTGTGTGGATGTACGCTATTACCCAGATGTAAACAATAGCATTAAAAACCATGTTTCAAAACCTGCATTTCAGATTTACACAAGTAAAAACTGAAATATTTTAAGAAAAAAAAAGCTGTTTATAAGGGTGGAAATACTTTTTCACAACACTGCAGAGCCCATAAAATATCCCATAACAGAATTAGATTTACCATATTTGAGCCTTGACGGTTGTCTGTGTGATTGCTGGCAAGGATCTTGAACTTATCAGTCCAGGCTTCAAGGTCTAATTTCACCCCAACAACTGAGCAAAAGTATAATTAGTAGAAAACCTCATTAAGAAACACACACACACAAAAATGCATGAGAAAAGTTAAAACACAAAATAAATGGGCAAAACAATTTAATACGGTAACTAAATGATATCAGTGTAATTATGAAATCCAAATTTGAATCATTAACTAATTAGTTTAAACTTCAGTTTCAGACCTGCAGGTTTGATGGTCTTCCCTCCTATCGTAATATCCAGAGCTGTGCTGACCAGAACACCAATAGTGTCGTTTTCTGGGTTCAGCAGCTCCCCGCCGCCTGTGAGACACAAACGGAGAAGCGTGATAGGAGGAGGGGTTAAAAACAAAGAGCCATGTCGTTTTTAAGGCATACACTCAAACACTGGTCACCTGATCGATACGGCGCAGTGAAGATGTAGCCCTTGTTGTCAAGGCTGCGGCGGTAATAGCTGGCATTAAACGGCTCAGGGTCTTCCTCCCAGGTTTCTGCAGCCCTAAAAAGATTTAAGACCAGAGAAACCAGCATCGTAAATTCCTAACGTACAAGCTTCCTCCTGAGCTTATCGCACTCACTTCATCACAACTTGCCACCTTAAAAACGAACAGTGTGAGAAAAGGTAGAAGAAAAGCAGCTGTAGCCGAGAAACAACAATACTGACAGAGAGCACTCACTTGTTTGGGAAGACGCGCGTGATGCCTCCATCTGTCGCCGCAAACACGGCCAGAAATCCGTATCTGAATGTCAGGAGACAGAAACATCCTTTCAGTCTAAATGCTCGCCACGCAGAATAAATCTGACAAAACAAGTTCTAAAGCTCACGTATTCAAATCTTTGTTCTTCCACACTTTCTCCACCAGCTGCCTGATGATGCCGGTGTCCAGGATCAGGTTGTGAAGGAGCAAATTGTCACCTGAGAGAAGATGAAGACTCACACGTCACGTCTTTTTTTTCTCAGAATGCTGAGAATAACGAGAGATTAAAACCAGGAAGCTGACTTTTTGGTCATTAAAGGAAAATTGTTTTTTCTTCAGTAACACTTGACAGTAAGAATCTCTTTATTAACGTCACTTAGCGCAATATTAAGCATGAATAAACTATTAAATAAAGTATTAACAACTGCTTAATATCCATGTTAATATTAAGTAAAGCATTACTAAGCAGGCACCCCAAAAATAAAATATGGTACAAAAGTCCATTTATTCAGTAATTCAGTTGTGAATGAGAAACCATCTCAGGAACTGTTTGCAGGTGTTTTGGATTCATTTGCTGATTGTGTGACACTTTGAGCCTAAAGAATATTGAACCTTTTGACCTTGCATGTAACGTGTCTATCTCAAATATTAGTTGCACCTTTTATTTGAATTACTTAAATAAATTAACTTTTGCATACTTTGCTTTAGTTTAGCATCTTACAACATGAAGTCCCAAATCACTCTTGGTCTACAGAGAAGAAAGGTCATGTTTGGTGTAACTGAACCTGCGCCATTCAAAATTTTAACAATAGAAAAAAGGTTTAAGAACTAAGTTACGGCTTTTTACAATTTCAAATACAACAAACAAAAACAAAACATAAAAACAAATATTTAGCTCATTTCTGTCAAGGTTAGTCAGTAAAAATGGCACCGAGATGTAAAGTACATCCATGAGGCACACATAGCTGGAGGTTTTCACAAGTATGATTAAAATACAAGTAAACAGTTCATGTTAGAGTCCATTTTCAGTGCTATATTATAAATATGTTATGCTTTACATAATTTTAAGTTCAGCAAGTGTTCAAAACGTGTTCTTTCAACATGACATCATTTTAAAGGTAAAGTTTGAGTAATCAAGGATGAAACTCACATTGTTTGGAGTCTGGCGTGACCTTCTCCATGAGAGCGATGAAGTTGAGCAGGAACTCTGTGTTGTTGTTGGACAGTTCAAGATCGTTGCAGTACTCCCTGAGAAACGGGACGAGGAAACGATCAAAATAAGATGTGCACACCGATAAAATGCTGCTTCATCTGTGTTTTCTTGAAGGACACACGACACTGAGAGGAGAAGAAGGCGTTACTTGATGTTTAAGTGTGCAGCATGCTTCCAAAATAAGTGGGTTTACCAGCAGGATGGAGCAGAGGCAGGATGAAGGAAGCTGCACTTCAAATGTTCTGGTTTTATTAAAACTGACACATGCAGTGGATTCACTCTATTGTTTTGTTGTTTTTTTAAGTATATTTTGTTACAATTCTCTTTATTAGCACATAAAAACTGATTTTGTTTTTCTGCAACACAAACATGCAGCACCACACAGAATCAGCATGCACACATCCAATGTGTTATCTGCATGTGATTATTAATAATGATTATCCTCATAAAAAAACACACAAAAGGAGATTGAAAAAAATATTTCTGAACACCAAACTAAAAGTCGTGCAACTTTTAACACTTGTTTTTTTAAATAACTGCAATAAGAATGCATCAGAGTGTGTGAAGACAGCACCAAACACTGATGACCATCAACGACTGCAAGCGTACACACAGTGGGCTACCTGGGAGCAATGAACACATGTCCTTCAGACTCAAAACTGTTTGGCAGCAGTGACTCAAAATCTGCAACAGAAAGGGGAGATTATCCAGGAAGAGCAGTGGGCAGAGCAGTGGGGAGATGTGGGTAAACAGCAGCTGTTCTTCAGAGGTGCAGGGACGCAGAAGGGACTTTACCATAGCAACACTGAGGTATCATGGTAACACCAGCGTTAGCCAATATGGTGCCTAAAACACAACCTGACTGAATATATATTAGGACTGCTTTGCATTCCCAAGCACTCACATCTTAGGTTTGACTTTTTGGGACTTTGTCAGCAAATGTTTCTGATTATTTCTGGTTTCAATCGGGTTTATTTTGGGTGTCTGAGAGCTGACTTTACCAGACGTGACTTGTCAAAAAGCGAGTTCTCAGACAGACTGGGTGTGCTGAGTGCGTGGAGATCAGGCAGGCATCAACATGGCAAACTATTGCAGGGGGAGGTGGGTGAAGGTCCTGATGGAAGAGGTCACCCCTCAGACTGGCAGGGCAGGGGACTCAGAGAGAGACACACAATCGGAGGAAGTGCATAGTATTGTGAAGGGCATGTCATAGGGCAACTTTGGTTGAAATACCAGGAACAAAACCAGCACACAAAATATCAACCATCACTCAATCCTACACAGATGAGACTGTGATGAAGGTCGGCAACTGTCTGTGTCCAGAGAGCAAATTAAAAATCCATTTAGACAGCAGGAAATAGTGTACCCAGGTAGTTTTCCGCCCACAATACCATGCATATCCAGGGTCAGGTTTACTGAGGAAGTGTTAAGCCGTGCCCCCTGACAGTCTGAGGGGTGAGGACGGGGTGGGAGAAAAGCTGATGGAGACAGGGGGTAGAGAAGGACGACATAGGAGTCAGGCGTGGTGCAGAGCAGCACCGTGAAACTTGACGATATGGGCGGACCTGGGACGGGAGGACACAGCTCAGGCCTGTGGGGTTAGTCTGCACGCTGCAGCGCTTCCAGCTATAGGCAACATACTACGGCAGCTAACAAACCACAACTGTTACAAACGTTTAATAAATGACAAAAGAAATATCTACTCAGCAGGTTCATGACTCAAAAAGATCCAAATTCACTCTACGATAATAAAAATACAAGTAGATTATAAGTGAAAATGCACCGATGACAGATTTATAAGACGATTACACTTTTGGACTTGCAAAGATCTGACCTGGATTATGATGTCAGCCAACTCTAATTTATGTCTAAAACCTAAAACTGACTGACAAGAAAGTAAAAAAGATAAAACATCCTCCGTTTTGCACAACGTAAAACAAAACAGAGCACCGTCTTACAGGAACTGGAACATAACTGATTAGATCATGATGATAAAATACAACTATTATATCTTGTGTTTGTCCAAAATATGCTTTCTTATGTAATAACTTGCTAATACGTAAGCTAGCGCTACTGAAAAAAACCCTCTGCTTATGTGCTACAAAGAGGTTAAAGTCATACACTAAGCCACTTTTAAGGTGAGTTTTTTGCAGCACCTTACGTTTATGATTTACAGATACATAAATATATCTTATGTGTTTAAAACAAAAGTTAATGTTACCGAGCGATTACCAACTTCATTTACTTGTTAAACTCCATTATATTTACACATTTTCAAGGATTTCAAGCACCTGTTAAAGATTAACTGTACTCATATTTTTTATACATCTGTTGTGGTCTCTACTGTAGCAGGAACAAATGCCTTGTTAGTCGTTCTCTAGGGGGAAGAAGCTCTGGTGTGCTAACTTGAGGACATGGATGTCAGTTGGAGAAGAAAGTAGCTTCACAGAATTTGGTCTTATTTCCTGATATTTGGACATCTCAACTCTGATTGGATAGCAGTACTGCAGCACTATCACTGATTGTTTGCTCTGTAACGTTGATGTTTTATCTCCACAATTAACACAAGCCTGGAGGAGTTCTGCCATGTGGTGGAGTTGTTAATGCTAACAGTTAGCTGCTACTACTAGTCGAGACAATTTTTGCTGTTTCCTGGACGCCAAACCAACAACAGCCTTTCCTGTCTCGAGTCAAGGTGGGTGAGTCCATGAATGTTAAGTGACAGAGTGATGTAGATCTGTCAGGCTTCTCTGAACTGAGCATTTTTCCTTCTATTTTCTATCACCGGCTAATACAGGAAATAGGGGTAGAAAACTATTACAGCCTGAACAATGAACTGATCATTTTCTAAAATATTAAGTAAAAATGGTTTTTCTGTGAACCTGATTATTAAAGACCAGCTCTAGAAAATCCAAGATAATTTATTTTAGCTTTTTACACCTATTGTGTCTTTTGATGTTACAATTAAACACCTTACAATTGTCATTATTAATAAAGGACGGCTTACACCTTCTTCTCCCGTTTAGATCAGTGTATTCTCTTTAGTTTTTATCGGTTTCACATTCAGGTAGTTTTTAATGTTTATTGACAGTAATAGGTTTTCTTGGATTTGTTCTGCATGAAATCAGACGACATGTGCTGCGACGCTGCAAAGCACCTCTACAATAAAGGCGTGCTAATGCTAACATTGCTTTTAATAGCCGAGTGCCACTCACAGGTGAAGCCTGCCAAAATAAATTAAACAGCTGATTCCAGTCACCTGGTGATGCATTCGGTGCATTTTTACTTATAACAACTGATAGTAATCCAGTGTGTGCATGTGTGTGTGTGTACCTCTCAATTTTATTAAAATGCTTCAACAAACAACTATAAACTCTTACTGTTTTATTACTAAGTGTGTTTTCTGTACTTTGGCACTTAAAAACAATTAAAGCATCTATGAGTATCTAATGTGGGATTCAGTTAAACACTTATGAATTGTAAGGAAAAAGACAGAGTGAAAAAAGAACAGAAAGAAGATAGAAATTATGGTGAGGTGGGAGAAATAGAGGCATAGAAAGGACACAAGTCTTTAAAAGCTTTCTACAGAAGAAGAAGGAACAACGTGGAGGGACCACACGACACGTTTTAACATAAAACATCGATATCTAACATCTGTGGGTGCTATGCATGGTGTTTTGTGTTTGTTCGTTCCTGGAGCAGCAGATATGAGGGAGGGAGGATAGGTGAGGTCGAGGACTGGAGGAGCCATTGTGAAAGATGTGGGATCTGAGCTGCAGCAAGAGGGTGAAGAGGAGAAGGGATTAAAGGAGGAAGAAGAAGGGATAAGTGGGAAAGAAAGGGAGGAAATCCTGAAGGCATGGCGGGCAGGAACAAAGGCAAGCAGGCTGGGACAGGTGAGGGTAGGGAGGGAGGAGCAGGAGGAGGTTTAGGACAAAAGGTGAGGGAAGGAGAAGGAAGCAATAGGAGGAAGGGGTAAAGGGAAGGGAACGTGGACCAATATGGAGTATACTTGCCCTTGGTGTATGGCACTGTGTGGATCCATCAGAGAAGGAGTGAGCAAGAAAAGAAACGGGATCGGGTGGGAAGGGGGGGATCACAGACAATATTTTATTCAATTATCGTTTGAATAAAAATATTGTTTTCTTGAAAGAAAGAAACCAATTAAAGTCAAACAAGACATAAGAGAAAAAAAGAAATGAAGAGCAAAACCATTCTTTTTTTGCATGACCAAACAAAAAAAAAAATGGAACAGAAGAAAAGAAAAACCTGAATCATCCAGGAAATGAAATAAAAACAATAAGGACAAAACTAGTGTGAGAAAACCCCCACCACAGAACAAAAACACTAAAATAAAAGAAATAAATCAAATGCACAAGAAAAAAAGGGGAGTATCAGGGTCTGGCCACAAAACAAAATAAAATAAAAAATGAAGGAGGCAACACGTGTCCCCGTTCAGACCCACAAAAACTCAAACTCCCACAATTCTCAAGCCGGTATTCCTGGCCATGTGGGAGTTCATCAGTCGAATGATTCCAAAGCTGATAAACAGTCTAACAGAAATAAATTAAATTAATCAGAAAATATCAAATCAACTCACACAAATAAAAAACTAAGAAAATCCCCCAAATCATAAAACTCATCATAAGGAGTGAAAAGCATGCATATTTTCACAGTTTCTTAGTCAGAATACTTTTAACACAGACGCTTCAGAATCATTACTTTGGTGGAGAAGAGGCGAGAGCATTTGGTAAAAATAATGACAAAAAATAATAGCACAAAGGTCACCATTATTTTCTCCTGAGAGACACAAGTAAAACCACAGCTTTCACCTTTCTGTCAGTTCACTTATTTTTTTCTTCAGCCAGTGTGAAGAAAAAACATCACCATTTTACAGCACAGCATGAAGACAGGAGGGAGCAGGGGGGCAGAGGAGGAGTCGAGGGGCTCGGGAGCCGTATGATCCTGCCTATCAGAGAGCATAGAGAAGGGGGGAGGGGGGCAGAGGGAGGGGTAGGGTGGGGCAAACGAATCCCCTTGGACACTCCATATGATGATGTTGGAAACCCGCGATAAATGACTGAATTGGAGTGTAAGGTTATATTAGAGAGAGAGGAGTCGGAGACAGAAAGAGAGAGCGAGAGAGAGAGAGAGGGAGGAGGATGCTGGGTAATCCCCAGAGTACTTACACTGCACCTGAAGGATCTGGTCACTTAGGTTGGCCTTGATATGGTTCTCACTATAAGTGGGCAGTACCAACCCTAGACTGAGGTAACCAGGCAGATGTAGAGAATCAGAGATGTTAAAACCAAACACACACCAGTTAATAAACACACATTAGCAGGAACATTGGATCTAGAGCAGGTACCTCACTGGGATGTCATAAGAAAAGTAAAACAAATGTAGCTTTTTTTTTAAAAAGTGGAATCATAATAATTTAGTACACAAAGTTTCCTAAATGGATCATGGTTGACACAGGGGCGGTAATAGACTAACATTAGAGGGGGGCGGCTGTTCTGTTAAAGAGGCACATTCATAAGAAAACATTAAATAATTAATATTTCAAAATTTTGTGAGATCTTAGAAATGGCAAAATAAAAAATGGCTTGTATTTAAGGTTCTAACCCCCCATGCCACTTTACAACACATATACTTGTTTATCCCCCCCGCACCACCACCGCCACCACACACAAGCTGGTGGTGGTGGTGAGCTACAATGTGGCCACAGCTACCCTGGGGCGCACTGACTGAAGCGAGGCTGCTGAGCACAGATGCCACGGTCCCTCCGACCACCACCAGCAGGCAAGGTGCTTTAAGTGTTTTGCCCAAGGACACAACAACGTCGACAAACTGAGCGGGACTCAATCTCTTTGATCTGCTTAAAAGTAACACGAGATGAAAAAGTAGGAAGCCAGGCAGCAGTTTTTCTAGAGGATTGAGAGGAAATGCAGGAAGATCAGACAGACAGGACAGGAAAATAGTCAAATAAAAAACAAGAAAACAAAACAAAGGGCTTAAAAAGGAAACTGTGGGTAGATTTATTTGTCCCATTACACCTTTTTGACTTTATGAAGTAAAAAATTCTAAGAATGGAATCATTATATACTTGATACAATTCAGGTCACCTCGACTCAGTCCCACACCCAGGGCCGTTTCAAGGCACTTTAGGGGCCAAGGCAAACTATACGAGGCCCCCTCCTGGCTTAATGGAGCTCCCCTGGAAGACTGTGTGTAATTCGTATCGTGCTGGCCAAACATTTATTACATGAATGCAATGAAATTATTTGGCGTTTGCTACTAAACTGATGTAATTTCTGTATTTTGACCAGTGACAGGTAACTAATCCAATAAAGCAATCAAAGCTTCAGGTTTTACTACATTATGATCCGGTATCTACCTGTAGTCTGTCCCCTCCACAGGTGTCCACGTGTACGTTCGAATGGATTCGTCGATGTATCTCTGTTGGCGACCACAAACAGACGAGATTAAGTAACTCTGCCACACACTGCTCAGAACATCAGGCTTCCCTTACGGACACAAAAGGCGGTAAACAGATCATGATTGGGTCACATGTATTGATGACTTGCCTCATCAACTGACTTAATGAGCGTCTTGATTTTGATTTGCCCCGGTTTGCCATCAATCATCTGTCGACGGATCTGGAAAGCAAGAGAGAGGCTGCTGTGTGAGAAGGCACACATTATACGTGAGGAGAAAAACTAAAAGTGGTAGAAATAAAATGTTCCATACTGTTTTCACTAAGCCTGAGTTTTTACCGTCTCCTTGTTGCTGTCCTCCAGTTCTGCATCCAAAAAGTCCAGAGTCACGGGCTCCCTGAAGTTAATGATCTGAACAGAGAGAGGAAGGAGGGGGAAGATAAACATTAATACCGTCCAAATGTAGCTTCAACATCTGAAGCAGGAAACTGATTAGATGCAGGGACATGCACAGGTGTGTGTGTGTGTGTGTGTGTCCTACCTTTGGTCTGAGGTTGGGATGCAGCAGCACGTAACCGTTTGGGTCAGTGGCAAATGTGTAGCCATTAGCTCCAAGCTAAACCGAATATAGGTCAAGAAATTTAAAAAATAAAACTCATGATCCAACAGATCCTGACAGAGCTACAGAAAGTACAACATGCTCACTCTGTACGTCGGCGTCTTCTTTTTGATCTCGTTGATTGCAACGTCGACACCCATAACTCCCAGGATGAGCTGGTTCTGTGAAAGAAAAGCATTTGCTAGTAATTCATCCCCAAATCCTGCAAATTGCTGCTAAGGATGCCTTCAACGTTCCTGACTGATCACTCTCCATTCAGCTGGGTCCAGAAGCTGCAGCACCTCTTCTTCTAAAAAAAAACGTGGGGCTAAATCCTGAGCTTCTGGACTCTGACACCTGGGTGCATCTGCTCTGTGGATGCCCCAGACTTGTTGTGATGCCTGCTGTCACCTGAGGAGGGAGGTGTTGCCTTGGAGAGCTGCAGCTCGCCGAATGGCGTTACAAATGATTGATGATGGGAGAGAGCAGGGAAACGACTGAAAATAAAATCTGAAACTACTCTGTTTGCTCGTGTGTCTTCACAGTTTCAGCCACTAAGAAACATTTTTGTACATAACAGTGAAACTGAGGCTGGTCATGTATGTTCCATTTTTACCTGAGAGCTTGCACTGTCTGCCGTGAGGTTGAAAACCGGCATCGTTCCAGTGATGACGAGACCCAAACCCTAAAAAACAAAGTCAGAAATTAATTTTGAATTTCACGCACAGGTGACGGATTCAGCCACCATTTAATCACAGACACGTTTAAAGCAAATTTTAAAAATAGAGAAAAATCTAAAAATGTCTGTCATATCCAATTAGAAGATGCCACATTTTAAATATTCTTACATAAAAATAATAGAATAAGACATTTTTGTATTAGTTTAATATTTATTTGTTATTAAGAGCAGCTTTCACTTATTTCTTGTGGAAAACTCGTAATTGCAAAAATAGAAAAGAAAAAGCAAATAAAATAAATAAATAAATAAAACAACCCAGATTTATCTATTGGTGATGACAATGTCTAGAAATTAGGGTCATGATGAAACAGATTCTTCAGGCAAACATCTAATTAAATAACTTGCACACTTGAAAATCAAACAGAAGAGTCTATTCGCTAATTAAAAACTTTACAGTGAGCTAAAGTGAGCTGTTTATTGCGGCTGCTCCTGTATCTTCACTTCAAAAAGTGGCAAATAGCCAGTTATTTTCATTTCCTCTAATGAAACAGGATAAAATAAAGCTTTGACAGTTTCTTTTCTTGGTTGCAAGAATTCAATCAAAGCCATTTGGCTGTGGTAAGGTGATCTTTCCATGTCGTTATTAAGATGGTCGCGTTTTATGGGTTTAGAATCACAACAAAGCCTGGAGTGATGGTGGGACACCTACCAATGCATCCTGATAGACATTCGTCCATTGCACTTGCTTCGCTCTAGGCCCGGCCAGCACCATGGGACGCCCCAGAACATCCAGGTACTCCTGCAGCAACATCACAAACAACAGTGCTGTGACCCACCCCCTCTCACTAAACACACAAACAGACATTTATAGTACTCCTGATGAAAGCCAGAGAGCTCGGAGCCTTCCGATGTTCATCTGTCATTAAACTACAAGACCCTGACCGGCCTCGTCTTTGCCACCACATAAAAGCAGCGGGCCACCGGCAGCAGTAGTGTCCCGGTCCTGCCGAGCCATAAAGCCTCCAGTCCAGAGCCACTCGAGGCCGTTTTTCATCATCATGAAGGAGCTATTAAAAACACATTAAGGGTGTCAGCGGCATGACGCGCAAACACGCCATTTCCCAGGAGCTCCACTGTCAACAACGGCACAGTGAAAATGTCCCACAGCGAATCTGAATAGAGGTGAGAGGTTAAGTCCACAGGTGATACATCACATCTGCTTTATTTGGCGTTTTAACACAAAAACATTTGTATTTATACAGTTTTGCAAACTATTGTCCTCATGACAAAAGTAAATAATGGTAAAATAGGAGAGAAAAAAGTTCTAATTCATTATAAATCAATACCTCTATAGGAAGATGATTTGGTTTAAAGGTGCAATATGTAAGAATGAAGCAAATACGACATCCTGCGGTCAGATTTGGTTACTGCAGCCCATTATTACGAATAAAACGTCACTATCTTTTTCCAGTTCCATGAGTTTTATGGTGGTTGCCAGTTACGGATTAGCGCCAGAAGACGATCACAAGCAAAAACAAGTAAGTAACAGTAATTTCATAAGTAGATAAATACATTGGGTTTCTCCTGTTCACTGGCTTCGGTTCTTTAAACAGCTCTGGAGCTTTTTGCCTGTTGGTGTCAAATTACAAATGCTGGCACCCCAAAGTTAGCTTGCAGATTGTAAACAGTAATTACGTCCCTCTTTAGTTTATTTTTTAAGAAGAAAACCTGAGAACCCCCTGCCGGCTGAAAAGGAACTCTGTTTCCAAGTGGCCTTTCTTCCAACATGATTGAGAAATTAGACAGTTTTGTTATTGTTTCACTGTGGAATTCTTACTAATTGCTCCTTTAAGTATCATAGCAAAACAGGACTGTAGAACAAATTTCCAACCAGGCAAGTTATCACAAATGTCTAACTCTTGACTCAGCCCTATAAAAAAAAACACAAAAATCTGCTCAGGATAAGCTATTACAATAAAATACTTTTAACCACTTGATTTAAAAAATATATTGAATGAACAGTGAGGTGCTGACAGGCGTAACCTATTCTATTATTAGCTCAATAAAAGTCCAGTTTAATGCGCCACAGGGAGATATTCCATCAGGACAGCAACAGCCAGACCTTTTCACGGGATATAGAGGAAATGTTACGCCTGGCTTGAACAATCGAGGTGGCAGAACAAGTCAGCAACCAGAGACACGTGGCACACAGGAAGCACATACAGATTCCAGCAGCATCAGCGCATCTTTTGATTAAACACCCTTTTTTCCCTGCGTATCATAGCAACCGTGATTGCTGGAAGTAAATGCGTATATGTGGTTACTCTATTGACAAACATCCAAACTGATGCACGGGTAGGTAATGGTGTTTCTGAAATGCCACCATGGTCCAACATAAATGCGTCTCAGGACAGTATTTCTACCATTGCACCATCTGCAGCCCATCTGCTGTTTGAACATTGCTGGTCTTATTCGAGCGAGTCTATATGATGATTTTCTGACCGTGAAAGGCAAAATGTGGTTATTGATCAAAGGGCCTATGTGTTTCTTCACCCACCTTCAGAAAAACCTATCAGAGTAATCGGCAGTTCTCAGAAAACAAATATGCCAGAGGTAATGGAACAGCTGACAGTCTATTCTGGGGTAGGATGGTTGGTTAGTTGGATGGATGGATGGATGGATGGGTTGGCAGAGAAAAAACAGGGTAGGAGAATTGTGCAGCAGCTCCACCACAACCAAAGCTGGTTTCTACAGCTGGAATTAAGTTCCCCCAAGGGTCTCTTAAAACAGGAAATGTGGCTTTAGTGTTGGGGCAAAGAGGGTTAAGCTGAAGGTGTGTATGTGCACATGTGAAAGTAATATCTGTACATCTAAATTTCGTTCCTACTCAGAGTTTCGGACCGGATTAAAGTCCTTCAGAGTGAAGATGGAGGGAGCTTTTTGGAGTTGAAAAGTTTGCATAGAAAGCGGTCTGACTCACTGGATGTCGACCCCTTGTGCAAGCCTGCCAGTGGACATTTCTCACTGAGGATTCTTGCCTCTAACTCCTTGTGCTGTCTCTGTCATGCTGTTTCCAAAATGTATGCTGCACATAAACAGCTTTGAGAGCCCAAACACAAAAATAAAGATTAAAGTTTTTGACAAAGAATTGAATTGCGAGATGGGTTTTGCTGCGTTATCTAAATATATTTATGCAGGTATTCTTTTAATCATTGTATTCATACATTTTAATGCTTTTAAGCATCATAGATGAGAAAACTGTCAACATCCGCTTGCAAAAAGTGCATTTATTTTAGGAAAATGTCAGAATTTATAGGGCTTACATACTTTAAATCTTTAAGATGTAAATCTTTAGTGCAGAAAGCCTAAAGGGATTTTTGCGTTTTCTATGTAAAATTCATACAGAAATAATATCTTGCTGGTTACTGCCAGGGCCAAAAGTCTTGGGAAGAACACAAACATGAATCGTTAACTGCCTCACTGTTATTCAACCTCATTAGGATGTCTGTCTCAAAACTTTTGGCCGCAATGGTATTAAAACTTGCTATATGGCCTCTGTTGGGAAAAATAGTGTTAACAACCAACAAGACTGATAAGCTAATGGTTAGCCTAATGCAGTTAAATACCAAAGTCTGTTGCTGAGGCCAAAATTTCAAAGCAGCTTATGTAACAAGGCTTTATAAACGTTAAAGTGGCATACACTGATTACTGACTACATATTCCGATTGGCTAACAGCAATGCAACTCTGTTATGTTTGCGCTTTTTTTCTTGGGTACAAAAAAATGCAGCGTTGATGTGTTATCTCCACATGCAGTGGAGGTGCTATTGCTAAAGGTTAGCTCCTACTGGTTTCCTATTGGCGAGCCAAGATGGGGAAGTCAGTGAATGCAGTTTTACAGTTTGACGTGGATGTCTGCGGCTTTTCTTGATCCGAGCATTTCTGTCTATTTGTATTGGCACTTTATCATTATTACACTAATTACAGAGTAAACATCACCAGAATCAAATTACGGTACTTTCAGTGCATCCAGGGGTCAAGACCAGGAGGAATTTCCTCACGCTTGCAGAAAAATATGTGTAATGGGAAACTGGCAGAGGTGTTAGCACATCAAATTTAGCAACTTTTAAGATCTTGGCTTTTAATGTCTTGGCTGTTTTTCAACTAGCCATTAGCTTATCAGTCTTGTAGACTAAAGACTGATTCAGAATGATAATACAATTTTTATGACCAGCCCCGCCCTTTACGATAATCATAACGTGGCGCTTGACTACCGTAACGGCTCTAAAGCAATCTTATCAGATAATCCTACCGTGTGTGACGGTGCTCTGGTCTAAATCTGAGCTTTGAAACATGTTGAATTGACTTAGTGGATTTCTGGGGACATTTTAGGGGATGATAGTGAGTGTTAGGTACTAGTTGCAGAGTAGAAAATTGGATGAGTATTTTAAAAACCTGTCGCGTGAACTGGGCTTAAATCTCTTTGGGGTGTTCAGGAATCTGTCTACAACAAGTAATATAGTAATTATCTATAACTTTCACACAGCGATGCACTTCAAATGGCTGAAAGACTTACAATGTGAGTCAGTTTTCAGATAACTGATTGGATTGAAATGATTAAATTATTACATAACTGTGCTGATGCATCAGCTCTTACTCCACCCATGAAGCTTTTCCTTGAATACGTGTCACGGCAAAACAGTCAAGCTCAGAGAACACAGTGTGCTTCATGTAAAGTACATCAGCTGAGTCATCACAAAGGTACTGCAAAGATTCTGTTGCAAGTAATTAAAAATAACGAAACTCCTCTGTAAGCCCTGTTTTATTATGCAACAGACGGACTGAGCTTTACCAACTAAAAGTGTGATTTCTTTTGTCTTGGGTGTTTTTATCTAACTCTGGAGCCAGTTTGATTCACATACTTACTTCCCTTCCATTCAGACACCAACTAAACATATTCACACACCTTCAACACCTCTTGGTGTGCACACAAATTAACAGAGCAGACTAACACTTACTTAATGTGGTTCACATTGCTAGTCAATGCCAGGAATTACAGGTTTATAAGCCTTAACAAGGCAAACATGTAGACTTTTTAGACTGTATCTTACCTGAGTGTTGATTCGGATCGCCCCAATCGATGGGATTTCAAAGTAGTAACCTGAAAAGGACAAAACACAAATCAACGCATGTGCGTACTTCATTTAGCATGCTACATTTGCAAAAGCATGCCATTAGCAGAGTGCAGTCTCATTTCTTTATGTTATTATTAGATGCAAGTGAAACCATCAAGTCCAGTTGATGGTGTTTGGGACACACACACGCATGCACGCATGCATTGCAGGGCTTGTGGTAACTGACCCTCCTTGGCTAACGCGCTGCAGGATGTAAATGTGGCCGCTCATTGAGAATGCAGAGCCCCCCAGCACTGTGGCTGATTAGGAAGGGGAGAGATTGACCGCCTGGGTCAATAACAAGGCTGCTCAACAAGTTAATAAAGCCACGAGTGTTTATACACAGAGTTGAAAGGGAGGCAGCAGCCCCAGAATGCTAATAAGCAAAGGCAACTTTCATCATTTTGATACATTATGCGCTTTTTCCACAGTGGCTGGTGTTGAAATTTCCTTTCTCATTCTCAATTCATTAGCAAATGAGAACATGCAGACACCGAGTGCTCGTGCACATTCGTTTTTGCACAATGAGTTTATAATTCACTCATGCACACACCCAGCAGAACACAATGCAGTGATTGGTCTCAGGGCTTTGTCTGCAGGCCAGTGAAGTGGAATACAAACAGGAGAGTGGTTATACAGCAAAACACTACAAGAGGTGGAGAGGAAAATCTGGATAAGAACCATTAAACAAGACTGGAGTGGAACTATTGTCTGCTCTCTGCAGTTTAACATCAGGGGTTTGAAATATGGGGGAAATAGGAAGAAAATCTGCACTACTTTTTTTAAAAACAGGATGTGCAACACGGAAAAAGAAAAATCAAAATGCTTTCATAGATAAATCCATCAGTTCTAAAGGAACTGTGTAAGAATCTTGGTAAACTAACTACACATATTTTGTGGATGTCTCTCTGTTTTCTTGATGTAATTCCAGACACACAGGATGATGCTGTGATCAGGGCTCCATGTGGTCCAAGCCATCCCTTCCAGGACTTCCTGTTCTTTGTTAGGCTAATTTCAGTACTTATTGACATTGGTTACACATTTGAGATCATTGCACTGCAGCAGAATAAATTTGGGACCAACTAGATGCCTTCCTGGTGCTATTGGATGAAGGATACGTATCTGCTCACGTTTCTTAGCATCGTAGGCCCCATTGATTCAAACCAAATCTCCAACTCTGTTTTCAGAAATGCAATTTAATTCTCATAGGGAACCTCAAACATGCTCCAGCAGATACACCTTAAGTTACAGTACCTTAAATTTTTATACATCGTGCCTTGTTGCTTATGCTCAGTCTTGTCCATTTTCCTCAACACAATTTTGTCACAATTCATTTTTCAGTGCTATAACCAAGATATCACTGCCGTCAAGCAGAATTCTTGTTTCTCCACAAACTGACGTGCATTTTAAGAAACTAACGATAGTCAGCACACATTTAAAAGAACTGGTAAATTTGCACCTGAAAATAATCCTATTAAATCCCAGATTTAGAGAAAATCATCATAAAGGTTTTCTTTAATCTTTTTTTTTTTTGTTATTTAACTTTGCATTTTGTGAATTGATAATAAACCATTTGAGCAGGAGGATTTATTAATATATTAATAACATTGTCCTCATTGGACATCAGCTTTTCTCTTGTGTCTTATATACAGTAATTAAATGATTCAAGACATCAAAGTTATGATGATTTATCTTTTTAGTACACGGAACATTATAAGCACCAGTAAAATGATACAAATCAACAAAACAATATGTAAAAATTTCATTTGGGCTAAAGGTCAGATTTTAATTTCTTTTTTAAAGACCAACGTTTAAAAATGTGTAATTAAAAACTGTACTGAAACAACCCATTTCCACTGTTGAAACTTTAGGGTAAATTTACCGGAACTTCCCAGCATGCGCGTGTCTCCACTTCCCCGCCCTCGCCTGCTCGACTAAATGCACCTTGGGCAAGGCTGCTGTTGTATTGGCCTTTTGTCTCATTTTGCCATGGGCTGACGAGGGTTTGACTCTCTGTGTCGGCAGTAATTTATTTTAGTCAGCTGAAGCAGATTTAATTTATTTATACTTTAGTTGTATTCTTTTCTGCAAAACATTTTGTGCCTCTAAAGCTCTTTTAATTTGGTCCTTTCCAAGCAGCATTTGAGTTGATTTACTCAGCTCACCTCACATGGACTCACACTGGTTAAATAAACAAAGAAGGTTATAAAACATATTAGTCCTTATGATTTAAACAGTTTACCAATAAAGGGTTGAAAACATCATACTGGCAACTGTAGCTAAAGAAGAAGAAAAATAGTTACTGTCGTGACCGGGAGGAAAACCTCTGCAGAATTACATCCCAACCTAACCACTGGACTACCAAGTCTGTTACAAAATGATAGTTGCCTAACACACATATCCTGAGCTGCTTATTACCTGCATCTTTGTACATGGGACACATGGTTTTTACGGTGGTGTTTCGTCCCCAATGTAGAAGTAATTTATTAGAATATCCACATAATATCCAAGTTTCAGAACTGACACCAGATCAGATTCAGGGGGAGGAGAAATGACTGGTGATGCAAGTGGGCTACTTTCTCCTGGATGCGGGAAAAATCTTTACATCGACCAAATTACAGTAGAGCCAGGAAAAGGCATGAATGCAGCCAAAAACTGGTTTGGAGGTATTTCTTAGGAAATGACAATATGACATGGTAAAAAGCTCCAAAAAAAATAATAATAAAGATTTTATGACTTGGCCCCTTTAAATTCTAGGACTGCTTTAAGTTAGCCTTTGTGACTGTTGCTTTTTCCTTCATTTTCTCCATTCTTTCAGGAAAACCTTTTTGCAACTGATTTTTTTATTTTACCATACCATACCAAGTTTATTTGTATGGCACATTTAAACACGACATGAGAACCAACCAAAGTGCTGAACAAAAACACATAATAATAAAAACAATTAAACATAATAAAACTAAATCCATTAAAATCGAATGACTCAGATACAAAAGAAAAGGAACAAGAGAATAAATTAGGCTGAATTAAAAGCCAGAGAGTAAAAGTGAGTTTTTAAACGAGACTTAAAATGGGAAAGAGAGGAAGAGAGTCTGATCGGGAGGGGAAAGTGGTTCCAGAGCTTCGGTGCACAAACTGAAAAAGCTCGCTCCCCGCGGGACTTACAGCGGGAGCTAGGGACATGAAGAAAGTGCTGGTTGGCTGATCGCAGGGATCGCATAGGGACCAAGGGTGAATGAGCTCAGACAAGTAGCCAGGTGCTAAGTTATTGAGGGATTTGAACACAAAAACCAGGGGTCTCATTTATCAAACATTGCGTAGAATCCTTACTAAAACTGTATTTAAGCTCAGCAAAAAAAAAGTACTTATATCAAGTAGGTTTGTGATCTATTAAACATGGAGTACGCACAGCTGCATGCAATCTCTGCTTCATAAATCAGAAACTATCTAGAAAGGTTCTCTGCTGCTTTTTCATCACATCCCGCCCTCACCACACCCACTTACTGCCATAAATAGTCAATGCAAAGTGCCTTGTGGATCTCATGCATATACATAAGCCGGGTGTTGCAGCGCTCTGCCAATGACATGGTGACCGTAGATCAAGGCAGATCAAGGAAGCACAATTTCACAGACGCAGAGGTTGAGGTACTTGTGGGTGAGGTGGAGAAATGAAAGGAAGTGCTTTTGCAAAACAAATAAGAGAAAATCCATGGAGTGACAGTGTTGCTGAAGCCATCAATGTTGTGAATTCTTCAGAGAGTTCTGTGGCGGATATTAAAAAATGGTCCAATCGAGATTCAATCCCCAGACTCCCAGGTGAAAGTCACACATGCTAACCAGTCACCCAAACGGCAATCTCCCTTGTCCAAGTAGCCAGGGTGCATGATCAATCAGGTCACAGTGACAGGACACACACTGTCACAGATGCATGACATTCTGTCTCAATCTGTCCCCCTGCTGATATTCTGCATTCCGTATTCTGCGCTTCAGACTGTGTGTGTGTGCTCGTGCGCATGTGTGTGCATGCACATGTGTGTGTGCGTGTGGGGGGTTTTGTTCTGTGTGAAAACTAAGCAGTACTAGTGACAATGCTGCAGGATGTTATAATTTTATCCCTCTCAGCAGCAGCACTGCAGGTGCTCTCCATGTCAAAAATGTGCGTAAGCCAGGTCCTTAGTCAACTTAAAGTTGCGCACATTTTCCCGCTAAGTTTTCTTTCATGAATCCCAAAGTTTGCGTGGAAAGTTGCTTATGCAGTTTTTCGACCCCGTTTTGTGCGTAAGCAAGCTTGATAAATGAGGCTCCCGGGTCTTAAACTCTATCCGGAGATAGATGGGAAGCCAATGGAGATTGGCTAAAACCAGTGTGATGTGTTCTCGCTGCCTGGTGCCAGTCAGGAATAGAGCTGTTGCATTCTGCGCTAGCTGAAGTTGGGAGAGAGTGGAAGTGGAGATACCATATAGAAGTGAATTATGCCCCCTTCAGACAGGCCATGAAAAACGAAAATGTTCCGGACTCTGTCTGTAAGACCTTTGTGTCTGAATACAAACATCCGGATAACGTTTTCCGGAATTTAACTGGACGAAGCCCGTAGTAACAGGTCCGGACTTGTTACGGACAGGGTGGCTGCTTCAGACTGGTGAGGTAGAGTTCCGGACAAGGGGGAGGGGGAGGAGGAGGGGACCGGGGGACGCTGTGCACACCTAGATAGCCCGCTGCTGTAGCATGCGGCGAACCACAGCAGCTCGCCTCCTACGGTACCGCCTAGACGCGCGACGGAGCGCTTCACACCGCTTCAGTGATTCCTTTAACCATTGAGCTTCATCATTCAGGTCTCTTATGCGTCTTCGTGAGCGCAGAATTATGCTTAAGCGCCTCGTGATTTTTATCTTGAGAGGCGCTATAGAAATGATATTTTCTTCTTCTTCTTAACATAAGTCCGATTTCCCCCCCACCCCCCACCCCCGCCGCCGTCAGACATCTGGAACTTTTCCCTGCTGTGTGAACGCAGCCGAAAGGACAAGTTCCGGTACAAAAGTGGTGTGTCTGAAAACACAGTTCCGGTTAAAAACCGGATTGAATTGTCCACAAATGTTCCAGAATGTCTATGTCCGGAACATCTACCGAAGACAAATTCCTTGTAAATGTAATTTTACTTGGCCAATAAATCTGAAATCTGAATCTGAATCTGAAAAGGGCTTTGGAGTAGTCGAGACAGGAGGTAATGAAGGCATGGACAACTGAATGGAGATGACACCTTTTTAAAATGGACTTAACTTTAGAGAGACACCTCAGGTGATAAAAACAGGCCTTAACTACCTGGTTGACATGAATATCCATTTTTAGATTAGCATCCATCACGACCCGTAAGTTTGCGACATGGGTTTTCAACCCACTTAAAATAAAAGGAAGGGTCAGTTGGGGACTTGGAGAAGTCTTGGGGCTGAAAATGATAGCCTCTGTTTGTATGAGAACTTGAGAAATAAGTGGTCCTATTGTCCTCAGAGTCCCACGAAGGTTACTGCCATCATAGAGCAAGATTACAGCTCAACTGAGACAACAGCTAGCATCTCTAAGAGGCCTTTTTAACATTTTCAGCCAAATGTGGGTTCCTGTCAGGTGTGTGTGTGTGTGTGCGACGGGTAAAGGGTTGAGACCTGGAAGAGTCACCAAGCCTGTTTTGCTGGAGCAAGATACCAAAGAGTAATACGTGGTGAAGACATGAGAAGACAGCTCCACTGGGGCTGGCGTGTCAACACTATTGTGTTAATGTTGGCGTGGACTTCACTACCACGGTAATCACTGTGGTCCCTAACAGCAGAGAGCAAGTTGGCTCAGAGGCTTAATCCTGGTCTTTCCACTGTCTGTCAGAGAGATGGCATGGTAATCATCCTTCTACCAGACTCCACACAGTTAATTAATAACAACTTCAGGGGAGATACTTCTGCAACACTTGGCTCCACTGGAAACAAGCTAATCAGCAGACAACCACAGCTCCCATAAGGGACCAGCTTCAGAGAAACAACACTGAATGAAAACAACTAAGTAAACAAGGCTGGTTATGGATTAAAATCATAACTCAGAACTGGATATTAGAGTTAGAGAGGACTTAAAGGAGTTCAGCTGAGATGAGATACATGCAGACAATGTAGCTAACAGGAAGAAGAGCTGAGTCAACCAGTCTGTTAGACTGTTAGTCAGAGGCCGAGCTGCCAGTCTGTCGGGTTGTTTTAGAGCCACGGCTGCTCAGAGCGACCCAACAGATTTCAGCACCACATGAAGCCTCACAGGAAGTTAGACTGCTAGCTCAAATAACTACAGTAATCAGAGAGATTTAATGTTACTCGCTGGTTTTTCATTCTAACCGTGTTAGACCAATCCCTGCACTCTATCGGTGGTGGTGGAGGGGTGTTACCGTGAGTAAGCGAAACAGCAAAGATGGCAACAGCTCATTTGAAACAACTTTGGCATAAACTTTGGACTTTTTAGACTTGGGCTTTTCTTTGAGTCAAGTGCAGATAGAGGTACTTAAACCCCGCATTTAGAAAAATGATGTATTCTTCTTTGACAGTGTATGGTGAACTACCCGTTGACTGACTAGTGGCGAGTACATTATGTTGTTTGTTGTCCAATAGCTTGCTGAGACAGTTTAAAAGGCAACTGTAGATTTTGCCCATCGACTGAGCTCTGTTTATGGGTCGTGGTCAGGCACTCTGTTATAGGATGGCTTGCCAGGCTAAGTGTTATACCTAACTGCTAATGAAATAAATATATCTACCTCTGTAATGGTAAATGACCTGTATTCTAGAACACCCCCCCCCCCCAGTGCTTTACAACACAATCAGTCATTCACCCGTGAAATATTGTAAAAATGCAAATCTAGTCAGTTTTCTCACATTGTATTGCTTTGGACAATACATTTTAACAGTTGGACAATACATTTTAACAGTTGGACAATACATTTTAACAGAAAATACAAACGGGGTATAATCACTGTGCAGCTGACATCATTGTACTCTACTTGATAAAATCAGTACAACTGCAGTTTTTATAGAAACAATTTTCAATATGAGAATGAGACTATGCCTACCTTTATTAGCACATGCAATCCACTGCAAGGGGGTGACATCGTAGTTGTGCTGGCCGACAGAGAAGGTGAAAACTCGGACCTGAAAAGCAGCAGAAAAAAAATTAATCACTGGAAACAACATTTCCCTTTTGATCGAATAATTTCATCTTGGTACAACACTGTCTAATAAACTGGACTAAATTTAACCTCATGATTTAAAATCAGATTGTATTGGATTGCACCATCTTATTTGAATTGAACTGTATGAAAACAAATAGGAATGAATAGGACTGCACGTTGTTGACCAATTAAAATTAAACACATTTTGAGGAACTGGACTGAATTGGACTGCAGGTAATCGTCAGTGCAACTACTGGACTGAAGTGTTAAATTGAATTGAAATGCATATTCATTCATTCATTCATCTCTAACCTTTAAACAGGGAACAATAAGATCACAAAACTCATATATTTCAGATATGCTGATCTTAAAATTCTTTAAAATCTCTCTAAAAGTTTCTAGAGATAAAGACATTGCTTCATAAATTAGGACGTACCAATGGGTTAGTGGACAGGGGACACCAGCCGACCTTTTCACATAGACACGAGTGAGATCTTTGAGGCTTGTTCTAGGTCTATGTTAGACCTAGAACAAGCCTCAAAGATCTCACTCGACCCTTTTTAGATAGATATGATAAATGACCAGCACTTGTATAGCACCTTTAAGAGTCAGAGGACTCCAAAGCGCTTTACACTACAGTGTATCATTCATCCATTCACACACATATTCACACACACACTGGTAGGGATGAGCTATGATGTAGCAACAGCTGCCCTGGGGCGCACTGACAGAGGCAACATGAGCATAAACTGAGAAGAAGCATTCCTACTTTTAGAGGTAAGTGCCCTGAGACGACTGGCATTGTGACTTAGGGATATAAATAAACCGAGCCGAGCTGAAGTGAATCATTATCGACAAACTTGTGAAGGAGGAAGCACGGTGAAAGTGACAACAGGACAAACAAAGACACAACGTATCAGATTACTGACTGCACAAGAACAGGCTCTGATGATGAAGTGGCTAATTAATCAGCAGGTCAGAGCTGTTAACACCAGCAGCTCAACAACAAAAGAGACTAAAGCAAAAACAAGAACACCCAAAGAAAGGAAAAGACAGACTGAAGAACTGGATCAGAAATATAAAAAGACGGGAATAAAAACTTGGACAAGATGCAAAGAGCACAGATTGGAGTGTTTGGCGTGTCTGAAAATCTAACCAACTCAACCGGCTGTGCAATAATAAGAGAAGGTCTGCAGAAAACGTGGACGATCTCCTGAGCTGGAGGGAAAGCAGACGTGAAGATACACTCACTGTTTTGTTGGGCCAGTTGTACTTCTCAAAGATTTCCTGTGCACGATCTTCCCCGCCATCTGTAAACATCATTATCATCTTATTGCAGTTGGCCCTCGGTGCACTGGTCTCCTGTGGCGAACAAAAGTATGACAGCAGAGACAAAAGAAGCACCGGTTACAGAAAATACAAGAACACAAGTTGAGGCAAGGTTTCCATCCCCATATTAGCTCTTAGCATTTGTCCTTCAGTGCTGTTTTATTTCCACCCCACCATGTTGCAGCACATCCTTCTAATCCCAATTTTTCTGTCAATTTTAGAATTTCGTCCACATTTATAGATCTATTTAGACAGGCTTCCACACACTGGCACAAATCTAGCATTGACTCTTAAATATTGGCTTTATCTCGCCATTAAATTTGCCATCCCCGTTCCATCCACCACGACAGCTGCTGCTGACACGCAGGCCAGCAGCATGCCAATGTGACAAGATTCTAATAAAGATAAATAATATTGCCACGATTACAGATTGTTTATTGTGCTTCTGCCACCAATCACTCAGCGACTCTGTGACAGACACCGATTAAAGGGGCCTTTTATTTGCCGTTCCTCCAACAGAAAGCGAGAGAACTTGGCTCTATGCCTCCAAGCCCACCAGAGGAATATAAAGTGTCTGTGGCTGATCTCCTCTGGGCTACGCTCATCAATCATTCCATCAGAGCCCATTAGGGTGGCGGCCTCGTAAAATACGCAGCAGCATACGGAGCTGAGGCAGCACCTGTGCCGAGAGCACGTGGACGGCTGCCGCCAAAGCTGGAGTTGCTCTCACAACAGCAGTTATAATCAGATTTAGCATCAAAAATGACAGCGTGCTGGAAATGTCTTATGCAAACCTGAGCCACTCACTGTCAGCCTCATGTTATCACCAATAAATTCAGTTAGATTAATGGGATTAGACAGAGGCATTGGCACTGAAAAAACAAAATAATCTAGTGCCGTGGTAATCCAGATCTGCATTTTAACCCAGTCTCATCCCAGCCTCGGTTTTTTGAACAAGACCAGTTGAAACCATTGCTAATAGGTCCATGTCTTACTGGTAATAGTGGAAAATGACCTTTTTAAAAACACCTACTAACTTCAAATCATTGGTAATGTAACAATTTCCCCAAGCTGCTCATTCCAGTCTGACTCTGAAATGAAAGCTTTACCTTGTCAGGTCATTTCAGTTTTGATAATATTAACTTTTTAGTAACAATTTACAGTAAGAGTTCCTTTATTAATGTTACTTAGTGCATTATTAAGCATTGATAAACAAAGAATCCCTTTATCCCTCCATCACACATCAGTGACCTGATTGTTCCATATGTTCCTAACTCAGCACTTCACTCTCAGACTGCAGGTTTACTGGTGGTTCCCAGAATATCTAAAAATAAGATGGGAGGCAGATCTTTTAGCTATCAGGCTCCTCTCCTGTGGAACCAGCTCCCAGCTGCCCGGTCCGTGAGGCAGACACCTTGTCTACTTTTAAGAATAGGCTTAAAACATTTTATTTGATAGGGCCTATGGTTAAAATCTGATGTTAGCCTAAATCTGGACAAGTGGGGGAGTAGAGGGAGGTAGAGTGTACAGTCGGTAAAGACAGCTCTCCCAGGCCCTAGCTCCATCTAAAAAAGGCTAGGTTATCCAGAGTTATCTCTGTAGTTATGCTGCTATAGGCTTAGACTGCTGGAGGACACACTGACCACTTTCCACAATCGACCACTTTCTTCTACAATTTACTCTTTAACTGTATTATTTCCAGCTATTTCAGCTGTTAACTTTATTTTTTCTCTTGGTGTTTATCCCCCCAGAAGAAGCTACAATGATGTTCTGCTGAGCTGTGGTGGCCTCATGGAGGGGGTCATTGGCTTGAACACTGTTCCTAACCATTTAATCATTCTCCCTCTCCTGATAATAACATTTTGCTTTCTTTCACATTGAATGTGCTACTACTAGTTTACCCATTTAATTATAGATTCACTAAATACAATGAAGTGTATCTCTCACCAAATAGAATATTTACTAAGGAATCATAATGTAACCATTGAAACATTACTTGGTATATATGTTGTGTGTGCATGTGTGTATGTGTGTTTGTGTGTGGGTGGGCTGGTGTTGGTGTCTGCGTGTGTCTGCTCTGTCTTCTTGATCCCTAGTGAGTCGTGGCGGATGGCTGCGTATAGAGCTCCGGATGTCACATGACTCTCAGAGAGTAGACGCCATGTTGGCTGGCAACAAAGGTAAACAAAATGAATGGGATTGGCTTGGAGTTTACTCCGCCAGTTTACTTCACACTTTAAAACCAAATAAATCGTTTTATATAGTCAGAAATTAAATAGACTAAATATCTCTGACTCTTACCATGCCCCTGGGATACTTTTTAAAAACGCCAGAAGCTGTCGGAGCGGACCTGGCCAGGGAATGCCTTGGGATTTCCCCGGAGGAACTGGCCCAAGCGGCTGGGGAGAGGGAAGTCTGGACCTCTCGACTTAGGCTACTGTCCCCGCGACCCAGTAGCGGTTTTAGGCACGGGCAGGTAGGGCAGTTGCCCGGGGCAGCATTTTTTCATGACACAAAAGGGGCGCACAAGTGCTGAGTAAAAAATTAAAAAAAAAGAAAGAAATCTGCGCCACACCGAGGTTTTCTATTATCTGTCATATCACAGTGTCTGGATTGGAAACAGCAAGTTGGCGTCCCCTGCAGCTGCAGGCGCTCCTGCTGACTGAGAACGTTCACGTGCACCGTGCGTGTATGAAGAAGAGGCAGTGCGGCGGGGAAATTCACCTCTGGGTCTTTTCCAAATGAAATGAGCGGGTAGGGGCTGAATCAACTGTAACATGGCTAAAGTCAATCACTTCTTGATGTTCTTCTATTTAAAGCACATTTCATTTCTAATATCATAAACACAGGCCTATCATTCTTTCAGGTTTTTCTGAATTGTGTGAAATGTCCGAATAAAAAAAGGAAAAACAAAACGATTTTGTGGTCACGCACCCATCAAGGTCAAATTGTTTAGTCCTGACTAAAGGAAACTTATTGAGTCAAGAGCCAAACAGAAGAGATGAACATAAAAAGGCTAAAACCACCAGGTGCCCGATTCAGGAAAAAAAAAAAAGAAAAAAAGAGGAGAAAGATAAAGGTATGTTCGCTCTCATGATGCATGTTTTCAATTTTTTGAACCAGTTAACTGGGATTTTAACGGTTAAATTCGGTCAACTAATTGCTTACAGAGCTAATAGGGCTGAAATATTGAAATGAATATTCAAATGGTTTGAAAAAATTCCTTGAATCGTTTTTTACTGATTCAAACTAGGATTTGTTAAATGCTCGCTGCAGCCGTTGGCCTGCCTGAACAACAACAAACACATGTTGATCATGTTCACATAATAATAAATAAAACAACTCTACAAGCAGAAGAAAACTCCCCAGTCACCACTAACTATCCTGTTTATTTATTGCAGATGGCTGCACTGATTATTTTTTACATGATTTGTTCTGTAAAAGTTGGCATTTTTGGTAGTCTACAGTTTTTTTTTATGTCAGTTTAAATTACAATTTCAGAGGCAATTCTAAAATATTATGGATCATGAGATCTATTGGAGATCTACCCCAACTTTTGGACTGCTCTGCCAGTCACTGTGGCTCAAGCTGAGAGCAGCTTTTCAAAACTTGATCAAGTCATACCTGAGGTCAACTATGTTTCAGGGGCGGCTCTTTAACCTGGCTCTGATTAGTATCAATCACTCAGTAGGGGAGCAGATTTCATATGATGACATTATTGATGACTTTGCATCAAGGTTAGGTTTTAATTTTAGTTTGTGTTTTCTGTTCTAAGTGCAATGCTGTAGTGATTATCTTTAGTTTGTTATGTGTGAAATATTTTTGCTATTTAGAATATTTAATATATATTATGTTCATATATTCTTAATATTTAGTTAGTTTAGTTGTTTTTGTATATTTGATTCTATATATTTTGATACAGTATATAATGTATATTGCTTTACCTTCTGACAACTTCATAGTAATTAATAATAATAATAATAATAATAATAATAATAATAATAATGCATTGAACTTATATAGCGCTTTTCTAGACACTCAGAGACGCTTCCCACACACTCTCACATTCACACACTGCTAGTGATGGTAAGCTACTTGTAGCCACAGCCTCCCTGGGGAGGTCTGACAGAGGCGAGGCTGCCATTTGGCGCCGTCGGCCCCTCTGACCACCACTAACACAGGCAAGTTGGGTGAAGTGTCTTGCCCAAGGACACAACAGCAGGATACCCCTGGCAGGAGCTGGAATCGAACCCATGACCCTCCGATCATGAGACAACCCGCTCTACCACCTGAGCTACTGCTGCCCAAATCAGATATGTGCAACTTAGAAAAATGAATGTTCAATAGTCGTTCTAATAAAACATGCCTGTTTGTAGAAAACATGCGTGTGTTCTTGCAGGTGCGGGGGCTGGTGGTGGTGGTGGTGGTGGTGGGGGGTGGGGGCGCTCAAATGGGGCCTCGCCCGGGGAGTAATTCCATGTAGAACCGCCACTGCCGCGACCCGACTCCGGATAAGCGGATGAAAATGGATGGATGACAAATAACATAGATTTACATGTAGTTTAAATAGAGTGCTGTGCTGTTTAAATGTATAAACTGAACGCCAAGAGAAATCACTAGTTAGATTTTTTTCCGTGAATAAAATAAATATGTCAGGCAGGAGCGTCTCAGGATCTGTCTGAGATCTGTCTCGGTGAGACAGATAATAACAATCCAAAGTGCTTATCATGTGTGATCTGACAATTGATCAACCATTGCTTAAAAATGAAATACAGCTTAGCCGGTTAAATGCTGTGATCATAAAATACGGAAACGGCAGCACCCAGTAATCACAAGGCAACGTTTTACGTGATGTTTACTTGTTACTATGAGTAATAAGACAGAAAAAGCCACGCCAAAATAAGTTAAGGAAGCCCACTAAGAATCATAATAAAAGCATTTAACATAAATACCAGATACAGTTGAGGAAATGTTTAAGTACCTGATATGAAGTGGTCGCTGCATAAGCGAAAACCTTTACTCTCGGCATCCCACAGTTTCATTTTAGCCCGGTCACTAGCGCGTTTTATTACAATGATCCAACGTTTGTGGTGTTCCGGATCTTGGGGAATCCTGTAAAAGGCTCTTCCCTTATCTTGTCCGTGTCTGTTCTTGCATCCTGGGGCACAACAGGAATCTACCATATTTCCCGTTTGATTGAGTTTTCTGACAATAACAAATAGCCTAGCTGCGGGTGTCAAGCTCCAAACTAGTTTCACTCTAAAGGGTCACTTTGGGACAACTCCTTCACATTCCAACAATTTTTATTATGTCAGTTCAGTGAACATTAGGTTGATAACCTTCAAAGAACAGAGATAAGTGTTAGATTACACATAATTTATATAAAATACAATAAACAAAGAACTTCTAAACTAAATCTTCCCACACTAACAGTGTAAACAATTAAATTAAAGCATGACTTCAAAGGTCACCCAAAACAACTTCATATCATAAATAAAACAATAGTTACCAACCATTGGCGTCTTTAGAGTCAACTCATTGTTAGAGATTGCTGTGCTGTTCCTGTTTGACTGAGGACTGAGGGCCACCACCCTGCATAGGTGTTTTTATCACCAATCAGTCGCCATTTTGTTGGTGCATTCTGGGAGATGTAGTTCTCAGTGGTGGTGGACCAGTTAGACCTCCATTTACTCCAATTTAACCCAACAGTGGGCTTCTGCCTGCCAAGATGGCGCCGTTTCGATTTGAACTGTTGCATGCCAGGAGAAGTGACGTCAACTCCCTGAGCTCTATACTGAGCCAGGATCCTCTGGAGGTTTCTTCCTGTTAAAAGGGAGTTTTCCTCTCCACTGTCGCTAAATGCTTGCTTAGTATGAGGATTGCTATAAAGGTGTCAGTGACTTGATGCAATTTGCTGGGTTCCTTATGTAGGAAACTTTTTTCTGATTGGCTTAATGAACTGACATGTATTGGAATGTTTATTATGTGAAGTGCCTTGAGATGACGCTTGTCGTGATTTGATGCTATATAAATAAACTTGAATTGAAATCAATTTAATTGAATTTATTAACGCTACAGATATTGTTTACTATTGAAGGTTCTTAAGGTTATAACAAAGGGGCCTGGGGGGTGTTTGCTTAGTAAAGCATTACTTATTATTAACATTAAAATTAAGCAGTTGCTAATAATTTATTTAATAGTTTATTAATGCTTAATGATGCAATTTGTAATATTAATAGAGCCCCTTATTGTAAAGTGTTACCAACTTTGTTCAAGAAATCTAAGACGACAAGTTTTCTATGACAGAAGTTTTGTTTCATTCATGCTGCTGCTCTGAAAACAACGGAGAAAAGGTTGTTTTTGTTCTTGCGTTTATCTAAAACCTGATGCAGGTTTGTGACCTTTCTCATGGACAAGTAAGTCTTTAAAATATAAACATATGAATACACAACATCACATGTGAATAATAATTGTAAAACAATGTGTAGCTCCGTTTTGTTGGCTAGAAAAGCGCGTTCGTAAACGAGAGGTGTTGCTTTGGCCGTAAATACGGAAGTGGAAACCACGGCTTAGTGTGATACATTTGTCAGCCACTAGATGGTGCTGCAAGAAAAAAAATTAATCTGGATTTCATCTTTAGAACATTTTGTGTCATGACTTTTCTTTGATATACATGGACTTGTTTTGACTTTTAAAAGTCTTGGTTTAGTCTGACTTCAGTCACTAACTCTTACATTGAGAAGCTGCTCAAATGCAAACGTGAAGCCGGACTTGTAATCCGTGGTTCCTTTGGCTTGCATGTGCATGACGGCTTTCTTGAAAATCTTCTTGTTGCGAACGTTGGCTTGGACCAACGTCCTGAAGCATGGGACAACGGCCTCTGCTTTTTCGTTGAACTGGAAACAGAGACGTACACAAACACAAAAGTAATCTGGTGAAGAATAATCCAGAACGTGTCAGGTGTACTGAATATGTGTGTGTGTGCATGTTTAGATGTGTAGTTCATGGGAGTCAGGATGCAGACGTGGGTGTGCACAGATGCAAGCTGCCCGGCTGCTCTCGGGCTGGCAGTAAACACCGATAATTACAACTTTCCCCATAAAGAACAGGTGCACCTGAAATGCCAACACAATGCACTGAACGGAAGCCCAGCCAAGGTAATATCACCTGTCTCATCTCATCCACTGAATTAGCCTAAAACTGCGTACACGTCCGTGCAGCATGTTTGCATGTGTGTATCTCTTCTTGCGGGCGGTGTCTATGCATGATTAGCACATTAGCAGCAAATGTCTGAAATGACATGTCTCAAATGTTGTTTCTTCCTGAAGGTCAGCTTCAGAATCCACTGACATTTTCAGCACAGGTTGATGCAAAAATGTTTTGTGTGTGTGTGTGTGTGTGTGTGTGTGTGTGTGTGGGTGGGGGTGGGGTGTAGGGGGGAAGCTGACATTTCCCATGGGAGCTGCTGTAAAATGCAAAAGGAATCACACACACGTATAGAGAATACAAAAGTCAACGTGTTTCTATAAAAAAACACACAAAAAAGCTAAAGCATGCAGAAATAAGAAATCACATTTAGTGATAACTGTAGGCATCTTTTTAGCTATTATTGCACATAATTCACCGTTGGTTTATGTAAGTCCTCACTTGCTTCACTATGGCGAAAATCAGATGCGCTCCCACCCAGATTACCATGCTTATTTCCTGCTCTTCGAGCTGGGATTTAGGAGCATACAGTGGCTAAAAGCAATGGATTATGAAGGATTACCAAGGAAGAGTTTACAAAATGAGCCACCACACCAGGCTACCAGATGTGTTTTTATGGAGTTTAAGAGTAAGTGAGCATATGCATCTTATCTGCCATGCAAAACGGAATAAAAGTAACATTCTGCGTGTATTAGGCCTAATGGAAAACTCGGTAATCAGCAGAGAGTGAAAGACAAATGATGGATTTAATTCTGTGTGGAGGATGGTGATGCAGGAAGAGTAAATATGAGCAGGCGCTCATTAATCCCACAAAATCTGCAATTGTTAGTATGTAAACCACATCTGAGAGCCATTTGTATTGTTGACTTCAAACAGAGATTTACCTTTGCCACGTTGACGTAGTCATCGTCCGACAGAGTTTCGAGCATCTCAGCCACAGAAGTTTTCATGAGTTTCAGAGTGAGTCCGCTCACACTTCCACTCCTGCAGGAAAAGGAATGAAAAAAATCAGCCTCCTCACATGCTTACCGCCTTTGTGCCCCCATGTAAGGATCACAGGCCTAACTGAGGCTTCCTGAACCATTAAACCAGCATGTGAGGCCTACAGGGTGGAGGATAAGTGGCGATAATCTCCTTACAAGTTCAGCATTTCATCAAACCAACAGGTGGCACTAGAGTCCCTTTGAAGGGGATGTCTTATCTTTTTTTTTGGGGGGGGGGGGGGGGGGGCAAGGTGAAAGAGAACTGAAATACTCACACATCCACAATGATGACCATATCCTTCGGAGAAGATGCACCTTGGATGTACCTGCACAGAAAGAGGCAAAGAAGGGCCTTTAATTTGTTCCCGTAATCTCTGAAAACTGCACCAGAGGAAGAAGTCAAAGCCACAATGAACTGAGCCATAATCATATGGAGCAACCATAGCTGAGCTCACTTAAGCTACAGAATACTGAAAAGGCTTATGTGCTTAGGAGAGCTAATAAGTTGTTCTATTCTTCAGTGTTGGCCGTAGCCACTATTGGCTGACTTCAGCGCGGAGAGACCCTTTTCACTTATTAACAGCGTCTAACTAATTAGTGTATGAACCACAGTAATTATTGGTGTTCTGACTAAATAACACACTTAGCACAACAACCATCAGAAATCCGACACAACAAAGTCCTTCATTAGGAGTCTGAAAACCATGAACAACTAAAACATTTGTAAAAGTCAGAACATTAATACAAAAGTGAAAGCCTAGTTATTTCAATGAAAATGGCTGGAAATGTTGTTTTCTATGTGAAATAACTTTCAGAGATCATTACAAAAACATATCAGGCATGGTTTTGTTTTGGCAGAAATGATTTGAACAGAGAAACAGTTCTGCACACCTGCTTTAGCTGTTTCTTCATTTCAGGGTAGCTTTAATTATAATAACGTTCTAATTAGAGTTCATGTATGAGTGTTAAAACCAATTTTTCTGAATCACAAAGCGAAGAATTGACTTTAAAAGTTTTGGCAGAAATTATCTAGGTAAAGCTCACCCAGCTTAACTCGTTCAACAATCCAACTTTATTTAGGATTTTTTAATTTACTGAAAATAAATGATCAGTGTTTGATGACTTCGCTTTTCCCCACCAGTTCCTTCTAGATTAAGTGTGAAGGAGCAGCCTGAGTGGAGGTGACTGGTGCTGAGGAAGCTCATTCTGACCACAGTAATCTCACAAAAGTAAGGCAGCTGATGCTCCTTTAGGGTGTCAAAAACATTTCTTCCTTTAAATAGAATAGACTTTATTGATCCCACAGTGAGGAAATTCACTTGTTACAGCAGCACCAACACCAACAGCAAACCTTTTCTTAGGAAGGGACGATGTGTAAGGCTTTAGGAGCAAAGTAACTTTTGAAATAATGTCTGCAGAGAGTGTGTGTGTGTGTGTGTGTCGTAGCTGGCCAGAACGGTGTCCTGGAAGATGAGCACACTTAACATCTGCCCGCTGTTGATAGAGGATGACACACAGAAGGAAAGCAAAAAAAAAAAAATCCCTTCAGTCTCTTCCAATAGCAATTAAATTCACATTTGCCACTGATTCAAAGAGGCTTGAGATTGATAGACGGCACAGGTTTTTCTGAGGCTTGATGGAGGGGTGGGGGTGGGGGGGTGTCTGCAATGTGAGCAGTAGTTTGACATTCTGAGGAGCGAGCAGGCGAGCAGTTAGCAGCCGTCTTAGGCAGAGTAATCATCAGGGGTCTCTTTTCTGCTGATTATCAGACGTTCTGCTAAGCGTGGAGGGAAGCCAGCTGCCCGAGGGCCAAAGAGGTTTTTTTTTTGTGCCCAGCCAAGCTGATATGGAGGCAGCGATGGAGGGAGGAGCCCACTTGGCTTGGCCGCTGCTCCAGCATCTCTCACCAGCTGAAGCCACTCTAAACCGCGCAATGACCTCTGACCAGAGGCGAGTCAAATCTGCTTTCAAATCGCAAACCACTTTATTTTTGAAATCACCAATGTCGCAGAAAGAAACAGCTCTAGAAGAGGCTGATTAACAAGAGTGAGTACAGGCAAAAAAAAAATTAAAAATAAAAAACCCATAAGAGATAGAGAGAGATGGAGGATCAAGAATCCAATTATTTCCAATAATATAAAAATGCTACATCAAAGGTAGAACTTCTGCAGCTTCCCACTTGTGTGTGGCAAAGGAAATCAGGTCTGGAACCATGAGGCATTTAGGCATGCATGACTTTTATCAATTTAATTACTGAAATCTTAATTTGAGGCAATGAGGAAGAGGAGAGACCTGAGTCTCTATGTGGCAGCTGCTGAATTATTATTTTTTATTTTATTTTTAGCAGACAGAGTTTGTGAAAGTGATCATCGATGCGGGACTGAAGCTTGGTCAGAAAGTGGCACACGTCTAAACTCCCCGAGGCTCGTGCATGGACTTCGTCACCTCATCTGGAGATTAAAGCGGGGTCATTTGGTGGCGGCTGAGGCTCACGGACCAACTGCACAATTTCATTAACTTCTGTGGTCAGTCCATTTCTCATGGAGGAGAATAGCTCTTTAATGGGAATTCAAGTTATTTTTGAAGGGGGCTAAATGTTAATTAAAAGGCAATACAGAGTTCTATTACTCCGTCATTATGGGTCATCCTCAGCTGCACCGACGTAAAAAAAAACCTCACAATGAAGCAAGCTTTCCCCTTAAAATATGCTGTGGAAATATTACGTTCAAGCAGATCGTTTCTCTGCAGCTGTGAAAGAGGCAGCATTGATCAGCAGTAATGGGGTTTAGCAAAGATGTGTGAGTCGTGATGGAGTAGAGGAGAGCCCATATAGAGCTGGAGCTATAGTGCTGCCATGGCTGATCTTCTACACAGATTGGCCTGGCATATCAGCGCCGCTCTCCCCCCTTCCCTTTTTCATCGCCTTAAGTACGACTTGATTTTTGTCTCTGCCTCTGAGCGGTGGAGATCGTCGGGATCAGAATGGAGTCAAGGATTTTCAGTCTTCTGACTCATATCGCCACTCTGACTGATAGAAATCAGGACTTAAGAGCTGGTGTCGGCGTATGATTCACCACGTTTTGACTCGTGGATCCAGATGTGTCGTTTCTGCATGGATTCCAGTTAGTAATTACCTCTCGGCTTCTGCCCACTGATGCCGTTCTTTTCCTGTCATTACCCATTCTCCTGCATGCCAAGACCAGGTGACAAGCAGATGGGCCTGGATGGTGCTGAGCAGAGCCCTCTCTGTCCCTCCACGTCAAAACCAACGGGCAGCAGAGCCAACACCTCAGCAGCACTAATCTGTTTTACATCAAGTCTAGTCTCTACACATCATTTCATTGTCACAATGTATATTTATTATTTATTTATTCCACCCCTAAGTGAAATTTAGTCTGTTGCTATATCCACCAGAGAAAAAGCATTTTATAACCACCCCAGTCATTCTCCTAAGCTAGCAGTATTATGTTAGCTGTAGCTTAGCATAAACAACGTAACTGAATAGTAACAGCTAGCATGCAATGTGAAAAACTCATGAAACTACTCAATAATGATCCTATTCTTTCTTGGTTACCTCAAAAATCACATTGACTGCAAGGAATTACAGGAGCTAATTTAGATTTGAGACAAAGTACCACGATGGAAAGTGGAAGGATGGATGGATGAATACATAGATGAATGAATGGATAAATGGATGGACTTGCAAAGAATTGGGCGAAACACCAGCTTAACCTTTAACTGAGGTTATTAAAATCGATATCAATGAGGACTGCTTGTTGCTCCAAAGCTAACAGTTGCAAACCTCTAGTTTAAGGGGGCAATTTAATGGAAAATCCCCTTTTAGGAGCTTTTTACCATGTGATATAATTTCCTCATGAAAAAAGGCTCACACCATTTTCCTATTTCAGCAGCAAATTTTCATTTTTTCCTTGAAAATCCCATAAAGCATCATTGGAAACTAATCAGGCCCTACTCCTCTCCTGGAAGCTAGTCTCTGATCTGAAACCTGCCTCCCCTGGCCAGTGCAGGATACGTGTGTTAGGTGACTATTACTTTGTAACAGACTAGATGGTCCAGTGGTTAGACTGTCAAGGCAGGTATTAACCACTGGACTACCAAGGATAATTCAACAGCAGGCTGGCCTAAGACGCTGTTGTCAGAGTGGGCGTGCATGGAGCTTCATTGAAAAGAACTGGTTCATGCCCGGCTGTGAATTCAGGCTGATGAAAATAACTTGTCCATCCATCCATTTTCATCCGCTTATCCGGAGTCGGGTCGCGGGCAGGGTCAGGTTAACACTTTGTTGTACCCTGGGCAACAATATTCAAGGGCCCCATCATTACGACCCAAGGATCAGCATAATATGGTCACATACAGAATATTTTACTGTAATATGCAGTAAATATACTCAATACTTGAATGCCTGACATCACGTAACCCACTCAGGGTAACCTTTGACCCACCTCGTGTGGAATGACCAATGAGGAGAGGGTCTTCTTTGAGGCCCTCTCTTCATTGGTCAGTCTGCATGAGACTGACTCTCAGCTGGCGTTCAAAGTCGTAGGCAGCGAAGCGTCTCTGTGCAGTGCAAAAGCCCGGGTGGACAGTTTGTTTAATGTAGGGTGACCATATTTCCATTTCCAAACAAGAGGACAGGGGATCTGTGCCTATGATGTCACACTATGGCAACGCCACACAAACCACGTTGGGACCCTTTTTTTTTTGCAAGAACTGAAATTAATATCAGATTCTGCCAATAAAAGGGCTCTAAAACAATTCATATGTAAATATTTAGCATATTTATTGCAAAATCTAATTTTTCTGCTTTAATACTGCAACAAGGTTTTATTAATAATAATTTATTATACCTTTTGTTTTCCTACAGCATCGGTAAGCTTCCTGTGCACAGATTATTAAGGATGCTTGTTTCAGCTGTGAGATTAGACGATAGGGTCAATGAAAAAATAAGTTGTCACACACTCCATGGAAACTTTCAGAGAATCCACAAATAGTGGCTTTCAAATGGTTTTGCTACTTTTAGCAAGTTTAGAAAAGAAGCAGATGAGACAGCATGTCTGATCATTTAGTTTTTCATCTGATAATATTAGAACATGTCAGTAATGTCTGAGGGGCTTTTATAAACACCGTATAACTAACACTACTGGAGAGGGTATGGATTACACAGAGGCTTCTGGGGAGCCCTGTTTTGCTTTGGCCCCCAAAATGTCTTGAAACGGCCCTGGGTGTGTGACTGAGTTTTCAAGGTGATCTGAATTGTATCAAATGTATAAATATTACATGTGTATAACTTGTTGTTTTTTACAGG